TCCCTTCAGGACTCGGGAGCGCTCAGCTCTGAAGATGAATCCACATCCTACTCCGTGGAGCCCTAAGGTAGGAAGCCCATGAACTGCCCTAAAGGAAAGACCCCAGGGAACTTGTGATGACATCATGTTCCACTCTCTGCCCTTCGTGCTCCTCCCGGCCTTCCTCAGCGCTTGCAGGGGCCCTGCTCCTCACCACAGGCCCTTTGCACACGATTTCCCCAGAACCTCACAGAACCTCAGCCTTCAATCTCAGCTCAACACGTGTCACAGGCTTCCGCCAGCTGTCCGCCTCCTCCAGATGCTCGTGGGCGTTGTGGCCACACGTTTGCTGCCTTCCGCCCTACAGAGTCCAGGCCGCGAAAGGAGGGAGACTGGGTCGACTTCCGCCACGCCAGCACCTAGAAGCACGCCTGACCCACAGAAGGCACTCAATAAATATTTGCGAAAGAAAGAAATTCATTTTTAATTGGTGAAACGTTGCACAAGATGTGGACTGGCTGCAGCTTCCAAGGCACTGTTTGTTTTAATATCCTTTCTAGCCGGCGCCGGGTTCTTGGCAAAAGATAAACTCCTAGAAGTTTTCATTTTACTCCAAAAGTTATTGCTGCTCTGTTTGAACTATTTTGCAAATATGCGCTGAATACCAACGCTGTGATCTGAGCATAATTACAATAACTGCAAGAGAAAAACCCCACTCGGGCCGCAGTGGAGACGGCAACCCCTCCGACTCCAGAGCAGGGCAGATGTTTCCCCGAGTCACCGGGGAAGCTGCGCAGGATGGCAGGTCGCGGTTCCCATCCGCCAGCAGACACCCCCCACCCCCTGGCCCTCGGAGGCCCACGGAGCAACTGCCCCCTGTGGTCCCCGCTCAGGGGCAGGGAGGCTGAGAGGATCACGGTGCCTACGTGACCGCAGGCTCCCCGCAAAGCCAGTGTCGCCGCACACTGTGCCCATTGGCATTTAGAGAACAGGAAGATGATTCCAGATGGAGGCGCGGAGAGCCGGGCTCCAGTACAGGAGCACAGGCTGCAGAGGCGTCCTTAACCCATGGAGACCTCGGCCTTCCCGCTGCCAGAGCTGCCGCCCGCCTGGGACCTCCCACCTGAGGTCAGAAGCCAGGAGCCGCCTGGAGGATGTTCAGAGGTGATCCCCGTGTTCCAGATCCTTCCACCCTCCCAGTACCTGGCAAATTGCTCCGAGGGTCAAGGCAGGGCCTTCCCTGAACCAACGCTGATTCCGGGAAAGTTGGGGAAGTCGCCCTGCTTGCATTTAGCCTCAGGCTAAGAGCCACCCGGCTAACGTTTTTTACTGTTTAACCCCAAACTGAGATTGCCTTAAAAACGGGCAAAATCTTCTAAGTATTTCCATTGTGTTTTAATTACATTATCCACAACGCCTGTGCAGTTGACACTAGAAGCTCAAAAGACTTTTTATCCCATTAAAATTTTTGCTTACTTATCCCCAGGAGAGAGGGCCGGATGCCAATTACCCCGGGCCAATCTGCTGGCCAGGCGGCTGTCCTCGGGGGTTTTGGGGTGTGGAGGGGTGTTCCAGTAATAGGACGCCATTAGCTGGGGGTAGCAGGCCCCAGGGCAGGGCTGGCATCCATTAGGCGCTCTAATTAGCGGGAGGAAGGGCTGCTAACGAGATGGAGGGAGGTGGCGGGGCAGGGGGGGGGCAGGCCGGACACGGTGACCTCTCCGTTCCCTCAGGGCCCAGGGGACTGGCGAATCCACCTGAGACCTGCTGGTCACGTGCCGCTAGTGCTGGGAGAAGACCTGCGGCAGCTTCTCCCACTAGCTGGTTCTCTGTTCCCCCGGAGCGCACACGGGCGGGGCGGGGGTGCACAGGGGAAGGTGCGGGGAGCGCACAGGGGAGGAGGCGGGGGACGCACAGGGCACGGGGGCGCACAGGGGAGGGGGGCGCACAGGGCACGGGCACATGGGGGGACACCGGCGGGGCGGGGGCGCACAGGGGGCGGGGAGGGGGCGCACAGGGGAGGGGGCGGGGGACGCACAGGGCACGGGGGCGCACAGGGGAGGGGGGCGCACAGGGCACGGACACAGGAGGGCACACCGGCGGGGCGGGGGCGCACAGGGGGCGGGGAGGGGGCGCACAGGGGAGGGGGCGGGGGACGCACAGGGCACGGGGGCGCACAGGGCACGGGGGGGGGCCCTCCCGGGGGGGCCCTCCCCAAGGGCCGCCGAGCGCCGCAGGAGGCGAGGTCCCCAGCCCGGGGGCGCAGGCGGGAAGCCGTGGAGTCCCCTCCACGCGCTCCAGGCGCCGGGCCCATCGCGATGCGGGGCACGTTCGCTGCCCGACGCCCCAGGAGCGCCCCCCCCCCCCCCGCCCGGCCGCTCCCCGCTTCGGAGGTGCGCGCGCAGGCCCGGCCCTCGGAGCGCGGGGACCCCAGGCTCGCCAGCCGCAGACGTGGCCAGGGCGCCTCCCCCACGGCCCTGCGCGGAGGCGGAGGCGGGGGCCCGGCGGCCGCGCACACGCGGGGAGGCCCGGGCTCCGGGGAGCGGCCGAGGCCCCGCAGCCCAGCGGCTCCCCCTCCACGCGGGCGCCCGGGCACCAGGCAGAGGTCCGCCCACCGAGCTGCCCACGTCGCCCCCGCCGGCAGGGCCACCCGGCAGCCGCCCCCTCCCCGCCCCAGCTCCCGCGGCCTGCGCCTCCGGGGCCCACCGGCCGCTGCCCTCGGTCCGCGGCGCCCCTACCTCGCCGCCGGCGACTCGCCCCACCCGGCGCCCACCCGCGCCCGGACGCCGCGCCCCAGCCGGTGGTCTCCGCCGCGCATGCGCGCGGGCCTCTTCCCGCGCACCTGTGGGAGCGCCCGGGGCGGGGCGGCCGCCTCCCGCGCACCTGTGCGAGCGCCGGGCGGGTTCGCAGGCTTCTTCCCGCGCGCGCGGGGGCGGGGGCGCTGGGGGCGGCGAGCGCCTGGGGGGTCCCCCGCCGCTCCCCGCGCCCCCGCGAGCGCCCAGGGGTCCCCCTCCCCGCGCCCCCGCGAGCGCCCAGGGTCCCTCCGGCGCCGCCAGGCCCGGGCCGGCGAATCCCCACGCCGCGCCCTGCCCCGGGAGGCGGCGGAGCGGGCGCGGGGCCCGGCACTCACCCGGTCCGCGGAGGCCCAGCCGCTCGGAGGAGCGCGCCGCGGGGGCGGGAGCGGCCTCCGCCTCCGCCGGGCGCGCGTGCACTGGGGCGCGCAGCTCGGGTGAGGGAGCGCGCGCCGCCGCCAGGCTCGGCCCCGCGGGGCCCCGGGCCCGGCCCCCCAGCCGCTCGCCCACCGTCGCCGGGACCGCGCGAGGCCCGCAGGCGCGGAGCTCGGGGCGCCAGGGGCCACCCGCACCCGGACGGCCCCGGCGGAGGCCCCGCTGCGCCCGCGAACATTGCGCCCCCCGCCCCCCGCTCGGGCCTCTGCCGAAGGCCACACTCTTTGTGTCCAACTTCCCTGCCCCCTTGTCCTCCGGGGACCCGCGGGCGATTCTGCGCTGGGACCCGGTGCCCTGCTGACACATTGGGGGCGACAGCCCTGCTCTCCTCCTTACAGATTCCCAGTGAGAAAAGCAAGAGGTTCCTGCGCTGGAGGAGACGCGGCACCTCGTCCTCCGACCGCGGGGTGGCCCGGGGGTGGGGGCGCAGGCCCTGCAGGGACCCCTGGGCTCCCAGGAAGGAACGGAACATGCTCTCCCTACCTCCAGCTGCCTCCTGCCCCCTTCAGCGCTGATTAACACTGGACCCCCCACGGTACGTGCTATTTTTAAAGATTTTGTGCAAAATAAGGTTGATTCGATTTCCATAGGCACAGAGAGCCTCACACTTGACTTGGCTCAAATTTTGCACTTGACAGTCTTTGCCTGGCTCCTGTGCCCTGGGCCTTTCGGATTTCAGGACCATAGCTCAGGCTCTGAGAACATCCTTAACAGTTCTCCGGGATCCCGGGGTGGCTCGGCAGTTTAGCACCTGCCCTTGGCCCAGGGCCCAATTCTGGAGACCCGGGATCGAGTCTCGCGTCGGGCTCCCTGCATGGAGCCTGCTTCTCCCTCTGCCTGTGTCTCTGCCCCTCTCTCTCTCTCTCTCTCTCTCTCTCTGTGTGTGTGTGTGTGTCTCTCATGAATAAATAAAAAATAAAAAATCTTATTTCATTCACTTGCCAAGTAGAATACTTTACATCGGGGTTTGCATCAGAGGAAGCAGAAACCAAGCAAACTATTGGGAGATATATTCTTAAGTTATCAGTTAACTCTCGCAGAAACAGATCTTCTGGAGGCTGAAGCATTCCCGTCATGCTCCCCTTTCATTATGTTCTATTTACTCCAAAAATATTCCAAAATCTACTGGGATCCTATTAGTGGATGTCTGTTTCCTTTACATGGAAACCGGGTCACTAGCTCACCACCACTGACTCAAGGTTGCTTGGAGTAGAGTTTAAATTTATTTCGCCAGCGGGGCCTCCAGGCCTCACTCCCATTCTTCTCAAGAGGAACTTTAGGCTGAGCCACATATTCGTGGCTTCCTCTGGCTCCCCTCCCACCTCCGTGAATTAGTGTCCAGTGGCCACGAAGCTTCCCCCAACCACGTGTGCTACTGCCAACGAAATACTGGCCCAGGGATCCCTGGGTGGCGCAGCGGTTTGGCGCCTGCCTTTGGCCCAGGGCGCGATCCTGGAGACCCGGGATCGAATCCCACGTTGGGCTCCCGGTGCATGGAGCCTGCTTCTCCCTCTGCCTGTGTCTCTGCCTCTCTCTCTCTCTCTCTCTGTGACTATCATAAAGGAATAAAAAAAAATTAAAAAAAAAAGAAATACTGGCCCATCTTTTCTATCATTCTGCAGACTTCCAGAGGTCAGGTGGTGTCATACTTAACTTTTCTTTCCACTATACACTGCTTGCCGTAAAATAAATGAATTAACTTGAAATATTGATCCAACCCCTACACCATCTGGTAGATAAGGTGTGTGGTGGACCCTATCCATTTTCAGACTTTACATGTTTTATTCAAAAAGCATGTGCTATGGTCCCAATATAGTGAATGGAAATTGCAGAGGAACAGTCCACACATCTAATTAGTTCATTCATTCAAACTACGGGGACCTCCAGGGTTCCTGAAATAGAACATGGGACATGATGATACCGAGAAGAAGAAAGCTTTGTCTTAAACATTAATTAACGTCTATTTCAAGAGAACTTCAACAATAACGTCATTTAGTATTTGGATTTTCGGCAACCCCGAAGAAGCGGGCCAACATCACGGCGCGGGGCTGTGGAAAGCATGACCTGAGCCTCCAAACTGTGCTGGGGAGGACGGTCTACGGCACCGTGAACACCGGGGCAAGGGGCCTGGGCTCCGCGCTTGGGGCACTGGGAACCCCACTTGGAAGCTGCAAGAGGAAACGGAGAGCACCCAGCTCCAGGGTTGAGCAGCTGAGGTGTCAAACAGCACTTCCGCCCTCTGCAAGCGACAATTTTGAACAGGAACGGTGGCCGCTGGTGCTCCGCTGTCCTCTTCGTTCGGTGAGTGGGGGGGGGGGGGTTACCGGCACCCTCCCACGGGACGGCCTGGTGATGCCTGCATGCCCTGGCTGGCTCCACCCATCACTCCGGCCCCCAGGGTGACTGTCGACCGTCTCCAGTCTCCAGTTCTGTGCTGCCCCGGGTCGTGCGTCGTACGGATGCAGGACACGCGGCTGCCAGCCAGCCACTAGCGCTGCGCCCTGTTCGGATGCGAGATTGCGAGATACTGTTTGAGGTGCTATTACCAGAAAGCAGATCTTTCCCCAAAACTTTTTTTTTTAATTCAATTAGCCAACACCTATACACACCTAGTTTCCGATGGAGACTTCAGTAATTCAGTGCGTGTAACGCCCAGCGCCCCTCCCATCCCACACCCTCCTTAATGCCTGTCACCCAGTGACCCCGTCCCCTCACCCACCGCCCCTTCCACGGCCCCTTGTTCGTTTCCCAGAGTTAGAGTCTTAGACTCTCTCATGTTGTGTCTCCCTCTCTGGTATTTCCCACTCATTTTCTCTCCTTTCCCCTTTAATCCCTTTCACTGTTTCTTATATTCCCCGTAGGAGTGGGACCATATGATGATTGCATCTTCCTTGTCCATCATGTGCCGACGGACACCGAGGCCCCTCCACAGTGTGGCCGTTGCAGACGTTGCCGCTGTGGACACTGGGATGCAGGTGCCCCTTCGGATCACTGGGTTTGTATCTTTTCCCCAAAGCTTTTAATAGCCCCAAAGAGTTTACACACTCCCACCTTCCAAAAAAACAGCAATTAAGCTCCAGTAGCTGTCAGGAATTGATCCAAGTGCTACAAAGTACTTTGAGTCTCTTAGCATGAAAAATTAATTAGAATATCTGCGTGCTGGTGTGGAAACAATATTCCCTGCTTCGTTTAAAAGTTCTGCCCACATGGTACGAGCGCGAAGCCACCGTCCCCGTAGGGCCGGCTCCCTGAGATCCGCCTTTCCCCAACTCGCCCCCGCCCTGGCTCGGATGGACTCTGGGTCCACTTTCGCTGCTTCTTACTAAGGTGAGGCTCTTTCCCTCATTCCCGAGTGTTCTCAAGTATCTGGCTCGCCAGTGCCTGAGAGTTTTCCACTCAGGGTAGGTTCCCACGTACCCTGAAACAGCGTGGACGGTGGAGTGTGGACCGTGCACGGACACTGACCGTGTGCTCGTGATGTCACGGCCAGTCCCTGATGTGAATGGACGACGGGGACCTGTCTTTCGAGCCTCCCAGACCCAGTTAGGACCAGTGATTGTTGAGCCCACCGGACGATGAGGCCTCGTGGTAGGGAACCTCCCGCCCTCCTCCACCCCGGTTCTGCCGGGGCTGGTGGCCTGGCCCTCACGAGGCCACAGGCCACCGGGAGGCAATAAACACGGCAACCACTGAAAGGCCATTCGAGGTCGTTCGTGCTGGTTCCGGTAAGCCTTCTTTCGGAAAAGATACACAAGTTTAATAGTCATTTTTAGATATTTTCAAGGTATGTCCGTCACGTCCGAGCAAGCTGCTTGCAATTAAATATGATTTCACGGAAATCCATGCCCTCCATGCATATGGACGTACGCTTGTGCAGAACGCCTCGGGGCGGATGCACGCAGGCACCGCAGGGGCAGGGAATGCTCCTCCGCACTTGAGGAATCTCAGCTCTCAGCTGAACGTGACGCTCTCATTTCACGTGAGGCCCCAGACTGCAGCCCTGTCCTTTCAAATGAACGAGCCCGATCTGCGCAGTAAACCTCAAGGGGCTTTGCGAGCGCGAGAACCACACTACGCGGAACAGGAGTCACCGTGTCCAGCTGGCCTCATCCTCCCCCCTGGTTTCCACCCCAACCCCCCAAATGCTCTGTGCTGGAAGCCAAAGTCCACCCTCAGAGCTTCACCTCCCAGCCCTGTGCCTCCTGGCACGTCCTGCGTCAGCCTGGCCGAGCCTCGCCCCCAGGCCCCACACCCGCAGCTCCGGGGACGGCAGGGGGAGCCGGGCCTCGTCCTTCTCCGTCACGCCGCTGTCACCGCACAAGAACGCCAGCAACGGCGTACCCGAAGTGCCACGTAAAACCAAACCCCAATCTAAATGCATCACTTACGGCCCTCACCACCGGTGGCAAAAATAGCAGGTTTTCAAGTTTTGTTTTTTTGTTTTTTTTAACACAGTAAAGGTCTAATTAGTAAATCCTCAAAAGTGTAAACCAAGGACACTTCATCCAGAGCATCTGGGCGGCTTGGTCGGTGAAGCATCTGCCTTCGGCTCGGGTCATGATCTCGGGTCCTGGGATCGAGTCCCGTGTCCTCTCCCTGTGTCTGCTGCTCCTTCTGCTCCTCCCTGTGCTCATGCTTGCTCTCTCTCTCTCTCTCTCTCTCTCTCTTTCTGTCAAATAAAAACTGTTTTATTTTAAAAAAGGCCACTTGGGGCACCTGGTGGCTCAGAGGTTAAGCATCTGCCCTCTGCTCAGGGCGTGATTCCTGGTCTCAGGATCAGTCCCACATCAGGCTCCCTTCATGGAGCCTGCTCCTCCCTCTGCCTGTGTCTCTGCCTCTCTCTGTGTCTCTCATGAATAAATAAATCTTGTAAAAAAAAATCTTGAAAAAATAAAGGGCACTTTACCCAGTTAACCGCAACTTAAAGGCTAAATTGTGCCCCCCCCCCCGCCAGAGATATGTTGGAGTCCTAAGCCCCCGGCCCCCGAGGACGGGACCTGATGCGGAGACAGGGCCTTTCTGAAGGCGGCCCACTTGCAACGAGGCCGTGCGGGCCCCGGGGCGGCGTGCTGTGTCCCCACGGAGGCTCGTCACGGGTACGGCCAGGCTGAGGGAAGCCGTGGGCAGGCCCTGGTTGGGATGGTGGACGTGCCAGCGAGGGTGCCAGGGATGCGGGCGGAGGCCGGAGGCTCTGCGGGCCTCAGGTGGCGAGGCCCCGTGACACCGGGACCTCAGGCTGGCCTCCAGGCCGCGGGGGGCCAAGTCCCTGTGGTCTGCAGCCCCACGTGGTGCCTAAATCTGGTGGCCCCGGGGAACTAACACAAGGGTTTTGTGTCTTCTCTGTGAAAACGGAGCCTTTCAGACTGTCTGCTGTGATGAATCAGGGCTGTTGTCTTTTCTTATTTTTCATTGCTTAGGGACTGGCCTTTTAAAAAAATACAATAAAAATGAATTGGTAAAAAAAAAAAAGTGAATTTAGAAACGACACGCAAAATACAAAGCCATTTCCTCAGTAGGGAGTTAAATGTGCCAACATCCATGCAGTCAAAACGCCCCCCGTTTGTGCACCAAGCCCCGCGCTCCGGGTCTGGGGGGGCGGCCGCGGCCCCAGCTGGACCCCCCCTGCCACCGGGCACCAAGCCTGCGGCTCCAGGTCCCCGACTGCCGACGCACCAGCCCAGGACCCCAGCACCGGGAGGGCACGGCAACGACCGCCCGGCCCTCTCCCAGACAATGTCTTACTGTGGAATTAGGCAATTATTAGTTTTGGGGGCGGAATGCTTGAAAATGGGCTCTAAAGTATTTCCAATAAGCAGCCCGCCAGGCAGGCGCCCCAGCTTGCACCAGACGGGGCCCTCCCGCGGCTCTCCAGGGTCCCGCAGGTGCCAGGAACCCTCTCCGGAACACCACGAGCCTCAAACCTGACCGGCCGCTGTGAACCTCCCGGGGGGGGGGGGGGAGGCCGCCTCCCCCTTCCTCTTGGCTCCCACCCTCCATGCCCCTTGCTCTGTTCCACGCGGCAGGTGCAGGCAGCCGGGGGCAGGGGAAGGGCAGGAGCTGGGGCTGGCCTCCACCCATCCCCGCCGCGCCCTGAGGGGTCTCTGCTTCCTGTGGCATCTCCCCACCCCAGGCATCCTGGGGGCACGCCTCGAGTCAGTGGGTGGGGACCCCGGGGTTGCGCTCCTCCCTTTCCCTGCAGCGCCACCATATTGGGCCAGTCCTTCCTGGAGACCACCCGTGGGTGCCAGTGGACCCCCCCATCCCGGAGCCTCCTGCAGCCGCCACGTGGGGTCTCGGGGTGAAATGTCCCTTCACCCAGGAGGCAGCATGACCGGGGGCCTCCCCACACCTGAGTCGCCAGTCCTTCTACCCCCCCAGGTCCCGAGAGCTCTCCCACCCGTGTGTGGCGCCCCTCTGGAGCCGCCTCTACCCCCCAGCACCCCTGCCAGACTCTGCTGGGGGGCCACCCCACCCCACCTGCAGGGTCTCCCGCAGGGACCAGCTCCCAGCAGGCCTGGCACCTCTGCGGCCGCCTCAGTCACCCCACCACAGGCACGGGGTGCAACCCCTGCTCCTTCTCCCTCCGGGGCTGGAAGGGAGGCAGCAGGTGGGTGCTGGGGGGGGGTCCCGGCTGTGTCCTCACACGGCAGAGAGCGAGCCCGGGGGTCCCCTCCTCAATAAGGACACGAATCCCAGGCCAGCCCCACCTTCCTGACCTCATCTGCCCCTATTCGCCCCCCAAAGCCCCCTCTCCAAGTGCCACCTGTCTGGGGTTAGGGCTTCACCCGGAGGATTTGGGGGCCAGACCTTCAGTGCAGAGCAGGCCCCACAGAGGAGGGGACAGGGAACAGCGGGCTCAGCGGTGCCGTTTATTCCCCTTGGAAAGTGTATCGTTTACTCTTAAAACCGAAAAGAGAAAATACACGCGATGACATTGGACAAGTCTGTGAGGGGACGAGTTCCCAGGGGCTGCGCTCAAGCCCGCGGCCCTAAGACCCACTCTTTGGGTCTGCTTTCCAGTGGTCTCCTCTCCTCGACCAGCAAGGCCTCACCCCTGCCCGCAGTTCCTCCCTCCCTGCCCACCTGCTCCCCCTCCCCTGCCACTCCCCCCCCACTCCCTGGCACAGCCCAGACGCTGCCGCGGCCCCGGGGAAGGGCACAGCGCCCCCGCCTGAGAACCCGGGCCCCACGTGGACAAGAATCCCACAGTCAGGCAGGAGGAAAAAGTAAGTCCGCAATGATCTTTTTTTTTGATTAGCAGAAAAAAATAAAAGTAACTCCTCCATTATGTACCCAGAACAGGGTGCCCGGAGCTGTCCCTCCACGCCGGGTACCGCACCCCGCACCGCGCCCCACTCTGCAGCCCACTCTGTGCCCCACACCAACCTCCACTTGCACCCCGCTCTGCGCCCCGCTCTGCACCCCACACCGCACCGCGCCCCGCAGAAGCTCGAGGGGTCACCTGCCAGCAGTGCGACCCACACACCTCGCCGCTGCTCGTCACCCTCTTGTGTCCCCAGCCCCGTGAGCGACCCAAGGGAAGCAGGACCACGGGGACCAGCACGTGTGCCCTTGCCCCGAGCACCGCCTGGCACGAGGCCGCTCCAGATCGCCCACGGCCCACAGCCCACGCGCTCCGCGAGGCCCCCAGGGCGTCGCGGTCACGGGCGGGCAGCGGCACCGTGGGGAAAGCTGCCCTGTCGCAGAGAAGCTCAGGCTCTGGCCCTTCGTGTGTTGGCCCCACCGTGCGGCCAGGCCCCAGACCCGCCGACCCCAGCCGCCCAGAAGCCCCAGCCAGCCCCCACCCGCCCTACCCCGTACCCCCCACACCGTCCCCCACTTCCCATCAGGTCCCCTCAGGCCACCACGGTGGCCTCACCGCACAGGGGTGCCTGGACGTCCTCCCGGAGCTGTGTCCGCAGGGCGTCCGCCGACAGCCGGACAGCTCCGAGATGCACAACCGGACCATGGGTCCCCGTGTGGAGCAGGCTGAGGTCACAGTCCTCACTGGACAGGTGGCAGGTGACAGGTCGGGTCAGCTGAGCTCCCCAGGTCGCCGCCTCCTGCCCCCGCCTGCACCTTCTCACGGGGACCCAGGGCTGGCCGCCTTCGGAGGAGGAACAGGGGACGTGGCCCCACTGCAGGCCCCCGGGGCAAGGGACGCACAGGGAACCCCGCAAGGCCCCGGGGCTGTGCTCAGCCAGGGCGGTGGGAGGCTGAGGGTTCTGCGAGGCACCCTGCAAGGGTTAATCCCGAGCTCGAGGCCGCGGGAGCTGAAGCCAGGGCCCAGCAGAGGGGCGGCCCCGCCGGCTGTCGCTCGCTCTTGGTCTCTCGCCCTCGTTTTCCGCCCGAGCGAACATTGTCCACTCGGCCCCTCGCCGGCGAGCGCAGCCAGCACGGAGGAGGCAGTGCAGGCGCGGTGCGGGGTGCGGGGTGCGGGGTGCGGGGTGCCGTGCAGGAGCGCCTCTGCCCCGAGTCAGCCCACACGGGCGGGGAGGGCGGTGACGTTCCACTGTCAGCAGAGGGAGGAGGCCGAAGGGTCCCGACACCCGCTGGGCCATTGCCGGCTCAGGGCCAGGACGGCAGCCTGCACTGTCCTCCCTCGGACAGCCCGGTGTCCCGGGTAATGGAGTCGTAGGTCACTAGTGATGCCCATACTCCCGAGCCCTTTATCCATAAAAATATTGAATTTTATGAAGCACTTTCGTGCACATAAAATCCAAAAGTTGCCAAAAATCTGCAAGTTCTTCCATGTCCATTTACGGGTCAGAAAACTGGCTAGAAATCATCCCACTTCCCTCAGGATCTAGGACACGCTTATCCGATTGAATTTAGAAAATACTGATGGACACGGGATGCTTGAGGGCACGATTCAGAAAATCAAATAAGAGGCACTGAGTGGGACACTTGGGATGGGCACTGGGTATTATGCTGTATGTTGGCAAATGGAACTCCGATAAAAAAAATAAATAATAATAATATAATAAGTGTAATAATATAATAAATATAAAATAAAATATAATAATAATAATAATAATAATAATAATAATAAATAAAAGAGGACTCCATTTGCCGGAATCCCACTTTTCTGCAGCTTGTCAGAAACAGCCCAGCATGTGACCGCCCCGACGCAGGGAAGGCTCGGCCGACCTGACCGCTGACCACGGGCTGTGCTGCGGCCAAGCACTAAGGAGGACCCCCCCCACCACGCCCAGCAAACCCACAGGCCTGGGTGCCCTGAACCAGAAGAGGCCTCGAGTCCCCAAAGGGCCTCAAAGGACCCTCTGCCGGTGTAGGGGCCTGGGGGCCTCGCCCGGCCTTGGAAAGTTGCCTCCCTGCGGGAACCCCGACCCCCGCCCCGCCCCGCCCCGCCCAAAGCAGGGCTGCAGAAGAAACCGTGAGCTCAGGAAAATGCCTCCCAGAGGCTCAGACTGCAGAAAGGACTGTGCCCGGACCCAGGAGGCCCTGCAGGAGTCCGAGTGCATCAAGTGAGAACTAGGTCCTGGGGAGGGGGTGGGGGTGGGGGTAGGGGGGCTCTGCAACACCTGTCAGCTCAGAGAGGGAGGGGGACCTGGTCCAGCTAGCCCTGACCTGGAGGTCAGGGGGTCAGGGGGTGGAGACAGGAGGAGGTGGGGCATCCCCAGCCAGGACAGAGTGGGAGGTGGTGCAAGGATCACCCCAGCAGAGCAGAGCCCTGTCAGGGTGCCCCCCACTGTGTGCCTGTGGGCCTCCAGGGCAGCCCCCCACCTCACTGGGGACCTGGTGTCAGGGCCCAGGGCAAGCTCCTGGAGGGTCCCGCTGAGGGACCGTCAGGACATGGTCTGCAGACTCCCCAGGACCCCACAGTTCTCCAGGCTCGCGGTCCTGCCAGTGTGCATGTGGCCCAGCTGCTCCCTGACTCCGCCAGGGCTCCTCTCGCTTCCGGTCACCCCTCTCTGTGCCAAGTCGGCCCAGGGGGGCCCCACTCCCCATAGATAGGTTGGGGGAGGCTCCTGCTGGACCGATGTCTCGTTCACAGGTTTACAGGCAGGTGTGATGGAGGGCAGCGCAGGCCTGGGGCGGGGAGGACTTGTGGGCTCCCAGGGAGCACAGGCCAGGGGCAAGGCAGTTTGTCTGCCCACCCGGCTTCTCGCCCCAACTTTCCCCAGCAGCCCCTTATCTGCTGAGCTTCAGAGCTGGGCCAGCACTCCTGGACACCTGCTGGAGCGGGTCCCTCATCAGCTTGGGCCCTAGGCCAGGGGGGCAGGGGGCGGGGGTGGCTGATCAGAGCAAGTGGCTGGAGGCCCCAGGAGTCGGGACGGCACCCCTGGCATCACTTGGGCTGGCATCTGTGGCCTCCCCTGGGGCACACTTCCCGTGCACAGATCTGGTCCACACTCACCTGTGGGTCGACACCGCGGGTCCCAGAATGCCACTGGGGTGCCAGGGGCCAACCCCACGTGGAGGCACATGGACCCCAGCTCAGGCCTCCTGGGCCCCGGAGCGGGGGTGGCTGCTGCCCCAGGGCGTGTGAGGGGCCAGAGGGGCCGCAGCGTCCCCAAGGCAGGCCGGCGAGTCCCAGGCACTGTGCGCTCACCAGCTCTCAGGGCGCAGCAGGTGGTGCACGGGGCTCCCGGGCGGTGGGGACAGGAGACAATTATAGCCCCAAAGGGAAGGCCCTTGCTGCGTGGAGCCCAACAGGCCCTGCAAGGCTTCGGGCACATGAGTATGATACGTGGCATCGCGGGAGGTTTTCCTAAATACATCAGTATTACACATGCAAACCTCAACCGTTACTTTTTTTTTATTGACACAAGAAAACTTGCTATTTTTGAGTTTTTGGAGATATCGATCAAGACCAAAAATCTCTGAGTACCAAGGTTTATTTTTTTATTTATTTATTTTTTTTGAGTATCAAGGTTTAAATAGAACACACATCAGGACACTTCTGTTTTATTTGGCCCACGAAAAGTCCAAGAAACGCCACTGTTTACTCGGCACAAAAATCAGGAGGTTTGGTCTACAACAGGCACTTCTCTTCATATCTGACGTTAAATTCATTCAACTCAGGACGTCACTCAAAAACTGCCAAGTACGTGAGTCTCAGTTTCTCCGCACCTACCTCCAATCACGTGTGCTTTTCCACGCACTCGGACGGTCTCTGGGATTCACAACTCCCAAGCCAGCAGGTGGGGGTGGGGGGCAGCGGACCAGCCCCGAACTCACCAGAACCTAAGGCCCTCCTTCGTGTTTTGTGGGCAAAAAGAAAAAAAAAAAAGGCAATCCGGGTACTGTATTTTTAAATAAAAACTTTATTTATGACTTAAGGTAGCAGCTAACAATTTAAGAAAGCTTCAGGAGATATTACTTTCACGTGGGGGTACATGTGCACCTTGGAGAATATTTGGCCAAGTCATAAAGTTAGCATTCTTATCTGTAAAGTGCTGAGGAGTTTACTTCCGGTGACGCCCGCATTAACGTTTGTAAACCACTCGGTAAGTACAACGCGATACATAAACCCACGTGGAGCGTCGGGGACTCACGCTCACCCGCACACCCCAAGACGCCCGTGGGCCCCGGGGCACCTGCGGGACACCCAGCGCGCAGACAGCTGTGCAGCCTGAGTCCCACGGCCAGCCGCCCGCAGCCCCAGCGAGCACCACGGAGGGGCCGCCCGGCGCACCTGGGAGACGTGGGCTTTCCAGCACAGGCACCCATACCACTTGACGTGAGGAGGAAGGATTTTGGTGTGGACGCTGGAGTCTACACGCAGGTGAAGGGGTGAGCATTTTGGTTCGAAGCAAATGTTATTTGTGAAACGTTACAGATCGTTTGGTTCCCTAAAACATTAACTGTTAATTTTTAATAGAAAAAAATATATAAAAACACTACTTTGTTAAAATATACACACAGCACACCCCGCACGTCGGACATCCCAGCTCACCACAGAAAGTGGAGCCCGCCGTGTGCGGACCGGCCCCCTTCGCCGCCACGAGCTCTACTTGGGAATCTGAAGACACGCGGGAGAAGTAAAGGCGGCGGCTCTGAGCCGAGGGAGACGTCCTAAGAATGGTCAAGGCATCTCCGTGCTACCAAGTGCGCCGGACTCTCCGCGAGCCCACAGGTACCAGGACGCCAGGTGGCCCGACGGCTTTGCCTGGGCTCACGCGGTCAGCAGCGGCACCTGCCACACCATGACAGAGGCGGCCAGCTCCTCGGGCCGCTGCTGCCGGGCCCTCCGGCTCACCCTGCGGTGGCCCTGGCCCCCGCACACCACCAGCACCGAGCTGGCCTTCGCCCTCCTGGCCCGCCGCCCTCTGCCCGGCAGGACGCTGGGCAGCCGCAGGAGATCATAGACGACGCTCTCCTCCGACCTGGGCTCCAGGGAGCCCGAGCCCTGCGACGGCGTCAGGGACCCGGACGACGACGAGACCTCGCTCCTGTGCGTCCCGGCACCCAGCGAGGCGCCCAGCCAGACGGCGTCCGGGCTGCCCTGACTCAGGCCCTCGCCGGGGGGCACGTCCTTCTGCTCTTCCTCCTGGGGGTCCATGCAGGCTGGCGGGCTGTCCGTGGGCTTGTCCTTGTCCGTCTTGAGGGCGGCGGTGGCCATGACCAGGAACTTGACGGGCCCATTGTGCGCATGGTAGGAGACCATGCCTCTTCCTGAGTGGGGATCAGTCGGCAACGGCCGCATGCAACAGACGGAATCACAGAGAAATCAACAGGCACCCCTCTCTCGTCCAAGCCACCCCAACCCTTGTGGAACTCCGATACCAGGCACAGCGTCAAGTGGGGAGAGCCGCCCGGCTGCACACTCTCATGGACTTGCAGTGGATCCACGGAAGCATCCACAGAGAGGGTCTAAGATCCTGACGCCCACAGGGGCCCCACAGAGCACCGCCGCCCTGCGCCCCATAAGGGGCCTCCCTGCCCACTCCCTGCCGACAGGGACCTAGTCTTGACCGAAAAATTAAGTGCTGGAAATGGGTTGGTTTTAGGTACAAGAGGTCTAAAGGGCCAGTAGCTTCCTGCCATGTCCCAGTACCAGAGGGTTCCATGGCTTAAAATGAGCTCCCTCCATGGTTTTAATTCACCTGAGGATTGATCAATGACTCATCCATCCATCCATCCATCTACCTTTTATCATTTATCATCTGTCATCTATCATTGACTATCATCTACCTACCATCCATCCATCCATCCATCCATCCATCCATCCATCCATCTATCCATCCACCCACCCATCCATCCATCCATCCACCCACCCATCTCACCCACCCACCCATCCATCCATCCACCCATCTATCCATCTATCCACTCATCCATCCACCCACCCATCCATCCATCCACCCACCCATCCATCCATCCACCCACCCACCCACCCACCCATCCATCCACCCATCCACCCATCCACCCATCCATCTATCCACCTATCCATCTATCCATCCCTCCAGCTATCTAGGGGGGATTTAAGAGCGATGTGAATTTAATCTTAAAATCCTTACCTAACCTGAAGAGCACGTCAGAAACCACCCAGAGGTCTCTTCTGAAACATCCATTACTCCCCCTCCCTGAGTGCCCTGGCCCCATGTTGTCGGGGGAGCACAGTGTCCAGGCTTTCAACTGCTTCACAGGTGAGGCAACAGGGACATGGGAAGCATGTGCCCTTCTAACCAGATGCTTTAGGGCTGACACGGGCCTGAGCCCTCCCCTTCATCCCACCTTGGCCAAAGCAGATCAAATTACAGGATTCTTTAGCCGGGGCACAGGGCGAGCCGCAGTTCCCCTGGGCAGGGCTGCAAACAGCAGGTGCCAGTGGGAACCCCAGGGGTGGGAAGGCTCAGACACCAGTGCAGGAGGTGTCACCGACCTGACAACCCAGGGACACCTCTCCCTGCCACCTAGGGAAGGAGAGCATGTGCGTACCTATACACCCGGCTCCACGCCTGACGTGCACCTCAGACGCCATCAGGCCGGTTCGAGCAGAGACATCTCATGCAACATGAAGAGCTGCAAACAGCTCGTAAACATGCAGGTAAGACACATGATGACGAGGGCACGCGTGAGCCGCGGAGGAGAGTTAAGCACGGTCGTGGGGGGAAGGGGCACCTTGGGTCGGGGCGACACCCCAGTCCCGCACCAATCGCAGGTGGGCGTGACCCCTTCACCACCACGGAGCCTGCGCACATCCATTCTACACAATGTTGTGTGTGTGCGAAATATAGATCATAAGAAAAACAGAAAACAGGAGATGAATGAACAAAACTGGGATCCTTAGCCCTACAGGTGGGTCATTTCTGTGAAGCACAGACCTGTTCACGACAGGAGTCCCATGAAACGTCCTAGAGTTGTCATTAGGAAGAAACTGCAGAAACAGAACCTCATGAACATCCTGGTGAGTTTCCCATAAATTTTTTTCTCTGAGATTTTTTTTTCCCACGTGGCTGATACCATGTAATCAATATAAAATTTAAGATCCTGGGCAGCCCGGGTGGCTCGGCGGTTGAGCACCTGCCTTCGGCCCAGGGCGTGACCCCGGGGTCCTGGGATCAAGTCCCACATCCGGCTCCCCGCAGGGAGCCTGCTTCTCCCTCTGCCTGTGTCTCTTGCCTCTCTCTGTGGATCTCTCATGAATAAATAAATAAAATCTTAAAAAAAAATAAAATTTGAGATCCTAGTTTTCCTTATGGACTTGACACTCCTCTGTGATCACTCAAACATCACCTGCACCGGCTCATTATGTTCTAAAACCCACTACAGCCTTTTCTTACACATCTCTTCACCCCTGATTTTGAAGTCGTGTCCTATTTTGTGCTACGGAAAACCGAATGCCGTGTCAAGTATCTCTATTTGCATCTTGCTTTGTTCATGGACTTGGCTGCTTTGCCGGGCAGATTTCTCAACCGAAAAATCCTGAATCCAGACACAAGAGCGTTTTCAGGCTTAGGATCCAAAATGCCAAGTTGTGTCCTGAAGAGACTGCGCCCATTTGAACTCCTACCAACAGTGCAGAAAAAGGGCACCACAGCTTGTTAGGATGCTGAGCTTCCTTCTTTGCGGTGTAAAGCATAAAAAGCATCCACGCCATTGAGCAAGACCGTATGTAAATGACAGAGGGTAATACGTGGCAACTCAGGTGACATGAAAACACGTTCCTGGGGTAAAATTTTCCCCGGGCCCCAAGAAGCAGAAAAATAAAAGAAAGAACTGAGGATGCAAATGAACAGACACAGGCTACAGAGTATGCAAAAAGGGAAAAAAGCCCAAATAACTGACGCCGTTTAAGCAGCTCCCGGGACACGAAAGCGCGACGGAGACTGCGGGGCTTCCGGAGGCCGGAGGGCGGGACGGGGCCGGGAGGCACAGGCGCGCAGCCACGACCACTCACCAGTCACTTTGGGGATGCCCTGCAGCCGGGGCACAGGCAAGGCCACCACGATGCCCACGCTGGTGCCCACCATCAGCAAGCCGTGGCAGACGAGCAGACTGGTCACGGACAGGCGCTGGTGCCCTGGGGAGAGAGGGGAGGGGAGCGGGCTCTGGTCTCGGCAGCGGTGCCGCACGGGGGCAGACACTGGGTGCCCGGCCTGGAAATGCCACCACCTGCAGATGGGGCGCACGCCAGGCCCCTGGGCCTCAACCACGCGCTGTGCCCACGACCGCGGCAGGGAGAGAGGAGGGCCGGGCGCCACTTCCATCCTGGGCACCCCGGTGGTGGCCACGCCCTCTGGGAGAGCGGCCCCTGCACCCCTGGACCCCGCGCCCCAGCAGGTGGCTTCCTGCGGCCCCGGGCAACGCTCACAGGACACAGCGCAGCCGGAAAGGCCTTCCCAGCTCTGGCTGCTCCTGCGCTTTGGTCTGACGGCCAAGGCCCCACGGTGCTGCCCCGCGGGGGGTTCCCGGGCGGGATCCCCGCCTCCAGGATGCTCAGGGGCTCCCAGCCTTCCCTGCGGGCTCTCAGGCCAGGAACACGCGAGAACGGTCCAGCCTGCCCGCGGCCCCGAGGGTCAGTGTGCTCTCCTCCCCGCAGGCCTGACGGCTACTCTGCGTGTCTGCGGCCCACCTGCAGCTCACCTTGCTGAAAACACAGGCAGACGGGCCAACACCGAGGCCACAGGGAGAGCGACACGGCCGCTCTTACGACTTCCCTTGCGATGGCAAAAAACAAACAAACAAACAAAAACACCCAGAAACCCTCCAAAACCCCAAACTAAACCTACAACAAAAAGATTCAGTTTTGTCTGTCAGTGTAGACTCACGTGCTGGTTGAAAGCTAACGGGGTTTCTGTTCCCCAGAAGCCTGCTCGGGGGACTGGGTTTGGAGCCGGGCAGGCGCTGCATGCGACTCTGTTCAGGGTCAAATATGTGTAAAGCTACAGGGACACGTGTGCAGGCAGTTTCTGAAGCAGATGAAACCAACTCCCACCCCGACTACCGAGTGGGATGGGAGCTGCCGGGAGGTTCGCCTCCGTGCTCATGCTGGACACCCCGACGGGCGACGGACGCGGCCCCGAGCCTCAGAGCATGGTCGGCACCCGGCAGGGCTGCAGCTGGTGGGCCCAGGCCGGCCCGAGCCAGGATGACGCCAGGCCCTTCCCTCGGCTTTGCTCCTAATTCACATCTGGTCCCGACTCTGCTCCAATCCGCTCAACTTCCTCTTGATGTGGTCCACGCACATCCTTTCTAAAGTTACACTGATTTTTTTTAAAAAACCTCATTTGGCTTTTCTATGCGGCGAGGTCCCTCCTGGGAGGCAAGGCACCCACGCGGTGGGGACACGGAGGGGCTCGCTTACCACGACCTCTTACAACTTTTCCGCCAAAATATTCTCCCTTGGACCTTCCGGACAAAGCAGGAAAGCCCATGTCACAGGGGAAGCAGCTGCCACTGCTCGCGACCCACAGGCAGCAGGTCCGTCCAACGTCTTTGCGGGGAACCCTGCGCCTTCTAACCCGGAGTCTGCTCCACGGGGTCCGCGTGCTCCTGACCAGCAGCTCCCCGTCGCCTGCCAGACGGCGTGAAGTGGGACGCACAAGGGCCCGTCTCTGGGGACCCGGCCCGAGGCTGAGACGGCTGCTACGACGGAAGGGGAGGCGCGGCTGCTCGGCCGTCCTGCTCTTGAATCACAAAGTGCCATAGAAATCAGACCAGTTCCACGTCCTGCCCTCCCGAGGGTCAAGTCCAGTGGCCGCCGTGGGAGGCATGACAGACACCACCCGGCCCTGAGCGGAGCTAAATCCCACTTGTACACCCACCTTCCCCCCAGGCCGCTCGGCTGCGGGGGCGACGACCTCCAAGGGGAGCAGGAGACGCGGGTCCAGCGTAAAACACCCCCATGCGCTGGAGCACGGAGGTGAGGGATTCGGGGGGATGGGGTCAGCGACAGGCGCGTCGGCCTCGGAGAGAGACTGGCGTGAAGACCGGGCAGGGGGACCCGGCAGCGGGGGCAGCGCTGTGACCGGGAGGCCGCGCTCAGGGAGCTCGCTGCATACCCGCTAGGCCCCGCCAGGGCCCACGTGGCCGGGACCGGCACTCGCAGAGCCATGCGGCTGCACAAACACGGGAGCCGTGGGCTGGAGGCTGAAACCACCACGAAGAAGGTGTGAGAACGGAAGGAGAGCAGTGTGGACGAGGGGGCAGGGCCGGGCGGATGGCGGCCCTGGGGGTGCTGGCCTCTGGAGGTCCAGACCCGCCTCGACCCGCCGCGACCTCGGGGAGCAAGCGTGAGGTGACAGCGGGTCAGGGCTCCCAGCACCGCCCCCGGGATGGGCCTGGTATCATGCCCTCCATGACGGCAGAGCCCGGCGCCAGCACCTGCCCTACCAGCACGCGTGTGCAAGAGAAAGGCCGCCGCAGCCCCAGCGCAGCTCCCGTGTGCTCACAGGCCCAGTGCGGCTGTGGGCCACTTGGCTGCCAACCCGGACCTTATGCAACCGGGTCTCCTCACAGCACAGAAGCACCTGCGTTCTCCAAGGAGACACTTGTCAGAGTCACGCCTGTGCTGTCTCCTCGCCACATGCACACGCGTGCACACACGGCCACAAGGTGGAGAGTGTGCGCCTTCACGTGAGCCGCACACCTGCAGCAGTTTGTGTGTCAAAAAGCAGAGGAACAGCTCTCAGCCTCACCCAGCCCCGACGTCGGCCTGTTTCCTGCTGCCAGGTCCCCCTCTCCCCCGTCCCCAACTCCACGGTCCTCCCCTCATCCAGGCTCTCTAGACCTGACCCCAAACCACCCTGCTTCTCCTGCATCCACGGTGACTATTCCTCTAGCACCTTCTGCCTAAGCCACGGCACCTTCACCATGTTCCAGCCACCAGCCACCAACCTGCCAGCCACCAGCTGCCCAACAAGCACAACCGATCGACACCAACACCAGCGCAGGACCTCCCGCTGACACCAACAGTCTCGCCACTTTTAAACACACACGGGTTCACACAGGCTACCCGGTCGGAACAGAACTCGTGATGCATGCACGTGTGAGACTGACCTCTCGCTCCACCGCCCGCGGGGCAGGGGCCCCGACCGTTCTAAGAGGTTTTCTCCACGCTCGCTCACGCGCTTACAGGATGCAGACGCTGCCGAACACGTGCGGTCGATTACGAGGCAACCTGACCGGGGCGCCTGGCGCCGCTCTGCCATTGGCTACGGGCTCCGCCAAGCCGAAGTCCAGACTCAATCTCTGCCGCAAAGCTCCTCCCTCACACGGGCACACACGCCCCACGCTAAACCCACACGCTCTCATCTGCACAGTCACACCTCACATGCGCACACCCACACGCACGTGCACAAGCTCTCACACGCCCACATACCCCCACGCACACAGCTGCACCCTGCAGGTGCATACACACGTGTGCACACAGGCACGCACCCGCTCTCAGGCCACGTGCTTGGTCCTCAGGCCACCTGCCCCTCCTCCCCTGGGCCCTCCCTGCCTAGCCCCCCCACCTGGCCCTCCCACCTGGCCCCCCTCCCCTGGCCCCCCCACCTAGCCCCCCACCACCTGGCCACCCTTCTCCTACCTGCCCCCACTGCCTGGCCCCCCCTCCTGCCCCCCGTGCCTGGCCCTTCCTCCCCTGGGCCCCCCCTGCCTGCCCCCCCCCTGCCCCCCTCCCTGGCCATCTCCCACCTGGCCCCCCCCCCGCCTGCGCCCCCACCCCCACCCCATCCCAGCCCCGTGGATATCCGTGCACTGCAGGGCTCCCTCTGACTCTGCAGCCTCCTCTCACCTCCTCAGGGTGGGGCCTGATTCTGACCGGTCACTCTCTGCCCCGTCCCCGTCCCTCGCTGCCCACCGGGTGATGATCTCCCCGACTACACCCCTTTCCTGACTCCTTGGCCACGTGCCACACGCTCCTCCCAACTTCCTACAGGGCCGCTCTGCTCCGCAGCACCACATGCAACGTACGGGGCTTTTGTGGCCCCACAACCCAGGCCCTGAGGCTGACTTCCCGGCCCTCCTTCCCCCTAATCAGTTGTGCCCCGGGCCACTGCTTCTCTGGGCCAGAGCGGGTCCCTCCCGACACAGGAGGGTCCCCACGGCCCCTCCCTCTGTCCCCTGCAGGCTGCTCCTTGCACACTCTCAGCCACAACCTCGCTGGCCTCTTCCCTCCTCTGCCCCTCAGCTCCTGCATAGCAGCCACCTGCTTACACACGTCCAGCCGTGTGCCCACAACCATCTGTGACATGCACACACGTACCCCTCTGGGCACGCACACACCAGCCACGTGCCACACACATGCGGCAGCCACATGCCTACACATGACGTACGTGTGCTAACTACACGCTTATGCACACCGGACACATGAGTACATTCGAACTACAAGATCACACGCACGAGCTACATGAGGTACCGGCCGCGGGACCGCACGCTACCTATGCGCATATACACGTCACCAACACACTTGTAAATACTGGGCGCTTGCTGATACCCACTGGCTGCCCACTTACGCACAAGGTAACCACATGCTTATGCATACGTGGCACACGTGCCACACGCGTGCGTAGGTGCACACCGGCTACGTGCTCACACGCGATAGCCACGCACATTCACATGCGTCCACCTGCACTAGCTCATGCACACACACCAGCTACACACACACCAGCTACAAGCAACACAGCAGCTACGTGCACACACACGAGCTACCCACACACGCAGCAGCCACCTGCCGCTCCCGCAGTCCCGCTTCTCTGCTCGTCTTCTCCCCCCTGCCGGGGCCTCCTTCCTGCTCTGGGCCTGGCGGGCTCGGCCGCGAGGCTGCCCCTCTGGCTCCCGGGAGCCCGCTCTGCCCCGCTGCACTTCCTTCTCTCTGCTCTTCAGCTCAAGGCCCCGCTCCCAGGGCCCGGTCTCATCAGCTTTAAGTACGAGAAACGTCCACGGTCAAGGGCTTCTGACTCTAAGAACAGGGTCTTACCCGGGCCTGAGCTAACGCACAACGCACTTCCGTGCCATCTCCCCGAGGGGGCCACGCCTGCGCTCCATGCCCCCCCCCTCCTCCCCGGGACCCTCCCCGTCCGGGTCTGATCACCTGGGAGCATGTGGTGGACGGGGGTGGCTACGTTGATGTCCTGAAGATGCTTGAGTGTCTCGGTGTGGAAGAGGCGAAGCGTGGACCCAGAGGTGAAGGCGAGCCAGATCCCCACGCCAGCGATGACCATGTGAGACACGACCATGCCTTCCTCCTGGTGGGCCTCCAGCTGGCTCTGCGGAAGTCAAGGGACACGGTCAATGGGGTCTGGGGGCACCGGAGCCTTGACCCGGCGTTGGAGCAGCTGCCCCCGGCCCCAAGCCGCGACTCAGCTGCCGGGTCACACAGCTGAACCGGCCACGGGTGTCCAGCGGGCACCCCAGAGGGGCTCGCCGTGACCCAGGGACCCACAGTAAGGGCGCTGCACACGGAAACCACAGACACACGAGTAGTCAGCCCGCCCGTTACGGCTCCCCAGCAGGTGCAAGTGCTTCCGGAGCCTGACGGCATCTGTGGGACCCGCATGGGCACACACGCAGCCCCCGAGAGCCCACCGGAAGGCCCATGGGCCTGGCAGGCTGGCCAGAGCAGGAAGGCAAGGGAGGGCCTCTGGGGCGCGCGGGGGAAGGTCCGGGAAGGCAAAGCTCCGCAGGCGGGAGGCCAGCAGAGCCTGGGACTCGGGTTCCCCGAAGCCCGCTGTGCCTGTCCCCACCGCTCCGAGCGCTCCCTGGCCGCCCGCAGGTCTCTGGGTCTCCGCCCACCCTGGCCAAGTCCCGAAGGCTCCTGCTACTCCTTGTGGGACCAGGCCTTTCCTTCCGGAGCTTCTGGTCGACTCTGCCCCGTGTCTCACCCTGGTGAGCAGCTCTGAGGCCCCACCTGACAGCTGTGGAGAAGGGGCGCGGGGGGACGCCCGGAGGATCAGCTGCAAGACGGCCATCCCCAGAGCTGCCTGGGTCCACGGCCCAAGCCCCGCAACGTCCTCTACGCAGAGGGTTTCCTCCTCTGAGCTCGGGGCTCTGCAGAGCCGAGGACACGCCATGCCTACGCCCACAGAGGGGGGCGCCGGGCTAAACCCCGCACCCGCAGCCCGTGTGACACGCCACGAGCTGAGCCGACGGTGAGCATGTCCATCAGCGGAGGGCGGCACAGTCCTCGTGCACACAGGGAGCAGGGAGCGTGGGCCCCAGAGTCAGCGCGGGCCTGGACCGCCCCCCACGGCCGCCACCGGGACATGCGAGGCTCTACCCTCCGATCAGGCTTCTCGGGGAAGAAGTTCTGTTTTTCTCTTCCAGGCACAGGCTTCCCGAGACGAGGCCTGCAGGAAGCGGATGGACAACCGCCCACGGCCGCGTGTCCACCCGCAGGGCCGACAGATGGGGCTGGGGGAGGACGGGGCGCCCGATGCGCAGCCCTGCATGTGCCCCCTCACCTCGTGAGAACAGGTCGACACTGCCTGCCGTGACCACTGCCCACCGAGACCGCCGCCCGTGCCACAGCCGCTCCCCACGGGCTCACGGCCACGCGGTCACTGCTCCCTGGAAAACGGCCTTGGGGAGGCAGGGCAGTGCCGTGGGGAGCGTGGGAAGGACCTCCCGGTGCTCCCCGAGCATCAGGCAGCACAGCTGCGGTGTCTCCTCCCCAACAGGTTTTCAGCCCTCGATGAATCCAGCAGGTGGGGGTGGGGCCCAGAGCCGGCTTTCTAGAACGTTCTCAGGAGCTGCTGCTGGGCACGCCCACCTTCCGCTGCTTCTTATTTCCCTGTTGGTTCTCCAGTCCCATCATTTGCCTCCGTGACGAGCGCCCTGAAGGCCACAGGAGCGCTCCACGCGGGGTCACTGCCCAGGACCGTGGGGGCTGTGCCTCCTGCACCTCGTGGCGGGTGGTGCGTGTCCGCGCGGCCGCCTCACTCCTCCTCCTCCTCGTGGGTGGTCTCCGGCAGCTCCCCCTGGACGGCCGGTCATGACCCTGGGGAACGCGGCCCCATGACACTCGCCGCACAGTAAGATCCCTCAGGGGCTCAGCATCGCACTTGGCGAGGCGGGGGTCCTGGCAGGAAAGGACACACACGGCCCTCCACGGACGCCTCCAGCAGGCCGCTGCGAGCGGGTGACCCCGGGGACATTACTCCAAGCTATTGGTACCGAGTGTGAGGTGCCCTCTGGGTGCACCTGCACCAACCTCACCTCCCGCCTCGCCGTGGGCCTGGCGCACACCCTTCCCCGGCGAGGCACCACACCCGCCTTCTCGGGATGCCTGCTCCGCCCGGCCGGCCTCCTGCGGCTCTGCCCTCCGTGCTCGTGGCATCAAGGCCGCGACTCTCCTGGTCCTGTCACCTGCCCTGAGGCAGGGCCGCAGCTGGCTCTCGTAGGCTTTAGGAGGCAGGGCCCGGCCGGATGCGGAGAGGCACTTCCAGGGCCAGGTGCGGACGCGCTCGTCAGTCCGACAGGAAGCGCAGGCCCCGCACGTGCAGGGGAGGCACCTGGTGACGCCCCTCAGCCTCCCCCGCGGTCAGCCACCCGCTACCCCGTGACGGTGCTCCCGGGCGCGAGGCTGACGTTCCACCTTCTGCGAGCACAGACCAGGCCAAGTGTGTCCCAACAGCTTTCACGCGCGTCTCCCTGCGTGTGCTGCCAACGGCCCCAGGGCCCTACCCGCTGACCCGCCGCTGCTCCTCCGGGGAGTCCCCAGGACGGAGCCTCAGAGCCCACAGAGACCACTTTACTGCGCGGGTGGAGATCAAGGGAACCCGGGCTGCGACTCACCGCCCCAGCTCAGGAAACAGCTCTATCACCTGAGCTTGCTCAGAGGGCCAGGGACAGAGGGTCGCGGGCGGCGGGGCTCCGCGAGGACATGACTCTGGGTCGCAGGCGGACGAAACGCCTCCACCTGTCACTTACAAACCTTTCTGTACAAGCACACGCACGCTCACCGAACACAAACAGGAAAGTTCTAAGACTTTACGAAATTCATTGTTCCCTTTGTTACGGCAACTTCTAAGCCTGCGTCCCGGCAAGAGATCCGCCCCCGGAAAGTAAAGAGAACATCCTATGGCTTTCGAAGTTTGTGATTCTGCGTAAGCTTTAAGGATCACCTCCACCCGGGAGGTCTGGAAGGGTGAGGACGCGGAGCCCGAGGCAGCCCTGCGGCCCCCACGGCCGGCCGTCTCCCGACCCTTCCTGCACTGACCGAGGGCCGCTGGACCCCGGGCCCCGAAGATGCCCTCGTTCATACTGGGCACGTGTTCAAAGGAGCACGTCTGTGGGACTGGCAGGAAAGCACCAGCAATACCCCGAGGGACGTGGCCGCATGGTCAGCGGACTCATCCAGGGCGTCTTGTCATCTGCAGACAAGCCGGGGCAGCCTCCTCAGGGCAGGTGGGGCACAGGCACCTGCATCCCCTACAGGCCGGGCGCTCCCGACCGCCAGCCTCGGGGGGCAAGTGGGGCAGCGCCGCGCTCATTAAGGCGACTCACCTCTATCGCGTGGGTCTCGGTGTTGACGGTGAACACCTGGCCTCCGGAAGCCGCCCATAACATGTCCTCCGCCATCACCAGGCTGCGAACCGGCAAGACGCCTAATTTTATCACTTTCTGAGGTTCGGAATTCCAGGATCCATCTTAAAAATATATATATTTTAGTTTCAGTTATCCACGCACACGGATCGGGGGAAAGGACCAGATGTCATTTCATCCAGGTCCTTTGGGGGGGGGAGGGTAGGTCTACACCCAACGTGGGCTGGAACTCCCGCCCAGGGTCAAGATTCACAAACCAACCAGGCGCCCCACAACCATTCTAACAAGCACGCTGTTAGTCTGATGCGCACGCCTGGTCCCGGGCGCCATCTCCACGAAGGATCTAGCCCAGTGATGGAGACAGAGCCGCGTTCCCGTCCCACCCAGCGCATGGGTGGCCCACGCGGCCCAGGCCAAGCCTCAGCTCTCTCCTCTGTGAGCTGGGGGCGATGCCGCCCCGTGCCCCCGAGGCTGCCGTGGGAGCACGAGGGGTGATGAGGCGGTCGGGCTGCTCAGCACAGCGCCTGGTCCGCGGGGCCCAGAAGTCCCGCCATCTACGGCCACCCCACGTGACATGACAGCCGTAGCCAAGGGTCTGCGTCCGACCCAGCGCCTGCGTCCACCTCTGAGATGCCTTCTAGCTACTGTCCCATCGGGACCGACCACATCACCCCTGGATTAAAGTCAGAACTGAGGCAGGAGGCTTTCCTCCCGTCTCAGGAGCTCGCTCCGTTCCTGAAGCTCATGCGGTGAGGAAATACTTCAGTTTGAAACTATCTTCAGAGACCTACGGACGAGGGTCGTCACACTTTAGACGATGTGTGAGTCAACCAGCGCCGGGATGGCAATAAACGATACTTAGAGGAAGACTTAACATACGTTTTCAAGGTGACTGTGTGATTACCCTGTGTAAAAACACACTCTTCGATTTTCAAGGTGACCGTTAATTAAGCCACCACACCTAAAAACAGTGAACTCTGAGTCGGCCGATGCCTCCTCGGCTGGAACCCAGTGCCGCTTCCACGCTCCGTATCTGGACCTTTTCATCCAAACCCTGTTTATGACGAACCGTCTTAGGCTGAGGCGCGCGGATGCCAAGAGGCAACCAGGTAAGGTCTGGGGTTCAAGGTGCATTGAAGTTAGGGCTCAGCTGTAGGTGGAGGGCTTCTAGCTGCAGCTGCAGGACAATCACCGGTTCCCGCAGACACCGACCCGCCATCCACTTGTAGACCTGCACTGGACCCGGTATCGTGGTGTGGTCACAAGTGCACACGAGAACATGCTCACAGGCGGCCACATACAGTCACATGCGCACACATGCACAGCCACACGTGCATACATGTGCAGGCACACATGCAGTGGCACGGGCACGTGTGCATACAGATGTGTACACACAAGTAGTCATATGTGCACAATGTATAAGCACAAGCAGCCACACATGTGTGCAGTCATGTGAACACATACAAGCGGTCACACGTGCACACACGCACAGTAACAAGTGCACAAGCGGTCACGGGTGCATGCACAGTCACACGTGCATGCGTGCACGCTGTCACATGTGCACAAGCAGTCACATGCAAAACAGCACACGTGCACAAGTCCACACGTGCAGTCACACTGCACACACAGTCACAGGTACACAGTCACAGGTGCACACATGCACGCAATCACATGTGCACAAGCCATCACAGGTGCACACATGCAGTCACACGTGCATAAGCAGGTGCACACACGCAGTCACACGTGCAGTCACGTGCACACAGGCAAGCAGTCACACATGCACTGTCACGTGCACACATTCACAAGCAATCATGTGCACAAGCCGTCACAGGTGCATACATGCATGCAGTCACAGGTGCAGTCACACGTGCACACCCATGTGCACACACAAGCACACAGGCCTCTGCATCAGGGACTCACAGTCCTAGAGGCTCTGCACCTCCACATCCGACGGGATCACAGGGGTTCGGAGTGGAGATGCGATTCTACCCCACACGCGCAGGGGCTGAGAGCACAGGGCTGAGGATGCCCGTGGCACCTACACCCCCGGCGTCTGCGCCCCAGCATGGCCACCACCCTGACTGTGCTCGTCCCTGTGCAGCAAGAAACTGCTGCACACGTTTTGTTTGGAAGGATCAACTTCTAGCGATTGAACTTAGTTCTGAGCACCTAGTTACTCCTGCAGAGTCTGCGCTCAGGGCCCCGAGTCCTCCGTGGGGGCAGGGGTCCAACCAGGATGCGGGCCTCGGCTCCAGCCGACTGCAGACAGCCTCTCCCTGGAGGCTTCATCCAGGCCTGAGTTCCCTCCCAGGCTGCCCCCGCGGCTGGACCCCAGCACATGCTCCCTACATTCTGAGCCAGCACCAGGAAATCTGGAAATTTCTCCCAGACTTCCTGATTTCAAAGGCCAAAGGTCAAAGGTCAAAGACTTGCAAGGATGATGCATGCTGAGCTGTGGCGGAAGGGAAGGGCAGTGGCCTCCAGCCAGGCCAGTCCTCCCACCTCGGAGAACAAAACTGCGGTGAAGGGACCTCCCTCTGGGGAAGACATTCAGACGCCAACGGATACGCGAACACGTGCTCCGCATCCGTTGGCATCAGAGAAACGGAAACCACGGCGAGAGATCACGTCACAGCCGTGAGGATGGCCGTCATCGCCAAGACGCGAGGTCACCAGCGCTGGTGACAGAGGGGGAGAAAGGGGGCCGTGTGCGCTGTTGGTGGGAAGGCCGCTCCACAAACAGCATGGAGGTCCCTCGAGACATTAAAACAGAGCGACCGTACTGTCCAGGACGCCCACTTCTGGGTACTGACCCAAAGGACATGGAAACATCAATTCGAGAACCTCCATGCAGCCCTGCAGCAGCATCGCAGCTGCCAGTCCATCGACGGCTGGAGGGATAGAGATGCGGTGTGCACGCACGCACAAGGGAGCCCCGTATGCCACAGAGACGAGGACGTCCCACCGCCGTCAGGACGGGGTGAACCTCGAGGGCGCCATGCTAAGTGAGATGCGTCCTCATGCACGTGTGGAAGCTAAGATCTCTACGTCACGGGAACAGAACGGACGGGGGTCCCGGGTGGGGTGGGGTGGGGAGGGGTGGGGGAGCCTCGCAACCAGAGAGAGGAAGGCCTGGGGCCTGACGCCTGCCCAGAGGACAGTCCACGTCCCGCATGTGAGCGCCCAAGCGCTAAGAGCAGATTCCGAGTGTCCTCAGCACCAACACAGCGACGGTTTGTACGTGACGGGGACGCAGGTGGCAGCTCTGCAAAGCACCGTGGGTGCGAAGGACACCCCGCCGCCCTCGGGCCAGGTGATGTGCCAGTAAAGCCGGGAAAGGAGGAGTCACCAGCCCCAAGTTAGACAAATATAAATAAGCCCTGAAGAAGTCCACAGCACTGGGAGAAACAGACGTCAACACCCCGACTCCGTGTGGGAAGCTCGGCAGACGGGACGGAATCACGGAAACTTCAGACCCGCACGCTGTGCATGATGCCCGACCTCAGCCCCTGCCGCAGCAGCACAGCTCGACCCCAGGCAAGCCGACCCCAGCCACACAGATGCGGGAGAAGGAAACAGAGCGACCACGTGGGTCTAAGTACACACGGACCTTGTTCCACATATGGCAAGCTCACGCGGAAGCCACACCTCTGAGCCCGACTCACCCTACGGGGCACACCCACTGCCCCGGCCCTACCCCACCGTCCGGGCCGCCCACAGGTCCTGCTTCCTGCCCTTGCCGCCACCCCCCGCCAGGGACCTGCAGCTGCCCTGACGTCCCCCCGACGATGGTCCCCCAGAGGGCTCTGACCGGGCGCCCCCCAGTGCCCTCTGGGCATCGTGAGCATGTTTACCCCGTGACGTGTTCATCCCCCCGCCCCCCCCTTCCGACCCCCAGCCCTGTGGGAGAGCTAGGACTTGCCCCCATTGGCAGCCTCTGGCACTAGCCTCGGGTCCCCTGCACCAAGCCAACGCTCAGCTTGTCCCCGAGACAGTGAGTGACGGTGGCATGGTGCCCGGGAGGTCGCGGGGGGGCTGCAGGCGGGCAGGCGTCGGGGGCGGACAGGCTCCCCCCCCAAGGGGACCGTCTGCCCCAAGGGGATTCAGCCCCTGACTTCCATGCACCCCATCTTGGTGGGGCCGCCCAGGGGCTGCCGAAACCCCACAACCAGGAGGGATGCGAGGCGGCACCCCCGGGGAGGCAGGGGAGGGGAGCACCGGGGACCCGCCCTGCTGACCCCACCTCAGCTGCGGCCCCCAGGCCCCGGGAAGGGTGCACACAGCTGGCCGGGCCGGTTTGGGGTATCTGCCGTGGTGCCCAAGCCAAGGAGACGCTCGATCCTACAGCTGAAGACGGAAGCCGCCCCCTGAGAGGGGCTCAGAGGAAGGAAGGCCGGCCGCGGGGAGCGGGTGAGGAAGCCCCCAACCCTGTCGACCCCAGAACGCAGGCAGTGCGCCCTGCGAGCGAGGGCGACCCCCGGCAGCAGCGGGACAGCTCGTCCAAGTGGAGCTACGCTGCAGGGGCGGGACGGGGGCCGAGCAGGTGGACAGAGCTGGGACACCCCGTCCCTAAGAGGCTGCAGAGCCCCGCTGCGCCCTCTGGGTCCCCGGAACCCGCCGAGGTCCTGGTGGAGCCCGTGGAGCGTCTGGGCAGACGGAGTCCAGCCACTCCCGCAGGCGGCCTGCATCCCCACCACCCGAGGGAGCCTCCAGCCCCGAGGAAGCGTAGGGGCCACGGGGGACGGGACCGTGCTGTGGGGGACGGATGTGCATGGACTTCCCACCTCGTGGACGGGGAGGCGTCAGCGGGACAGCGATGGTCCAAAACCACTTCCTGCCTGTGCGGCTGCATGTTCACACTGGGCACCGTCCTCCCGCCCCGTCCCCCCATCCTGTCCTGCCCCATCCTCCCGTCCTGTCCTCTCAACATCCTCCCAACATCCTCCTGCCCTCGCTCACCGCCCTCCTCCTCCCGAGGCTGAGAGAGTCCCTGGAAGCCCCGGGAGAAGGGACGTGCAGACACCACTACCTTCTGCCTTCCCGTAGACGGCCACGGCCCCGTTGACCAGGCCGGCGTACAGGCTCTGGGGCGTGCAGGCCAGGCTCAGGACCGTGGACTTGTCGGGGGCGAAGAACTGCTGCAGGCGCACCTTCTTGCAGCCCTGACTGCTCTTATAGATGGAAATGCTGCGGGAGAAGGACGCGGGCCAGTGAGCGCCCCTGCTCAGTGACGGGGCCTCGCCAGCACACCGCCCCCCCAGCTCCGGCCTGCCCCGGCCACCTCCGCCCCTCCCCGCCACCCCCACCGCATCTCTTCCTCGCACGGTAAAGGAGAAACAGGACTTCTCCCTCCGTAAGCAGCTTCACATCAGGGAACCACCGTGGTTCCTTTACGAGGTGCAGTGTCCAGGAGGTCGGGGCACAGATCGCGGCCCTGCTATACTCCGAGGCATGGGGAGTCGGGGCAGGTGAGGGACACAAGTGAACACCCACCTCGTGTAGCTGCTGTGCCTCCGGGGGGCGGGGGGGCTGCAGCAACCCCAAGGGGACTGGTTCTAAGGGCGGTGACCCAGCCTTAGGGCACAGCCTAGCAGGTGGGGCGGTGGCCGCCCCTGGCAGTGGGCTCACCTCCCCTCCTCGGTGCCCAGGCAGACGGTGGGCACGCCTGAAGCCCTCCCGCAGTGGCCTCGGGCTCCACGGGCCGCTCCTCCGCGGGGATGAACACCATGCACAGGATGCGAGACTCCACGTTGAAGCACTCGATGACTTTGGGGTTGCAGTTTTGAAACGAGACGATGGCAACCTGGCCCATTTGGCTGGTGCAGCTGCCGATCTGAATGGGGGGTGGGGGGGTTAGGAGCACCTGCAGCTTCCAGGGCACACTGACCCCGACCTCCGAGGCCACGGGCGGGAGGGCGGGACGGGAACCACTGTTGCCACGGAAACCAACACTTCACAGAATCCACGGGGTTTAAACCATCTGCTACCGGAGCCCACGCTTCCTTTTCAACTTACAGGGTGACTTTCCCTTTTAATTTTCATAACGAGAGTACGGTTTCGAGGTTTTCTTCCTAGTTCCCATTGCTATCCCTGAGGAACCAGCTGCCCGGCACTCCGCCGCGGTGGCGGCCCGCTCGGGCATGATTGAGAGGCTAACAACCGGGTGAGCATCGGTTCCCAACAAGTAAACGCTGATGTGCGACGGGCTCAGCTAGGAAAGCAAGGCCCAAGGAACCCGAGCACCGGGCACCTCCCCCTGCATGGCCTGCAGCGTGTAAGCACGAGGCGCTGGGGTCGCCCTGGGCCGCCGGCGTGCCACCGGGACACCCACGGACACCCCGCAAGCTCCGTCCCAACGCGCAGTGCAGGCCGTCTCACGCGGGAAAGGGTCAGATGCTGCCAACAGGAAGAATGCCCGGGACAGAGCCTGCGAGGTCTGCAAAGCCAGCCGGGGCGTCAGCGCTGGCGTGGAGCCCCAGGTGTGGGGCCCCAGGTGCCATCGCCGCCGCGCCAGCTTTGGGAGCGCCGTCATGCCCCGGCCTCTTGTGCTACAGAGAAGCGTCCTGCTCAGATGGCCATTCGGTGATGGCTGCGGGATCGCCAGGCCCACGCCAGCCGCCGGCGACCGGGGTAACAAGGAGGCACTGACACGGTGCACGTGACAGAAAACCTTCTCTGCCCCAATTCTCTGCTCAGGGAAGTGAGCCCATCCCGTCCTTCCTGCCGGGTGCACGCAGGGAGGAGTGCCGGCCAGGGAGAGGCTCCGCTGTGGGACGTGGAGGTGTCACCGAGAGCAGGGAGCCTGGAGAGGTGGTCGGGTGGTCTGGGCACGGCACTGGAGGACAGACAGCAGGGTGCCCCGCGGAGCAGGGCTGGGAGCCCAGGAGGGCCCACGGGAGCCCTCACGGTGCATGGGAGCCTCACCCCGTCTGCAAGGACCGGAACTGCCCATTGCAACTGCAGCATGCGAAATGCAATACTTGATTTGGAGCAAATTAATTTGGATTGCCAAGTTTCCAGGGTAAAAAGCCAGTAATGTCTTGGAAGGGGAAAAAAAAAAAAAGATCCCATGCAACTTAACCACCCAAACTGCAGAAATATTTAAATTATCCTATTACTTAACTGGGTTGTCCCTGTGCTGATTCTAATCCGGTAAAGCTTTAAAACAGAAAAAAAAAAAAAAAAAAAAGCAAAATACAAGATAGAAACATTTCAATTCCTGAGAATTGCACAACTTTCCCAAAAGTGCTCAGTCCCATCACGGCTCGTGACTCGCATGCTTATAAACAGCCCAGGACACCCAGGACATCGATAGCAGATTGCACGTTGGAACCTGTCAAACCCACGCTGGCCGTGGACACGGACCCGCAGGCGCCGCCCTGTCTTACCCACAGGAAGCCGTGCACCGTGGACAGCGAGTCTGGCTGGGCCTCACTGGTCACGCAAGGTTCAGGGTTGTAGGCGGCACATTCAATCTATCGGGGAAGAAAATCGGATGCCCTCGTTTAGAACAAGACCCGGAGGCGTCTGAATGACACAGTCCCTTGAGCGGATCACAGAAGCCGCAGGTTGTTACTTGCTGCAGATTAAAGCAGGAGAGGAGGTACGAGCCTCGGAAATCTGCTCCTGAGAGGCGAACACTAATGAGCGACATCGGTCTTTACTCCGGTATCCAGATCCCAGCTCTTGCCAGAAACCTGCGTCACGGAGCGCAGCACGCAGGTGGGGCAGCTCCCCAGGAGTGGCGGGAGGGGGATGGACGTCCTCCTTTCCCTCCCGCCCGCCCTCCTCTCCCGGAAGCTCCAGGGAGCCTGGCTCCAGGTCTGAGTGTCGCCAGAGACCAGAAAGCAGAGCTACAAAGGTCTTTACTTGCTTCTTACACAAAGACACATCCGCACCTGAAGGCACCTGCTGTGGTCCCCGAACAGAGAGCACGGGCATGAATAAACGGCCACATCGGCACAAGCGTTAGCAAAAGAGGGCGAGGCATTCCAGGTAAACACGGGCCTTTAACTGGGACCCACTAAGGAGACGGAATATGCCCAGCGCAGGGCAGCCCGGCAGACAGACATGAGACCTGTGTCCTCTCTGAACTAACAATTCCTGGAGTGCACTGGGTACAGCGAGGACCCCCAGGTCTCAGTGACCACAGGGCAGAATGCAGCAGGGGCGGTGAGGACCCCCCCAGCACCCGGATGACCCCTGGGTGGAATGCAGCAGGGGCGGCAAGGACCCCTATCAGTGGGGCGACCACTGGGCAGAAAATCAGGCTTTCTGTTTCATGTTCTAACAATCTAAGTCCTTAACATTTTTCCCAGAGAAGTGTCACAACGGGTGCCTTGGGGCAACGTGGGACTCTGCTCCCCCCGCAGGCAGCACCGTGTCCGTGAATGGTGCCTCCACCCCCAGGCCACCGCCCATCACCTTGAACTCCTGCTGCTTGGCCACCGTCACTGGCATGTGTCCCACAAGAAGAGGGTGTCTCTCCTTCTTAATCTGGTTCCCGTCATCCTCCACGCAGAACCAACCCATGTGGTTCTCCTCCTCTGCGGTCACATCAAAGAGAAAGGGGAAGGGCACCTGAGCCGCCTCCGGCTTGGACGGGACCGTGCGGACCGCGGCCTTGGACAGGACCTCCTGCACGAGGCTCAGGGCCAAATACTGTTTCTGTAAAACGCGACTGTCTGTTCCTCATGGAAAGGCCGCCCGCTGAGCGCTGTGTTCTGGAAGAGCACCTGATTGCCCGCGTGCCACCCCCCCCCCCCGGGGCCCCTGCGTAACCACCGAGAGTCGCACGTAGACACCTAGGGCCGTTCAGTGACAGGTGTCGTCATTACAGGAGAAAAATGTGCACCAAGCGAGCTGGGCACCCCGACTCCACAGGTGTCCGGCCCGTGACGGCAAAGGCGCTGCCTTCTGGGTCAGCCCGCTGTCCTCGGAGATGGGCTGGGCCATTCCTGTCATGCTCATCACAACCCAGGGAGCCCCTCAGGACAGAGAAAAGGGCAGGGGCAGGAGGGCACTGCACTCGGCAAGCGGGGGGCCACGGTGTCCTGCAGGCTGAGAGCATCGCAGGCCTACGGACCCCGTGCAGCTCGGGGACCAGAGCACACGCATGCGCGACGCCCTGCGCCTTCTGAGTAGCAGATCCACGTGGGAATGAGCTACAGGTACACGTCTACACTGCAGAGGGGCTTGATTCAGGGGCCGACACAGGAGCGAGGAGACCTCACCCAGTCCCCCGGTCCCCGGCCGAACCACAGGACCTCCTTCCACGCTGGCAGGGCCTCCGCTGACAACTCTGAGCCGCCCTGGACCTCCCGCGGGTGACGGAGGGGAAGCAGGACTTCCTCCCACCTGTGGCGCTGGAGCCGCAGCCGGAAACAGACCGACCCGCCCCGGGTCACGGGCCCCCAGGCCCCAGCTCACGGGGCTTCTTGGCTGCTGTTCGCGGGCTCAGCTGGCGTCAACGTGTTCTCACAGTAAAAGCAAGGGCCTGTTCCCATGTGCGACCCCTAGATCGTCACAGCGACGTCTTAAAAATCACTCGTGCGGGGGCAGGGGCGGCAGGTGGGTGGCTCGGTGGGGGAAGCGTCCCACCCGATTTGGGCTGCTTGGGTTACAGTCTCAGGGCCATGGGCCTGAGCTCCACATCGGGCTCCCCACTCAACAGCGAGTCTCTCGCTTGCTCGCTCTCAAATAAATAAAATGTACACGTTCTTTTGCATTAAAGGATGAGTCTATGGTCAAGGGCGTTCTCAGGTCATTCTCAGCTCAGGCACGGGCCCCCCCACCAGGCAGGAAACCCGGGGACCAGGGCCCGCAGCTGAGCCCCGCGCGGCCCACAGCACCCGCTCTTACCCAGGGCGAGCTTGGCCATCTGCAGGTTGCTGATCCACGACTCCTTGATGGCTGGGGTGAAGGTGTTGAACACAGCCGTGAAGAACGTGGGCCGCCCGGACCTGCCAGGAGCACGGGGACAGCACGCTGCACCCCGGGACTCCACCGCTCCGCCGGGTCCCACAGGCCACCGAACCACACGCCGCCCCCTCGGGCCCGGCCCAGCAGCCCTGTCGGGTCACCACTCACTTGTCCTGCTTCCCCGGGAGCTGCAGCTGGATGCGGCAGCAGTCGGCCGCCCGGATTTCCTCCTCCTTCTTCAGGATGAGCCTCTGCAGGCCTGCCGTCCAATCGTGGGCCACCGCCTGGTTCAGGTTCTGGGGGGGAACGCACGCCCGTGTCGGCGTCAGGGGGGGAGGGCCCAAGCAGGCGGTGCTGCAGCCTGGGCCCTGCCCCCGGGCCCTTGGGGAGCAGGGTGCAGACGAGAGGCCCCCACGGCCCGGGTCACACGGGGCGGGACAGCCTAGGACCAGACTGCTCCTCAAGTCCGCCCCAAACGAAATGACCCCCGCACAGTCTCACCCCACGGGAAACGGGAGGAAACACACCATCAGGCCGGTTCTCAGGAGCAGCCTCGCTGTCACGCCCCGCGGGACACGCCGGCGGCGACGCGGGACGGGAAACAGAGTTGGAAGCCGAGGCTCCAGACGTTACCTGGTAGTTTCCTCGGAGGTTCCCGATCAGCTGCGAGATCTGACCGACGATGTTCAAGTCGTGCAGCAGGTTCTGCAGGTCCTGGTACAGCTGCCCCGGCCCCACGTACACCTGGTCTGCGGAAGAAGCGAGAGCGGAAACCTGAAGCCACGCGTGCGCCGGCGCCAGAGGCTGAAAACACCAGGGTTAAAATTCTGGCTGACTTAGGATTTTTAAAAAGTGGATCCTTTGCAGCATTTAGGGGTCTCTCTCCTCTTCTAACCTTTAAATCCGGGATGACGTTAGACTTAGAGAAAAGGCCAAAAGCCCACGGCGTGGGGCCCTCGCGCAGCGCCCGGGACGTTAACGTCTCACGGCCCTGCGGCCCCCTGTCAGAGCGGCGGAGTCTCGTGGACACGACGCTGCCGGCTCACGCACACGCCCTATAGGTGTCGCCAGCTCGCCCACCGAGCTCGTCGCTGCCCTGGGCCCCGCCGCCCCACACGCCCTTGGCTGCCGTCCCCTCCCAGAGGGCCTGTCGCCCGTGAGCTGAGCGCATGGACCATGGCCCGCGAGTCCTCCCCTAGAGCTTCTCGCTCTTTCCGCCGCTGGGGCGTTCTCTAAGCCTCGTCGATGTAACTGCGGTTGCTAAGAGGTAGCTGGAAATGCCACTAACGTAAAGCAAGTGCCCAACTGGAGTCACCCACAGCGCCCTTCCTCCAACGCCGAAGGACAGGGACAGAGGAGGTCGGCCACGGGCGGGGAAGAGCCCCCACTCGGGGCCACCCGCCTGCCACACGAGGTGCCCCGTCCCCCACCTCCCGGCGAGGATGCAGCTGATGCACAGGCCGGATCCCGACGCACGATCCCACCGGAGCTCGGCGTTAGGGACACGCGGTGACAGCCGACTCCTCTCCCACGTCTGTGCACACGGGCTGCCCCAGGTCCCCCGGCCAGCGGCCGGCAAACCTGGGTTGGGTGCAGCGAGTGTCCTGGGGTCGGCCCCACAGGCGACATCCGGCTGGGGGTAAGGCGGACGCTGCCCGCAGGACGCAGCCAAGGCCCTGCCGGGCGCCTTACCAACAGCGTGCAGAGCAGGAGCACGCGTGTGTGTCACCGGCTACGACTCTTTTAAGGGACAAACGTATGGTTAAGGGAAAAATAAAAAGTGCAGTTGGCAAGCGTGGCGGCTGGGACCGCTCGGCTCCGCAGGGCCGCCAGAAGGAAGCACATCCCCTCGCGGGTCTCAGGCTGTGCTGCCGGCGTCACAAGCAGGACCAAGGCAACCAAGGCGCCCTGCGTTCCCGGCGGGCATGGGGCGCGGCCCATCACGGGACAGCTCTGCACCCCGCCCATGACCATGCGCTTCGGTGCTGTCAGCGAATGTGCGGCTCCAACGTCGGAGCCTCGGGTGCTGCTCCTCGAGCCGTGCTGGGCACCTCGCTGCAGAGCACGGCAACCGTCGGTGATTCTGCAGAAACGGCGCTCGAGACGCTCTCGCTCAGATCTGTACGCCCGCCCCAGGCCGGATTCTGGGGATTGATCCAGGCAAACTATACACTCGATCCCCTAACCAAGTATTCTCATAAAATCTTACAAAGAAAGGGCACGAACTGTCCCACGACTATACATTCATCACGTTTATTTTCCCTCGACAGCACGTTCACCTCGCCTAACACCCCTGTGGCGACCCCACGCGTCTGCCTTCACGTGCTGACCCTGACACACTCCTCGGGCGTGCCTCGGTGATAAAGTCACTCGGCGACAAGAGCCTACCAACCTGGCCGCGTCTGGCTTTTAGTTTAATCCTTCAAATTGTCCTACAGCCAAGAGACCCTTTTACCCTGTGCACACGGCCCTTGAACCTTAACAGGGGCAGGCATGGCCCGGGAGGGGAGCAGCGGAGTCACCCCGGAGGCCCCGGCCCGACCGCCTCACCGCCCCAGCCTCGCATAGCAGCCACGGCCTCCCCGTCTCTGCGTCATCTTCTCAAGCAGGTCGTAGAGCAGCACATGCTCCCCTGCTGCAGTCTTCCAGACGCGTCAACAGTGCACCTTCTGGGAGCACAGGGCCCGAGCTGCGGCAGGATGTCACACCTGAACCACAGCAGGGCACAGGGAAGCCGGGGTGGGGTGAGGCCAGGGCACGGGGATGCCAGGGCCGAGGGTCAGGTGCAGACACACTGCTGCCAGTCTCCAGGTGTCTCGGGCAGGCTGTATTTTGGTTGGACCTCAGCACCTGGGCCTGAGGAGACCCAGAAGCCTCTCCCACCTTGCTGCCCTGCTGCGCAGTCCCTTCTGGGGGTGGGGGGAGACCCACAAACCAGCCCCCCCCCAGTGCAGCACCTGCCCTGTTTCTGCCCAGGACCCACCTCTCCGTCGGCCCAGCCTCTGCCTCCAGGACTCTCATGCTCAGAATTTGAAGATGCTCAGGTCTCTGCCTGCTCATCTGTAAGATGACGTGGCCCTCGCTCCCCTGGCCCCCCTTCGCTGCAGGAGGAGGTCTGGGCACTCTGCACGCGCTCCGCGGACGCTCTGGGAATGGGGGGGGACACTGGCCCTCCGCCTCTGTTCAGGCTGCTGGCGGCAAGCAGGGGTGCCGGCTTTGCTCCCCAGGGCAGCAGCGAGGTTTCCGGGTGTAGGGCCTGCTGGTGCCCCGCGGGAAACTCCCACACAGACGCTGGTCCCACAGGCGGAGGCCTGCCCTGCGCTCCTAACTCGCGGCGCACCCACCACAGAGAAGTACAGCCAGGCTGGCCCCGCCATCATCCGCAAGGACCCCGGAACGAAAACCCTAGGTGACCTCAGGTATCGGCACCTGCGTGCACACCGTGTGCCCCCCTCGGACACACTGGCCCGCACACCCCGTCCTCCAGACGCCCAAAGACGACTCCTCGGGACATGGTGAAGAGAGGCGGTGACAGGCCTCTCCCAGGGAAGGCTCCTGCCCACTGAGACCCCCGTCCCCTCCCCAGCTCGGTGCAGCACAGTTCCCTGAGTGCAGGGGGTGCTTGAGTCCACTGTGGGACAGAGTTGAGGCTGTGCAGACTTGCTCGAGTCCGCTCATCTCTGGCCACAGGCGAGTTTAGTTTCTGGTAAACCCGCTCCCCACAGAGGGGGAGGCACAGTGAAGGTGGGGGCAGCGACGGCCCTGGCGGTGCATGGGGCGCAGCCCCGCAAGGGAGGGCAGAGACGGCCCTGGGGTTGCATGGGGTGTACCCACAGCAGAGGCAGGGCAGTGACAGTTCTGGGGTTGCATGGGGTGTACCCACGGCAGGGGAGGGCAGCGACGGCCCTGGGGGTGCATGGGACGCAGCCACGGCAGGGGTAGGGCAGCCATGGCCCCAGGGCTCTGGGGCTTCCTTGCCCCCAGCGTGCAAAATTGGTGAAAACCTTCCGTCACCCCCCAAAAAAGGCAGAGAATTTGGCAAAGTAACTTTAGAAGATCTGGGAGCGGACACCAGCCCGCGGGACCCGGGACCCCTGAGCAAACCCACAGATGCCAGCCTGCAGGCCCCGGAGAGCGAGCTTTAATGCCAGAGAAATGTCACAGCTCAAGGAGGCGCTGGGAGCGGTGCCATCCTCAGGGGCCCTGCTGGGGGGTGCGTCCAGGGTCCTTCCTGGCCTTGGGCACAGCCCCTCTCCCTGCACTCCCTCAGTGGGCAGCTCCCTCCCCTGCACGGCCCCCTCCCCTGCAAGGCCGCTGCCTCCTTCCCCTCCTCCCTGCACAGACAGCTCTGCAGGCCTCAGTTGCCAGGCAGCGCCAAAGCCCACGCTGTCTTCAGGCTGAACAACAGACCGAGGCTCCAGTGCTGGATTCCAGAGCTCAGTCGTTCCAAAGGCAGGAAAGTCACAGGCGGAGCACAGGAGTCTCTACTCGGCTTCTCAAAACAATTAAGGGATGACAAATGCAGGAGAGTTGGAAAGAACAAAACCGCTGTCGGTGAATGAGAAGCCCTTCCCTAAAAGCTCTGAGACACAGGAGGCAGCCGGCCACACTGGCCACACTGGCCACACCGAGGCTCGCGGACGGGACCAGTTTCTTTCCTCTGCATGAGCGACGGCCACGATGGCCGCTGGCTGCTGGGAGGATGCACAGCGTGGATTTGACGCAGAGAGTGGCTCGCTGTCTGGCCCCGACAGCAGCAGGACCCTCACTCCTGAGGCATCTGGCCTGGGTGGCAAATGCGCTGTTCCCTGCCAGCACCCCGGGGACGCCGGGCAGCCCCCGACTCCCTGACCCGAAGCCTGACACGCCCCTGGGGTCTGGCTTGAGTTCAGTCTTCTGACACACGCAGAATTGGTGCACTTCTCGGCCACAATCTGTCGAGGATGGAGGGTCCCTCCCTGGATGGACAGCACGTCGGTTCTCTCTCCTGGAGGAGCGAGCATGACCTACACGTGACCAGGCACCTCCATCCTGCTCTGCTACCCAAGAAACAGCTGAGTAGCGGCTCTTGCTTCCCTGCCTTGATGCTACGCTTTGCTCTCCTCGTGTGTCACCACGCATATGACTGGAGCCACGAGGGTACAGGGACCGTCAGACACAGGTGGAACGAGGGTCCCCAGGCTGGAGCAGCTCCCGGGCTCTCACTGGCACCACGGACGGTGGGACGGCCCTGCCCTCAGACGCAGCAGTCCGGCCGGCTGACGAGCACCAGGACTCCACCATAACTTGGAAGCCTCTTGCAGAACGTTCGTACTCCTGCAGACGGAGCTGGACCCCAGAGCAGACCGCCGTGGGTCCCCGGCACCTGGAGGGACACACGCTTCCCAACCGCCACAGGCTGGGAAGGTTCTAGTCACAAAAGCACTCGCCACTCCCTGTGCACACGCACTCCTCCCCCCGTGTGCCCAGGCGACATGTCGGACCAACACCAGCTGAACGAATGAATGAACCAATAGATCGAGGACTGCTCGCTCGCTCGCTCTCTGCTAAAATCCTGCTCCCTCGTTGAAACCTAGCTTAGGAAGCATCTTCCCTGGGAAAACTATCGCCCTTGATCTCTCAAAGTGTCTTGCCCTTGTTTGTGCTGAGGACTGTGTGATATGGTGCCGCACGTGTGTTCTCAGATCCGAGCCCCAGGGCTTCGGGAGGCAGCATCTACACCGCAGTCATCTGGGGGTTATCAGAACGTGGCGCTCGGTTAGAAAAGGCCTTCGAGGGATCCCTGGGTGGCGCAGCGGTTTGGCGCCTGCCTTTGGCCCAGGGCACGATCCTGGAGACCCGGGATCGAATCCCACGTCGGGCTCCCGGTGCATGGAGCCTGCTTCTCCCTCTGCCTGTGTCTCTGCCTCTCTCACTCTCTCTGTGACTATCATAAATAAATAAAAATTAAAAAAAAAAAAAAAAAAAAAAAAAAAAAAAGAAAAGGCCTTCGATAAACAGGTCGGTGGAAGGACACAGTTTAGCTAAAAATTTGACAGTGGTCGGCGGTTCCATCTTTCTTTCCGCTTGCTCCACAGATACTTGTTGAGCGCCTGCTGCGTGCCCGGTCAGGACGCCGGGAGGGAAACGATGAGTGGTTACCCTCACGTAAGGTCCCTCACGCTCGTCAGCTAGCAGCACCCTGGTTCCTCAGACTGAGGCACCGCACCGTCCCCACAGACCACCCTGAAAGGTACTGTTGGGGCCAGGCGGGAAGAGAAACTCCTCAAGATGGCGGATACCCCAAATGGCTGAGGTTCCTGTCACCACCTCCACCTGGGACGCCAATGGACCAATGACCTGCTGACAGCTTGATGCAGACCCTTAGACCTCTCCTTTGGACTTACCCAACCGTACCCAATGCCCTTCAAACCCCAGAGGAGGAAGTCACCTTTGACTGACCGAACTGCAATCCTTCCTTTGCATAGGGAGGGTCACTCTGACTGGTTGGATTGCAATCCTTCCTTTGCATATGAGCCGACCAATAGGAAACCGTTCTGCCTTACAACGTTACGTAAACCCCCTGCCACCTTGTCTTGGCGCGACTTCCCCGACTCACTCTTCCCCTCCGTGAGTCGTGGAACCTCGCCCGAGGGTGCCTGCAATAAAATCTGTTCTTGGACCCTCGCTTGCCTTGGCGGTCTCATTTCCATTTAGTTACCAAAAAACCTAACAGGTACCAAACAGCACGTGAAGATGACACAGTCACCCTGGGGCGAGCGTTCCGCCCCCAAGACGGGCAGCGGGCATCTGGGGAGGCGGAGCAAGCGTCACCTCAACGCGGAAAACGCGCTCCCTGAACAAGTGCTCTCCCCAAGGTTATGGGCGGGCTTTGCTGGCAAGAGTGAAAAGCTCAAGGCAAGTCTGCAAAACACACCCACACCCCCGTTTCCAAGTATTTTCCAGGCTCTCGAACTGAAGGTACAACAACAGACTTCCCCTGAAATTGAAAAATGAAGAAAAAGCAACTACTCTCCCAAGTGACACATCTTCTTTTCGCCGCCAATGAGAACCGTGCCCCCCTGTGCCACGGACGGGAGCTCGTGGGCTCAGTCACGGCCCCAACGTCCTTTCTTCCGTGCACGGCCAACCCCTGAGCGACAGGGCTTTGAACTGCGTGGGCCCGGCTTCCACACACGTTCCCTTGGTAAACACACGGCAGTGCCACAGACGTGTCCCCGGGATCTCCTCACCGAGGCTTCCTGTTCCGCGTCTTTATCGTAAGAACACAGCACGGGATTCGGCTACAAAACGCGTGCTAGCCGACCCTTTACGTTCCCGGTAGGGCTTCGGGGCAACGGCAAGCTTTTGGCAGTTAAGATTTTTGGAGTCGAACGATATATGTGGATTTTCGACATATGAGGGTCGGCGCCCCGACCCCCACGTTGTTTAAGGGTCAGTCGTGTTCTAAAAATTAACTCTTCCTGCTATGTGCCTCTTAAGTATTACTGATTCATTCACATCTCCCTCTACGTCAGCTCAATACAAGTTGTAAAATATAAAGATGAGTAAGAAAACGTACTGGGGCCTTAATACAGCGTCCATTCTGTGGGTCAAAGCCGGCCCTGGTTGACCTGAGCACAGGAAGGCGCCTTTTAACACGGCTACCACTGCAAACATGCAAAGGCGTCATATTGTTCACAAAACCAAGTCCCAGGCAGGATTTGCAATCAATATTAGCGATTTAGCTCAGTTTTTAAGAACTTTTAACAAATGAGATGCACAAGTTGAACCTGAGTGAAATCTCGCCGACCTACGTCCGCCCAGCAAGCACCCGCGCCTCCCCTCCCCGCACCACTCCTCAGGACACCCCCAGCCATGGAAAACCCGTGACACGGTCTATTTTCCTTATTAGCTGAGACTGTGCAGTTCCTGCAAGAAGGACTTAGCGCTCAGTGATCCGGGGGTGTGGGAACTGTGACACCACATGCCCGGGGACGTAGCTTACCAGGCCAGTTACCCAACGGAATGACCGACCGTTAACGTTACACAAACGGCATCAACAGGAGACCCCACAGCAAATCAGACCTGATGCTCACATCAGGCCACGTTCCTGTGATTCCGAACAGACGTGCCTACGCAGCCAGAAAAGTTACAGGGTTTAAAGGCACCTTTTTCTGAGCACGTCAGAGACAAAATAATCTGGAAGGTTGTCCGATATGTTTATAGCATTTATATATTTAACACAAAGGCTCGTTTCATGTATGAAAAGGTTCCCTCCCTGAAAGTCCCCATTCACTGTGTTTTGTGTGCTCCAAACAGAGGCAGAGGCCAGCGAGTGAGCGAAGCTCAGCGGGGCTTTATTTGCATTAAAAAAGGCAGAGGGAAGAAGGAAGTCCTGAATACTGAATACCGGCCAAGTTCAAAATCTGCAGTGCAGAGGCCCTGCTGGTAACAGAAACCCTAAGTGCCACACAGCTGTTGACGCGCTGGCAAAGTATCAGGGCAGCCCCGGCTCATCTCCCTGGACAGGAGCACGGCCCAGCTCCCCCCCTGCACAGGGAGAGACAAGGGGGCTGTGCAGCAGAGCCAAGCCTACAGCAGGTCCACAGGCCCGAGACCCCTGCGGGGTCGGGACACAGGGGCCAGAGCCCCAAGTGCTGAACCAGAAACCACACCCGGACACTGAGGCATCCCCACACGGCAGGGCTTCCCCCTAAACCCAGAGGACGCACAGCAGCAGGGGAAAGCTGCAAGAGGAGGGTGAGCGGGCTCACAGCCGACACAACACAGGCTCCCAAGAGGTGGCCTCCCACAGCCCGGCCACCTCCCTGGCCCTCGGGCACCGCTGCAGCCAAGGAGCCGGCCCCGAGCCGAACAGGCACCTCAGAGCAATGTCACTTACTCGGCTTAGCGTTGGCGACCACTGCCAGGCTCTCGGGCGGGTGCACGGGGGGACACCTGCTTTCTCCAGCACCGTCGTTACTGCCGTACTCGATCACTTCTACGTGTCCAAGAGGAACACTCCACTTCAACAAATACCTCTGGCTCGATAACATTATGGTGCTGCTGTCGGAGGTGCTGAAACAGGGAGAAACCGTTCCTTAGGATTCATCACCTGCGTGAGTCACAGTACTGTCTATCCCTTAGATAATTCAAGTGAGGAAGCTTCGAAATGCTTCGGACTTGCTTGCAAAGTTGCCGTTTGGTCCCATAAAGAGGCCTCCCACTAGGTGAGGGCAGGCACTTCACTGCCTGACCCAGGGCGACGGGAGAGCGTGGACTGCGAGGTCCCAGAAAGCGCTCAGGGTCCCACAGAGGCGGAAGGGAACAGGCCGATGCTCCCTGATGGCTCCCTGGGCAAAGCTGCTCCTGCGTCCTGGCAAATACTGTTAGCAGGGACAACCTCCTGTGCAGTCTCTGACCATTTCTTACCAAAGTTCCTTCTTTACTCTTGGATATAGTAAAACTATTTCAATAAAATTAAATCATGTGGGCAGCCCAGGTAGCTCAGCAGTTTAGCGCCACCTTCAGCCCAGGGCGTGATCCTGGAGACCCGGGATCGAGTCCTGCATCAGGCCCCCTGCATGGAGCCTGCTTCTCCCTCTGCCTGTGTCTCTGCCTCTCTCTGTGTTTCTCATGGATAAATAAAGTCTTTAAAAAAAATTAAATCATGACATTATGCTCCATGATCAAAATACTTATTACGTAACAATGAAAAAAAAATCCCAGGTAATTGATCTCCTTTCCCCATAAAATGGAGCACACACGCATGCACCTAACTGGTTACGTGGAAATGCTAGAGCAGACACATGTGAGACCACCACCAGGCCAGTGCATCAGGGCTCCCAGCGCCTCGAGGTCCTCGGCGTGCCCAGGGACCTCACCCCTCCTTACTACAAGTGATCATCACAGTTTGCTTTCTTTAAGATATAGTTTTTTTTTTCTTTTTCCCCAATCAAAATGTAGAAAGCAATAGCCAAAATGCTGGGCACTGTACTTGAAACTGAAATACTTAAAAAAAAAGAAAAAAGAAACTGAAATACTTGACGTGTTGGGAGCCAGCTGGTACCCAAGCTACCCGACGTGCCCCTCACGTTTCAACTTCCAGCCCGTGTGGGGAGGGGCAGGAGGCACGCTCAGATGCTGAGTAACAAGTGCAAGACTGTGTATTTGATGCATGAGGCGGGCTTTACACCTAGCAACAGAAACCCAGGAACTTGGCCCCAAATTTCTACTGAACCTGCTTGAATCTCAAATCTCCACTCCTGATGTTCTGAGGCTACCAAGGGGCTCTTTTCACATTTCAGCCCGACCAAAGCGGGTCCTCCCTTCACCACCTTCCGGGAGCGTCGCTGAGAGCGCATCAGGGGGAACCAGACTGTCTGTTCCCTTGGTCACAGGATGAGGCGACCAAGCTCTGCACACAGATCGGTGCACCCTGAACGGGGGGTACTAAGGGGACCACCGCTCATGTGGGGTGCGGCACGCACGCTCACCGTGCACTGACCGTGGCGCACATCAACACATCACTGAGCATGAAGACCCGGCGCTCCTTGGTCTTAATGATTTCTCCTCTGTCGTTGTAAACAGTTTCTATCATATCGTCGGACCGCACGAGGTACCGGTTCCCGCTGCTGAGAAGCTGAACATTCAAAGTCACGCTTGACACAGTTCCCGCAACCGAGTTCCCCGAAAGAAGAGAAAGCGTGAGCCAAAGTCTTGCACAACACAGGAGCAGAACGCGTCACGGTTCGGCAGACTTTTCCCTTTACGGAGGATTTGCATACTTCCCATCACACTCCACGTGCACACTACGAAGAATCCCGAAAGTGGCTTTTTTTAAGTAAGTCGTTGTACAGACGGTGTTTGGAATCATCCTCAACAGTGAAGGGAGACTAACCCTCTGTTTGTAAACTTGCCTTCTCCAACTGAGACGCTGATCCAGCAAAGGGGGGCTCCTCTGTTTGCACCTGTCACTCTCCCTCCTCCCCTCGGATGACTTGCCTGAGCACAGACTCCATCCTTACACTGCCTCGCCCGGCCGCACAGTCGTTCTCTTACGTGTGACGCTACGTCAGCCGAGAACGTTCGTGAGCACGATAGCGACTCGGGGGGTTTTGTTTTCCCAATTAAGAAAACGTCTTAGTTTTTTGGGGTACGTCATAATTCTCCTCATGGGGCTGAACACAACACTTGGTTTATAAACCTTTGCAGAGATGCTTTGTGTTAATAAGACAAGACCAATCATAGAGAAGCTAGACTGATTGTGACTATTTGGCCCAAAAGAACATGGGGGAATCCGAAACTCAGGGGGCGTTCTGACTTTAAATCTGCAGCGGCCAAGCTCCTGGCCAACCTACTCCTGACGTGCTCACGGGGGTGACGAGGCTGCGCGCACGGGCACGGAACCGGGAGCGAGCGACGCACACCACTTCCCCGTCGGCCTGCATTGCTCTGTGCCTCACGGGCGTGCAAACACCGCGACCACAGGCAAGCACGATTCTAAACAGCATGACCATCACTGGCTGCGATTCAGCTCATAGAGACCCCACATCAATCACTCAGGAAATCAGGGAGAGCCTGTATTATGGTAAAGTTCTTGTGGCGAGGTCACTGAGGGTCACCATCTGATAGGAGACTACCCTACAGACAGAAAATGGTTTTAGCGACGATAAATAGGATTTGTGATTATCTAAAACAACTTCTATCGATTACCCTCCTCCTGTGGACCAGGGCCGTAAATAAATACGGGGAGGTCTACATAAAATCCACTCGCTGTCGCAAGAAAGACCTGTGATAGAAAGTGGAAACACGGCTCTGCCTAGGAGCTGCTTTCCTGCGGGGATTCCCTCAGTTTCCGTGACAACCACCACTTAAGCCGCACGTGACCTCCTCCGGTGCCATTCTGACCATCTAACACGAGACACCGCGTGGTGGCCGTAAGACTCTGCGACAGGAGCCAGTCTGAACCTCCGTGGGGGTCCCGGCCCGGGCAAGGGTCTCGTGAACCCGGCCCCTTCCCCAGGGACGCGCGCCCCGACCCGCCAGACGTCTCCATCAGCTTCCGAGGCAGGGCCCTGAGCCGCGGCCTCGCTGCAGCTTCCAGAAGATTAGTAGCAAGCGGCGCAAAGAACGGCGGCTTATTAGTGCGAAGCAAGCGGAATCGCAGCACAGAGAAACCTCGGTCAACCTTGTTCAGGTATCTCTCGTTGATGGCTTTGGCGACGTGCTTGATTTCGCAGCGCTGGTCGGCATCTCTCTTCCTCTCGTTCAGCTTCTCTGCTAACGTTTCCAGCTCCGTCAGCGCCATCTGAAGCGGCAGCCGGTCAGGATGGCCTTTGGAGGTGTTCTTCAGCATGTCCTTGGGAGAAACACAGTAGGAGGGGACATGTGACCGCCGGTGTGGGGGTGCAGGCGGCGGCACACACGCGCTCCCAGCCGGCCGCCGCGCCCCCGCTTCTGGGGGAAGATGGACCAGCCCCGGGGAGAGAAGAAGCCAAGTGACTCAGGATTCGGCTAAACACGGAGCAGCTCCTTTTGCAAAAACAAAGTGAACTCACTAAATGGCTTTGCTAATGGAAAAAACTAGCACTTCCCGATAAAGGGCTCCGTGAATGGGAACGGGCTGCACCCCAGGTCTCACAGGGGCCCTGCCCTCCGCACTCTGTCCAGCCTAACGACCAGCCTGTTGCTCCCACCGACACGGAGCCCGCACCCCAGCTTCGCCACGCTCCCGGGTGCACCCCTCCCCCTCCTATGACCGAGGGGCGCAAAGGCATGAGGAGGCTGCAGGGAGGACGCACGGCAGGCAGCGGCAACACAGTCACCCAGACAACGGAGCCATGTGCGTCACTCGGGTGCAGGCTTCCCAGAGCAATATCCAGGGGCACCTGGTGGCTCGGCGGGGAGCTCAGGTCACGATGCTGGGGTCCTGGGACCGAGTCCTGCATCGGGCTCCCTGCTCAGCTTCTCCCTCTCTCTCCGCCGCTCCCCCTCCCATTTCTAATAAAATGTTTAGAAAAAAAAAAAAAGAGCAACAGTGAAGCGACAGTCACAGCGCTGTCCCCTCGCTCGTACAGAGGACGCTCGCTGGCCTTCGGCCACTCGTCTGCTCAAGGGGGCACACGGTCGGGGGCATGCCCGCTCAGACCTAGCCCAGCCCACCGCCATCCCCCCGCGGCTACGCCGGCCCCAGCAGCCTGCAATCCAACAGCACCCTCGTCTTGTAACCTGCTTCTTATCTGAGAAAACAAAACCCTGCGAAACGAGGCAGCGTTTCTGGTCTGAGCGAGTTGCGTGCACCGTGCTACACGCGCATTCCCTCGGAGTCCCTTCAAGTCCTATTGAGGCGAGTAAAGCACCCGACAGCGCATTCCGGCTCCGAGGTCACAGCTGGCGGCTGCCGCCGTTGGCACCATCAGGACACGCACCGCAGCTGCGGAGCCGCGGGCTGGGGCCGCCGCATGCCGGGAGAGCACCCCGGAGCAAGACGGGAAGTCTGCTGCTGCTGCATCCAGGCACCGACCCACGTGCGTCCAACACGGGACAGGAAACGGTCACGGGAAGTGAGACAAAGATTCCTGGAGGACCACGTGTCCGAGAGGCGGGGCTCAGCTTCGCCGGGGCTCAGGGAGGGCTGCAGGGGTCCGAGCCCCAGCGGGGCCCAGAGAGCTGGGCATCAGGGCAGAGAAGGGCAGCGGGGCACCCGACGGGCCCGGGACAGGAGGAGGCAGCAGGCGGTGCCCGGCCACCCGACCCGCATGCGCGGAGCAGGACGCCCGCCCTGGGCCAGCCAAGCCCCGGGCCCCGCCCCACCTCAGGGACAGCTCCCGGGACCACCTCTCCTCGGAGCACCTCTCCGGGGAGCCCGGGACCCTGCGGGGCCCTTGCCCTCCTCTCAGACGTACACACCGCGGACTCCCTACTCCCTGCGCCCAACCGTGCGTTTCCCCACGTGCTCAACCCTCTGCCGCCCCCTCACTGGCCAGGGAACCGCTCGCCCAAATCCCAGAGTTCTCAGGTGAGTCTGCTGGGCCCAGACGGACGGGGCAGGAGGAGGAGGGAGACCCACGGAGTGACTGGCCTCACAGAGCCTGAGGGAACTAGGCAGGGCGGCGACCACAACGCTCATGGAGCATCCTCAGGCCTAAATCCGAGAAACGCCGCCAGGCCCAGGCCCCTGCGGTCGACAGGTACGAGGCGCAGAGCCCGACCTCTGATGGCTCCTTCCGCTTCCCACGGCCCTCCTGCCCTAAGGAATATACCTCGGTGAACACCTGGGTCAAGGGTTTGCTGCGACTTACGGACGATTAACCGAAAGCTGACGAGCTACACTGAAAATCACACCCAACTACAGCTAAGTGAGAACAGAAAACCACCAGGAGCGAGGCGTCTAGGTGCGACGTGGGCAGCCAGGGGTTGCCAGGCACCTACGGGCACGTCGCCAAGCACGGTCTGCGCGAGGGTCTGCACGCGCAGCGCACGGACCGGGAGGCGGTTAGGCCTTTGCCCCTGGTCCCTGCGTCCCCACGTAGCCGAAGAAAAGAGTGTCTAATCGCCTCCCCCACCGTCTTCCTCACCAAACCGCCTGCCTGGAGCCTCCTACATTCAGAGAGTTCAGTAAATACCCAACAACTGGAGCAAAACACATTTTCTGGATATTTTGATTCTAGGGGTAAAAAAACAAAGCAGAACAAACCCAGCTTCTGTTACTGAGACTCTAACGCCTACGCTGGGAACCAGGACCCAATGGGACACGTACACAGGCAACCGGCACCAGAAACAGCCTGTGCGCCTCGGCTCGGAAACAGCCGAGACCAACGGGTAACCGTGGGCGCCTTCCTCTCAGGGTCTCAGAGCTTTGTGGGTCACGAGGTACGTTCCCCACAGACTCGGCTGCTGGCAGCAGCGGCTCAATGCCGAGGGAGACGCCCCTCGTCTGCAGGGAGGGCACCGCGATCTGCGCTGCGACTCCACACTGGGGCCGCGGGAGCAGCAGGCTGGACATCGCAGGAGACCTGTCCCAGGCATGGGCAGGGACCCAGGCTCCAGGGGGACCAGGTGGGCGCAGACGGCGCATCATCCGCACTCAGAGCCGCTGTCGCTGGGAGCCAAACACCCACCACTCTGCGCATCTTTAGTTTTTGACGACGCTGGGGCGGCCATTGAGCCTCCTGCCACGGCGTCCCCGCCCCCTGCACCGTCTGTGCAGCCCCCTCACGACGGGCACACTTTGTCTGAGTCCTAACTCGGGCTCCCGAGCCCACCGACCCACCGACCCGTGCAGCACAGGGCGTGGGTCATTTTCCACCTGATCCTAGAACCAGGCCCTGACCATGGCAGAAGGGGGCGGATACCGCTCTGGCCCTGGGGAGCCAAGCCCCGCCCCACCTGGTGGCTCACGAGCTGGCTAGAGGGGGTCCCGGCTAGTGGGGGTGGTCCCGGCTACTGAGGATCCTTGCTAGAGGGGAGCCGGGTTGGAGGGGATCCAGGCTAGTGGGGGTGCCGGCTACTGGGGGTCGAGGCTAGAAGGGACCCAGGCTAGAAGGGGTCCGGCTAGAAGGGGTCCAGCTAGAGGGGGTCCCAGCAGGGGGGGGTTCCAGCTGGGGGGGGGTCCCGGCTAGTGGGGGACAGACTAGTGGGGGTCCAGGCTAGTGGGGGTCTGAGCTAGTGGGGGGGGGTCCTGGCTAGTGGGAGACAGGCTAGTGGAGGTCCGGCGCCCTCCCCCTGCCCTCCTGGAACTGCTGGGGGAGAACAGGAAGTCGGAGACAGAAGCAGAAGGGACACCGCTGTCCACAGTCACGGGCAGGGGCGTGTCCTTACCTGCAGCAGCAGAATGAACTGCGGGAACCTCTGGATGGGCTTCATCATCAGGCTGTAGAGCGTGACGCGGTCGGGGCTGGACTCCTGGCACTGCTGTGGAGAGAAGCTCGCTTACTCGCACTTGGCCCGTGCTGGCCCCAGCTCCGCCGCCGGGGCCGGGGTCACCCCCGCCCGCAGCCCCGCCCCGTCCTGCACCCCGCACCGCGGGACATGCCCGCCCGAGTCGCCAGGCCTGCAGCCCGTCGTGGCAGGCTCTGCACCAGAATCTTCCGGGTTTTTCGCTGGAGGCTTTCAGAGCCACCTCTGACTGCCAGGCAGGGTTCGTTCGGCCCTTTATGAAGCCATTGCAATCCTCTAGGGACTGAAAAGTGCACTTACTAAAACAGGAAGAGGATCACGGACTCCCAAACAAGAGCAGCCAGGGCCCCTAGAGGAAGCCTGCCCCACGCCCCACGCCAAGTTCTCTGCAGCAGCCGCTGCCAACCTCACCCGGCTCTGCTGTGGGGTCTTGGGGTGAGCAGTGGGGTGTCCCTGGGTCTGAGCCTGTCTGAGCTGGCCCAGGAGCGGCTGTGGCCGAGAACATCCGGCCCGAGGGCCCCTCTCTCATGTGCCAGGGGCAGCCTCATCCCCTGGCCCGCGTCCCTGAGCCGGGGACCCCCACCTGGCTGGACCACCTGCACACCCAGGGTCGGGTCTCTCCAGCCAAGGGAGCTGTGCTGTCGGATGGCAGAGTGAGGGACCGGCCCCAGCACCACGAGGGCAGCCCAGCCTCCCGACGCGATCCCGGGCTGGGCCCTGACGACACACTTGCCCGTCCCCAGGCCTCCTGGTAGGAAGGAGGTCGCCTGCCAGCGGGGGCTGTGGCCGGCTCCCCGGCTGACATCTCGGGTTCGGTCAGCGTCCACAGGACCGTTACAGCCTCCTCCACAGAGGTGAACGTGTGAGTCGCCTGCACTGCCTTCCTCCAGGAGCCGTGCTGCTGCGGCACGGAACGGCCGCGGAGCACCGAGGCCCCCACCGCCGGGGGCCGACTAACGGGGGAGGGACAGCCGGCGAGACTCCCGCCCGAGTCCGCTCGCTGCAGGGAGCAGGAGCTTTGGGAATTCAGCTCAGGTAACACGCATGAACCTTGGCTCAAGGTTCACGATTGGAGCTGAGGTCTCGTGCAAACGAGGTCCAGGTAGGTGGCTGGTCACGGTGAGGGGCCGTGGGCTGAAGACCCCAGCTCAGCAACAGCCCTCGGCAGACGCTCCCCATCGCCCAAGTCCGACACACCTCCCCTTGCTGTGCACCTGACACCAGCCCAGGGACCAAGCCCCCGGCCCAGGGAGAGGCCCATTTACTGCTCTGACTCGTAGGGGGCGAAGACTCCACCCCAATCCCAAACTCTGTCTGCTGCCCCTAACGTCATGCTGACAGACAGGAAGCCAAAGCAGCTTCCTTTGGGGCCAGACCTTACCTTTCCATCTGTCCATCCACCTACACTCTTCCAAGGATGCACAAAACATAGCTTATTTCCAAAAAATGACGCCACCGCTGCAGACTCATCTCTATTTCTAGCACTGACCCAACATTGGTCAAAATCTTTATGATAAATAACGTTACATGTCTAGAGACAGAGTGTGGTGAGAATTTCACTGAGAAGCGTTTTGACGTGGAACCTGTCACCGGAGGGTGTGGGAACCCAGAAGGAAAACACAAGTGCTTACCTTTAAGAACTCGAGAAAAGCAGGCTTGGTAGCACACGTCTTCTTGAGGATGGCCACGGCGGTGCTGAAGTTATTCACGTACTCGCTGTAGGCGTCCAGCACCATGGATTTGGAAAACTGGAACGTCGGAGCAAATGGAGAACTATCAGCAGCGCCTGAGCCCCGGGGCTCCCTGCACCCGGCTGCGACAGAAGATCTGAAAACTGCCCCAAAGACCACCCCTCGGCCCCTGGGAGGTTTCCACAGGACCCACTTCGTTACAAACGTGTGTGATTTTTTTTTTCTTTTTTCAGCCCATGGGTTAGGCACTGTTTACGCAGCTGCACGACCTAACTCTGCGGCCTCGACGCGGACGCGCTGCCGGCATTGCCATTCAGGCCGCTGGCGGTCTGGCCCTCAGCTAAGCAGTGGCCCTGACCACAGACGACCAGAGAGGAGGGTGTCCCAGGAGAGGGACCCTGACCCTGAGGAGGAGAGGAGGGTGTCCCAGGACCCTGACCCGCGGGCACGGAGCCTCCCCTGGGGCCCCAGGGCATCCAGAGACCGATCCTCTCCCGCCACGTCAGCCTGCTGCCCGGGGTTCCTAACACCAAGGGCCTCCCTCTGACACTCTCCTAAGACCCCACACATTCTCAAGATAAACAGTCCTATCTGTAAGCAGGTGCCTCATGTGACTGTCACGGAAAAAATGCTTTTACCTAAACTTGATGTTTTTAAAATTTTTTCCTTTAAAAGAAACGTCCCCAGGGTAAATATTTCAAGACAAAGTAAATGTAGACACCAAATGCATAACAATAGCCAGGAAACATCACAGCAGAGGAAACATCCACGGCTTCCTCCTCTGTTTTTCATAAGGACCCCGAACGGGATCACGCAAGTACTTTAGTAAGAACTCCCGTTCTCGTTCCCGTGCAGGGCGGCCTGTCACGTCCACGCACGCCGGAGGCTCCCCCGCCAGGAAAGGTTAACACAGTCGTGCTTCCCTCCCACGCGCGTGGGCAGAGACCTGACCCCGGGGGCACACGGGCCAGGGCGGCACACTGCTTGCAGGGCCCCGGCTTGGCCACAGAAGGCCCGCTCCACTGCCTGGGGACGCTCCGGGGACACTGGCAGCCCTGCCGCCGGCCTCGGGCGGTGCCTCCGGTGCTCTAGAGCACGTGCCCCTGAGCAGGGCACCGTGGCCTCCGAGGGCCCCGGACGGACCCGGCCCGCTGACCGGGACGCCTGGCGGGAGACCTCCTCCGCCCACCCACAAGGACAGCAAACGGCACAGGGCACAGGCAAGCTCCGCAGGGCGGGGGCGCGCCGGCAATCACCGAAGCCACAAAGACGTCCCCGATGGTCTCCACCGAGTCCCACTCGGCCACGCGGCTGGCCAGCGCGATCTGGAACATGCCGTGGCACTGCAGCAGCTCCTTCACTCGGAAGAACACCATCTTTAGCTTCCTCTCGCTCAGGATCTTTGGCTCCATCTCCGACAGCGGCTTCTCGTATTGCTGATAAAGACACGCGTGAAAACACACAGACCCGGCGCTCAGCGTCTCCGGGGAGGCTGTCCGCGGTCGGTCTGTGCGGGAACACGCACGTAGGCGAAAGGCCAGGGCGACCTGGGTCCGCCCCGCGACACGCGTACCTCCAGAATCCGCTTAAGAGCATCCACGTAGTTCTTCTCGCTGTCGACCACCGAGCCCAGGATGTATCTTCTCACGACCTGTTGATCGGAAAACACACTGCAGCCACTGGGCAGGGGACGGGGGGACGGTGCTCGCTGCTGATAAACTGGCTCTTTTGGTGCTTTGTCTCCAAAACCACAGGTGGGGGAACCTCCGCAGGCCTCCAAGGTACTTCAAGTGGCCTATTAGCTAAGGTGACAGATGCAAGGCTTGTACAAGCCCGCTGCCGCAGCGACGAACACCATAAACCTCACAGGGAAAGCCGTGAGGACAGCAGCGTGCGGAGGTGTGGGGCAGCTCGCGTTTGGGTGAAGGGTAAGGATGCGGCTCCAGCCGACTCCGCGCTAGCAGCGACATGTATGACGAGGACAGGATTCTGACGTCGCACAAGAAAACACCCTCGAAAGGTGGGAGAGTTGATTATTTATTTTGGCCCAGAGCTTTTAGCCAAAGACCCAGGCAGGAGGCAGAGGCCAGTGGGCAAAGTGAGGCTGCTCAGGCCACAGACACGCATGTGCATCCCTGGGACGCGCCGGGCATGGCGCTGGGCACCGCCGTCGGGCCTGCGGAGTCTGGGCCGTGACGGCCGCCAGGACGCGGACACGAGCGCAGGATCCCGGTCAGGCTGCCTCTAGGACCCCCTCCTCGCAGGCCACCACCCTGCCCTGAGCTCAGGCGGCTGCTGGGCTGAGGGGCAGGGGCTGAGCCCGGAGACGCCGCCTCCTACCTGCTGCTGAGACAGGCCCTCAGGCATCGGCGTCAGGATGGCTTCCGGATGCTTGCACTCAACGTCAATGAACAAATTCTGCTCCTCTTCAAGACAGGATCTGTGGTCTTAAAAAGAGTCAGAAGGCATGAATTTCACATTGACGTGATATATTCATTTTTTTTTGACGCGATATAGTCCTAATGGTACAGTGTGATAATAAAAAAAGAAAAAGAGCAGTCAAATCAATGCTCCGGGCAGACACTTCAATCTTCTGCGTGTGCTTTCCACCTGGCAGTGATGAAACTGCCATTTTAGCAAACACAAGAAAATATCCTTTCCACTAGGGGAACACGGGGTCCACCTAGATTTGGAATTTTCAATACTTTGAAGTCAAATTTCGTACAGCAGAGGTGCCACCTGAAGAGCTGGCTGGTGTTCAGAAATAAACACTTCAATGCTTAACGTCGAACGGCTCGATACTTGCGAGCATGGGGTCATGTGGGTTTTTTACCTTTGAGTTTTCACTATTGGCTTGAACTCTTCTATTACAAGAAGTCTAAGTTACTTTAAAAAAAATAGATTGCTATCAAACAAGGTTAAGTTTTTAACCTAGAAGAACAGATAAATAAATCTCCAAAATACTGCGTTCAGAAGCAAAGAAGGGAAGCTAAGACCCACCCTCAGTAATCCACCAAATACTCGGTGGATTTCCTGACTTTCCGTTGGCCTTTCTCACTGGGAAAGCACAGCCTCCATCAAATCAAAACATTTAGACCCAAACTAAAATCACTTTCAAAAACTGGGCTGTAGCTAAATAGAGAATTCACAAAATGGCTGGAAAACTGGAAAGCAGAGGAATTCTTAGGTAGTAAGAGCCAGAGATGACCAAATCCAAATACCCAGAACCCGGCTGCACAAAAAAGTCCCTGAGGAGCATTGAAAACCCGGCCAGTGTCTACACGGCCCTGAGACGGGCCCAGGCCCCGAGCGCCCAGCACACCTCCTGCCGGGGGCCGGGACCATGGGAGCCCCGCTTGGCACCCACGAGGCAGAAGGGGCAGCCCCGTGGAGGATGGTCCCTGCTTTCGCACAGAGCTACACGTCCTCTTGCCCTAAGACCCAGCGACCACGCTCCTTCGTGTTTACCCAAATCAGCTGCTGCCTTCTGCCCCGTGAAAGCTGAACAGATGCGACCACATTCATCCATCGCGGCCAAAGCCTGAGGTGACCAACGCGCCCCTCGGTAGGCGATGGGCACAAGCCACAGTCTGTGCACACGCGGGACAGACGCTGGACATAGAGCCTTCAAGCCGTGAATGGACGGGGGAGCCTGGACCACACGTCCCTAGGGGAAGAGGCCAGCGTGACGAGTGTGCGCTCCTGATGATGCCCACCCCGACCAGTCCGGGCCGGCGACGCCCGCAGAGACGGCACAGAGATGAGAGGCCGCCGGGCTGTGGTGGCGGGTGGGCCGTGCAGGCGGCGGCGGGGGCACAGGGCATAAAGCCACGCTGGGGGCAGCTCTACTGCCTGTCCCTGGGCTTGTCCCCAAGCCTGCAGCCCGCACCACCCTGACACCTAAGGGGTCCGCGTACACCAGGAATCTGGGTGATGAGGACGCGTCTATGCCGCTTCATCAGTTCTAACAAAGGTACCAACTGGTTGGGCGGGGGGGGCAGCTGGGGGGGGTGCTGGGGGGAGGCTGGTGGAGGATGGTGCAGGGGCTGGTGGGGGAGCTGCAGCGAGAGGGAGCTGGCATTGGGGGGAGGTTGTGACAGCAGCGGACAGGGTATACATGGAAAATCTCTGCACTGTTTTTGCAGTTTTGCTGTGAATTTAAAATTGATCTCAAATAATAAAGTCTTAAAAAGAAATAGAAACAGACCTTCTAGTAAGCAGAGCCACCTCGGGCTTCACTGGTCCCAGGGCTGCGGGACCTCGGCACGTGGGATTTCTTAAAAGCTCCCACTTGATGCACGAGGACAGCCAAGGTGCAGAACCACTAACTCAGCCCATCCTGCCCGGCACGGACCCACCGATCCTGGTTCAGGGTCTGTCTGGGGCGGGGCCTCAGCCAGCCCTTCTGACCACCGGGACCACCTGGACCACCACGGCCCAAATCCCAAGCTCGGCACCTCTCGGACCCTGCCTGTGCTCTGCAGGTGTTGATCCTGGGGGCACCCGGCAGGCGCTCTGTACCTCGTCAGGCACACACCCCGTCAGAACCCCCAGCCCAGCCGTCTCCTCTCCAAGTGACCCGCTGGGGCTGCACCCACCCTTCCTGCGTCCTGTTTTGAGACGCTAAGACTTCACTGGGACGCAAATTCATACCAGAATCTAGTTCATTTTAACGCCAACAGCACAGTCTCACGAGGCTGCTCCTCGGGGAGGCACGTTTCACGGTGCTTTCCAGGCACACATGCAAACAATAAAGTCGTGTTTAAGGGGATCCAGCAGCATCTGGGTGCCACCCCGGGAGAGGGGGCTCAGCCACCATGTGAGTAACCAGCATTTTCTCAGACGTCGGCCAGTCCTTGGCCCGCAGCGTGCTGTCCACGTGGAGCACACCAGACTCCACCGCTCTCTCAGACGGACAGAAGGCGCGGGCCCCGGCACCCCGGCCAGGGTCTTGGAAAGCCTGAAACTCTCGGAATCATCCCAGATCCTTCCTCACTAGCACAAGGGTTCCTAAACCCCCTGCTTAGAACAAGACCTCCTGAGCTCGTGTCCTTGTGGGAAATACTCATACGAGGATGGACACTCTGAATGGATCACCAGTTATGCATCATAAGAATAAATTTGCAGGGCGCCTGGGTGGCTCAGTCGGGTACACGTCTGCCTTCAGCTCAGGTCTGGATCCCGGAGTCATGGGAGCAAGCCCCATGTCGGGGAGTCTCCGTCTCCCTGCCCCCCTTGCTCGTGCTCTTTCTTTCTCAAATGAATAAATAAAATCTTTTTTTTTTTTTTTTTTTTTTTTAAGGACTAGACTTGCTGAGAATCCAGAGTGACTGGGGTCCCGGGATACGCAATGGGATTTCGGGAGGGAGCACAGAGAGCGCAGCCGCCAGGGCCCACGTGCCGAGGGGAGACATCAGAAGAGGAGTGACGTCTCCCACCCACAAGAACCCGTCACTTTCCAGTGCCTGGTGTGCGTGTGCCCCGAGCCCCTGCACAGACCCGTGCGCGCCCTCAGCTGAGAGCACACCGCGCCCCACGTGGCAGGGGAGACCCAGGCGGCCTGGCGACAAGCACGGTGCTGGGGGCGTGCGAGGTACCCGCGGCCACACTCGGCACCGCCCACACGCTGCAAGGCAGAGGGGAGCTCGGGTGCAAGCCGGGCCACACACCTGCAGCCATGAAGGACCTGGTCCGAATGAGAGAGCGGCCTCTCTTGACGGCAGCCTTGGTCTTCTCTAGCCCGTCCTTGGTGCCCTCCTTGGCGGCCTTCATGAGCTTCTGCATCTGCACAAAGACAGGGAAACGTGAGAAGTTGCACCGTCGATAAAAACCCACTTTCCGCATTTATTTTATTTTAAAAGAATACTGTCAAGTAGCTTGGTCTTAACGTCCCCGGAAATTGGCTCTGTGGTCTGGGGGAGCTTGCTCGCTTGTTGTGTGTACACGTGTGTGGCTCGGGCCACGTTCTGTTTGTTGAATAAAGAAAGAAAGAAGAGCGAACTTTAACGAGATCCCTTCCTTGACCTGGGGGGACGGTCCCCAGCTGCGTGTGAACGTCAGTGTCCATCTTGCTGTGGCGGCTCAGACACAGAGAGCTCTGTAGACGTCAGAGGCAGAGGAAGGGAACGTGCACGTCACAGGGCACAGGGCGGCCCAGGCCACAGGGCGGGCGCAGGGAGGGGCAGGTGGAGCCGCCGCCAGGGGCCATCCCAGGGCCACAGACGGAAGGAGCCCACCTCCCGAGGGAGCGCAGCGTCGGGCCCTGGCTCCCTGAGCCCAGAGTCCCGGGGACACGCACTGGCCGTCGGTGCCCAGAGCTCCAACGACCCCCTGGGCATCTTACCTTCCTCGTTCTTTAAAATTCTACGGTCTGAGGTCCTGGCCGTCAGGCCCCCAGTGATTCTTTCTGAGAAACCCCAAGTGGCTTCCAGACACACCAGAGGGCATCCACGCTGCCTGCCGCCCCGGTCCTCCCGACACAGGACGGATTCGATCCTGCTGGCTGTCTCATCTCCACCTCCCTGCCGCTGTGTCTCGGGGCTGGGGCATCAGGGCCACCGCCCAGTGGCTCCCTAGGGACGCGTCGAGGTCAGACATGCACTGCGGCCCCGGCTGTTCCTGCTCCTCCTCTATTCCCCTGAGCCTCGACCGGCTGCCCCCCAACCCCGTGCCCGCTCGCTAGCTGGGACCCTGCCAGCTGCACGTGCCCCACTCCCGAGCCCCGTGTCCTCCCTCCCCATCTCAAGGACGCGCCATCTCCCCAGCCGTGCTGGGCCTGCACCCTGTCCCCTCGCCCAGGGCTCGTCCGTCTGCAAGGTGCCTCCGCTTCGTCTCCTGACCCACACAGCCTCCCAGATCCCACCCTTCCTTACCCCGTGCCGGCCCGCTGAGCCAAGCCCCGGCCAGGGTCCCTCGAGTGAGACGCAGAGGACTGTGAACAGAAGGCAGCCTGCAGGGTGGCAGCGTGCCCCGTCCTCGAGCAGTGGCAGAGGCGCAGGGTGTGGGGAGCTATGGTGCCACCCCAGGTCACGCGCAGCCAGGAGACAGCCAGGCCCCCGCCCCTTCCTAACGTCCGCTTCTTACTGGATGGAGGGGTCTGCTTGGCCTGGCCCTGGCTACTTGCCCCATCTTGCTGCTCCCTGCGGCCCAACGCGGGCGGCTCGCCCTGCCTCTCCCTGCTGCCTGCAAACTCCTGCCCCGAGCTGGCCTCCGTCACACGTCCCCCATGACCAACGACCGAGCTCACGCTTCTCGGGAGAATCGCGCCAGGCCCCAGACCGTGTGGCCTGTGCCTTAGACGCTGCACAGGAACCAGCCGGAGGCTGACCTGAGTGACGGGACCCCAGGGCTTCGCTCCTGCCGGGGGAGCCCGAGGCACAAACACTCGGGACTTGAGCAGGTGACTATGACGAAGACCTTTCTAAGTGAACATCTATTTCAGCTAGACGCCACTTAACACATACACACAGAATCACAAAACGTGGGAAGGACAGACAACCTCGTGGACGTGAACACTACTTGACAGTGCCCTTTTAAAACACACCCCCAAGGCCTGGCCGCCTCCACCTGCACACCTAGCGGCTCTCGAACGTGCTGGTCTCGGGAGCCCTTTACGCTCCTAAAAATACCAAGGGCCCCATGAGCTCTGTTTATCTGGCTCTCGCTGGCCCACATTTACTGGATAAAGAGTTAAAACTGAAAACGGTAATCAAGCTTTTATGAATATTCATGTAAAAATAATAACGAAGCTATTCCATGTTATCCAAGTAGCACATCCATGGAAAGTTCCTGCGTTTCCCAAACAGCAAGAGGGGTGCTGCCGTCGTGCACGCGTGGAACGTGCTTCGGGCCGAGACACAGCAGATCCCGCCCCGGGGGCTGTGGCGTCACACACGCCGCGGGGCCCCGGAGCAGGCCCGTCCCGGGTAAGAGGAGGAGCCAGGGAAGCAGTGTCTCAGATTTCACAGGAACCCGCAACGTGGGCCGTGGTGCCACCAGGACGCCCAAGAGCACACTGAGAACCACCGTTCAGACGTAAAGGCCGCCTTGGTCGCCCTGGCGCTTCACTCCAAAGCACGGCCTACGTCTGAATGAGCGTTTTCAGTGCTGGTCAGAAAAGGGACCACACTACCTTCGGTTCATGCCTCTGCTTTAGCTGCTGAGTCTCTGAGGCTCCCACCACGTCTGCCACCAAAGCTCTCATCTTTTTCTCATAGTGCTCCTTGAAACGGGTTAGGTCATGGGAAAGCTACAGCATAAAGAGACACAATCTTTTCACAAAGACGCTCCTTTCAGTACTTTGCGACAATCTGACGTTGAGAGGACGCGGCGGCGGTGGCGGCGGCGGGGCCCCGCGCATCACGGGGAGCCCCCAGTTCTGGCCCAACTCCTGAGAGATAAAAACGAGGAAGTCAAACACGTGGAGCAAGGAGGCAGCTTCGGATGAGCCAGACGGGGGACTTTTCCGTGCCAGACGGGCAAATGCAGAAACGAAACGACCCGGGATGTCATTCACACGCGTTCTGAGGATGTTAAAAGGACCAAACGGGTAAATAAAATGTGTATGAAAGTATCCTCTTGTGGCGGCACCAAGGCAGGAGACACCCGAGGTCAAGGCCGCCCTCCAGACAGGGAGTCGCCATGGGAACAGGGGCTCAAGTCCCCAAGCCAAGGGAACGGGCGGTCACCTGTCACACTGACGGGAGGGGAGATGCAGGTCCAACACCTTCCATGTGACACACACGGCTCGGACCTGGGAACCCAGTCCTCATGCTTCTCTAGCGTGTTTCCCACATCAACCCAGGCAAAGACACTCTAAGCAAATTTCGATTAAAAATAAAAAGGACTCTCCTTGAGTTGACCTGTCAACAGGCGACCAGTAAGCCGGCTCAACACTGTGACTTGCACCAGCATGCCCGGTCCCTCCATGGCCCTTCCGGCTTGCTGGCCCTGCTCTCAGCTGCCCCAGGGGCGGCCGGGCCGGGGCGAGGGAGCGACGAGGATGCCCATGTGATCACCCGGCTCCCAAGCCACCCTGTGGGCCATTCCCCACTGGGGGGCGGCCTCTCACTCGGCATTTCAGGGGGGCTGTCCAGGAAAGGGGGTCCCTTCGGAGGGTGAGGAGGGCAGTGTCTGTCCAGTAAGCGCGTGACTGGCTCGTCAGGGGGCACCCAACACCCAACACCCAACCCACCGCCGGAAGGAAACTGAAGAGTGTTTTCCCCACTCTTCCGAGGGGCCTGTGCACAGCTCTCCCGGGGGGCGGGAGGGGGGGGGCGGGGAGTGAATCCCAGGGCGGCTTCCCTCACTAGCCTGGGCTGTGCTGCCCGCTGCCAGAGGGCGTGCAATGACGTGAGGGGCTCGGGTGACCCACACAAAGCCGTAGGTTCTTCCTGAGTCTCGTGAAGCCCTTTCACAGACTAGGAGAACACTAGGTGACCTGTAACCACATGCAAGCCGGGTGCACACAGGGGCCCCGCCCCACCCACTGCGCTGCCTCCTGGGTGCAGGCGTCACCCACACAGTCACAGAGGCCGGGCATCGATGCCGTCACAGTCTGCACCCACAGGGTCACACAGCAGCCTCCGTGCCTGTGGCCTGCCACTCAGCCCCACACAGAAAACACATCTGTGAACACGAGTGCGGATCACCCCTTTCACCGACAGCCAGAGCCCAGCAGCCGAGAGCAAAGGCACAGCCACTCACCACTGAAAACCACGAGTCTCCGCCAGAGGATCTGCCTCAATGCAAGTGCTCCCAGGCCCGCATCCGCCCAACTCCAGGAGTCACGCTCCTGATGTCTGAAGTTCCTCCTCAGACCTCCATCTCATGAGGCCGGCACACGCATGCGCACACACCCCCCGGGGCTCTGTCCTTCACCATCATCCGTGTCTCAGAGGCCTGACTCCGACCGCTCAGGGCGCACGGACCCCGTGACGGTGCACAGACAGCAGGACGTGTACGCAGCACAACGCAGAGGACGGCTACTTAGGGCCTTCTCAGTGGGTCTGTTTATAAAAACTCCCCGCGATGATTATACACACAATGTAAAATCAGGGACCCTTCCCTACCACTTAGCCTTCCTCATACCACACAGCGACATCCTAAAAACACTTAGATATTACGGAACGCAAATTTTATTGTCCGGTTTGCGTGTTAACGTGAGATGCTCTGTCTCTCACACACACTGAACACATACTTGCTTTTTGTGGTTGCTGCGCAGGAAGGACCTGGGGACCCCATTCTTGCACTCCGAGTCACTCTGCTCCTCGTAACTTTCGAATTCACTCGAGCTCCATCCGTATTCCAAGGAGCTGTTTCCACCTTCCTCTCCATTCTCCACGTCGTCATAAATCATTTCATCTGAGGGCAAAAATGCCAAAATGAAATATCACCGGGTCGGGGGTCGGGGGCGGCGATGTGCAGGGTTGGACCAAGTGCTCAGGAGCCCCCATCCCAGCATCTCCTGAGGGCCGCTGGTCTATAAGAATCTACCAGAATTATGCCAAACAACTTATCAGCCATATGAAGATAAATGTACGGAATACAGGCAGAGTAGACAAGGAGGCGACGGGCGTATCAATGATAGAAATAACCAAATATGAACACACGTGAAGCTCATGGGAAACAACTGAATTTTGCCTTTGTGCTAATAATGGTGTAATAAGTCTTATAACCTATTACTGCTTTTAAAATGTCGTAATCACATCAGTCATTCCAGAATCAGTGAAGAACACATGTCTATGCCACCAAATACAAGAACAAGGGAGCTTGGGTTGAAAAGTTGCAAAGGCTTTGATTCCCCCATCGTTTACTTCGTAATCTGTATTCTGCAAAAGTGAATTCACCGAGCCGAGCCGCCTTACGGGCACTCCCACGGCAAGGACATTCACCACCAAATAATTAATCTTTCTAGTAGATACAAAGGCCACAGATCCACAGCAAGTAACTGTGATATGCCTTGACCAATGCCAAAAAAAAAAAAAAAAAACAGTGGTACAAAAAATACGGATGGATCTGCTATTTGCAGTGCCGTGTGGCTGGTGGCCGACTTTCCGGGAAGGAAAATGTCTACAAACTTCTAAGGCATCAGTGTCTTGATTTCTATTACTTATTAAACACACGAGCATAAATGGTTATTTCAGCTGCAGTTTCTCAGGTACAAGTGTCTTGTTAAGAGTAATTTCTGCTTAAATTATCACTGCAGGATAGTACAAAGTTAGATAAAAGACGGCATTTCCACACCCGAGAATACATTCACATTTCTTGATTAGATTTATCCCATAGGCATCCTCAACTGTCCTCTGTAATAAAACCTGGCCTTAAAAATCTTCAGTAATTAAGCCCTGATGGATAGATCCTTTAGGGCCAAGAGCCAGCTTTGTATATATAAGGACATTTAAAGGAAAACATCTGTTTTCACTGGAAATGAAAAGTAGATACGAATTTGTCACTTTGAAAATTCCTGTAATACTTCAGATTGCCCTGGCCTCGCATTATGTCTCCACTGGATTCAGATTAATTCCACAACATAAAACAGAAATCCAAATTTCTGGTTAAAAGCTCTATGGAGTAAATGTCATCTGGATAAAACCGCCCAATATTTGAAAATGAATTCACTTTCCAGAAGCCGCAGTGGTGTGGTTCAGTGTGCCTGAAGGACACCTGCAACTGACCACCTGCTGCGCAACTGGGGCAACAGGGCAGGTGGGGGTGCGGCCAGACTCCGGCTTAGTGGCTACGTGTGAGGCAGGGCCAAGAGCCATGCCGACAGCAACATTTGGCCACGAGTGGAGGCACCCGCTGACCTTCCACGGACCAGTCAGCAATGAGGTGCCCAAACATGCAGAAATGTGCCTGTGCGCTGTCCCCCCAGTGCGGTTCATAAATCTTGAAGCTGCCAGATTAGCACGCCCTCCTCCCTTCACCCTCTGGACGTCGGGCTAGTGTGTCTGCAGGAAACAGTCTGCACACACAGCACTGCAGGTGTCGCTCACGCCTACAGCAAGACCTCCAGACTGCGGGAGCCAGCTGCAGGTGCACCAGCTGGTCCCAGGTCCGGGGAGACAGTGGAGGGTCCTGCTCTCGGGTGAACCCTGCTCTAGGGTGGGCTGGATGGCTTGTCCATCTTGGGGAAGTAAGAGCCATCACAAGCGCAGGCCCAACGGACCTTTAACTTAGGTACATTACCACTCAGTGGTCAGAATGTGTGAGAATAATGCTCCTCCGTGCTCTGGAAAGGGCTCTTTGGGCCTCCCCTGCATCCTGAAACTTTCAAGGCCTCTCTACAGTGTCTCATGAACTACAGATGATTGACGGTTTGTGAATTATGAGGCCCTCTAGAGCTCCTGGATGCACAGATTGATGCCTTCCAACACTGGAAAGTAAACCCACCACAGGGCAGGTGTTTCTCCCACAAGCCAGCGAAGGAGAGCTGGTCTACCTGGCTGAGATTCTTCTGGGCAGTAACCATGCTACCAGCCCCAGGCCAGGACGCGCCTAAGAAGTGCTACTGTGGCGATGGCTACATCACCCCGCAAATGTGCTTTGTCCCACTAAACTGTGCGCTCTAAACTGGTTAAAATCATCAGTTTGATGCAGTGTGCACTTTACCACAATTTTAAAAATATACAGATGGTCACCATCATGTCTCATGAGAAATTCTTCAGTATCCACCCAGTACTGTGATAGAACTTCACCTTAAATGACTGTATGTTGCACAAAGCACACAGGCCTCTGCTCTCCCTCGGATGTGTCTGTGTCTCCATCGTTTACCAGGCAGCTGATATCCTAGACAGCTCGAATTCTACAATCAGACTCACAAGGAACCTCAAAAATCTAGTTGCACCTACTTCACTGAACATATTTAATTATCAGATACTTTAAATGCATCAAAAACACCAAACAGGCCTGTTTGTTTGAACTGATGCAACATCTGCCCCTATAAAGGCCACAGCGCAAAGCAACATGCACACAGCCAGAGCCCTGTCCCCTCCCCCAGGTTGGGAAGAATCAGGCCTGGCTTGTAGCTGTCCACCTACCTGATCCATAAGCTCCTGAGACAAATCTAAAGGGTTAAGGGTGGCTTTTGCTTGTTGGGATACTGCTGGATTTTATTTCTTTACATTTTCATTAGGACGTTCAGCATCACCCCTTTGGGTGAAGGGGGTTTAAGCTTAGAGTGAGTTACCTGCTCCTGTCTTCTACTGCCCACTGGAACTGTGTGTAGAGCAGAGGAACTGCCTGTCCCCTGATGGGTTAGCCACTCTGAGATGAGGACTCTGATCTTAGTGATCTTAGTCTGGTAGACTATTAAGCAATTAATTCTACATCGTGAATCATCGTACATTAACATTTTCTACTTCAAAAGCAGTCCAAGTGTTTCAACTGAATGCTATCAAGTTGTTTCTAGAGTCCCTTTATGGTGTGAGTTTCTACTGTAGTTTGTTGCTCCTGATCCATCTTTCCTTCCTTCTCTCTCCTCCCAATCAGATCCTTTCTTCTCAACACTACCCAAGGCTCATCTATTTTTGCATTATTTTTAGAGAACTACTCTTTGGTTCTGTCAATACTTTCTATTATTTGTTTTCTGTTTATCACTTTCGCTGCCACCATTTTCATTTCCTTCTATTTTCTCCGTCCTCACCTTTGCTATTCTTTTAAATGACTGAGATGGATGCTGAGTTCATTATTTTTCTATCTTCTTTTATTAACAGATGCCATTGTGACTATAATTCATTATTTTAAATCCATCCCATAAGAACTTATGTAATGTTTTCACTATTAAGTCAAAATGTTTCTAATTTTCTCTGTTTTCAGCCTTTTCTGTGAGCTAAGAACTAGTGTTATTCTTAATATTCAAATGTTTCTTTTCATTGATTTTTTAAAATCAGGGAATGAGGCCTGAGTAACAATTCCTTGGCATTTATTAAGATTTGCTTTGATAGGGATCCCTGGGTGGCGCAGCGGTTTGGCGCCTGCCTTTGGCCCAGGGCGCGATCCTGGAGACCTGGGATCGAATCCCACGTCGGGCTCCCGGTGCATGGAGCCTGCTTGTCCCTCTGCCTGTGTCTCTGCCTCTCTCTCTCTCTGTGTGTGACTATCATAAATAAATAAAAATTTAAAAAAAAAAAAAAAGATTTGCTTTGATAAATGCTATATAATTTTTATAATTATTCCATGTGTCTGGGGAAAAAAATGTGTATTCTGAAACTATTAGCTTCTTCAGGTTGATCGTATGCTGTGTTCTTCTGCAATCTACTAATCTTACATCCAATATCCATGACAGTGGAAGGAGCTTGTAAATATCTCCCACTCCAATTATGTAGTTAACTATTGCTGATTATATCTCAGTCATATTTTGCTTTAGATAAATTTGGAGAGGTCTTGTTAGGTGCACATAAGTTTAGAACTGTTATAGTTCTCTCCTGTGAAGGATTCTATAGCCTAGCATTCAATATATTAGAGTAATACTAGCTATATTTTGGTTGGAATTGGACTTATATTTCTTTTTCCATCCACTTACTTACAAATGTTTTGTATCCTTATATAGCTCTCTTTTGTATCTCATATAGCTTCGTTATTTTATCCAACCTGAGAATTTCTTTTATGGGCAACTGGACTCCATTTATATTTACTATAAATAGCAATATATTTGGGCTAATTTTGCCATCTTTTTTCATATTATTTGCCATTCTTTCTTATTTTACATTTTCTTGCTTTCTACTAGATTGGGTTTTTCTCTACTGGTTTGGAAGTTAAATAATCTATTTCTGTTCTTTTAGCGGTTGCCCCTAAATGCAGACCCAATCTATCACAGCAAAAAACCCACAAGCATTATCTATACCCTCTTTGTGAAAAATGCAGATATTAGATGCTGAGGATCTGCCACCATCAGGTGACAGGTACCACTGCTAGGGGCTTGTAGTCCCATCCTGCAGCTACACTCGTGAAATGAAACAATACTATTAGTACTGTCTTAGTCGATACTTGTTTAGATTCATTCATAAAGTCATTATTTGCACGCTATTCTTTTTTCATTGGGTTCAGTACACCTTTCCTTGAAATGCAAGGTGAAATAGATTTTAGAGCCTGAGTGGTAAATTTCCCCAATATTTATCTAATACTGCATTTGTTTCCTTCTTTTTAAACCCTCGTGTTTTGGTATTAGAGCATCGACTTGTGCTCAGCAGTTTTAAGTGCATGTGCCTAGGCATGGATTCGTGCTTGACTCTGATTTTGTATTTCTACAATCTGAGAACTTATATCAGTCTTTAATTGTACAAAAGTATTAGTACTTCCTTCTTCAATTTTCTCACTTAAATAACTTACTAGGTATATGCTGGCACTTAACAGCTTTCATGTTTCTTACCTTCCCATTCCTATTTTTCACATCTTTAACTCTTTCTGCTTCTCTACATTAACCAATCACTCTATGTAACGTGCTATAACCACATACACCTATGTGAACGGACCCATATTCTAACCCATAATATCATTGATATTATAAACATACGAAACATAAAACACATATTAAGCTGTGTATCTAGGGACTGTGTACAAACCAGCTATTTTTTTTTACACACAAATGGAGACACTGAAAAACTGAATCCTCTAAAACTCAATTACAGGCAATTCAAACCTGGTTCAGAGTCAGAATTTTCTCTTGGCACATCATCATAAATGGCTTCTTCTGGATCTGGAATAAAAAGAGGGAAATGTTTAAAAACCGACCAAGACCAACCAAGTATAATTTACACTGTTTAGGGCCACAGTCTCCTATGATGCTAAAATTATTCTAAAAGTTAGTTTGTAAGGGCTAATGCATTACACCTTACTGAAGCATAAGTGTTACTTTTAGGACAGGATGTTTTCTTGGGATTGAAGGATGACACTCTGCCTGAACCAGCTGTGAAATCTCTCCAACAGAGAGTTTTGTGGCTTCTAGGCCAACTTAGTCCATTATTTTGTGTTCATCTGTACATCTCTACGTGGCTCTTTATAAATATTTTTAAGTTTATGAAGTTAATGTGTTCTGGTATGCAAAGAAACACAAAGGTGCAGTACACAGTTTCAGAAGTAAAGAGACAGCTCAACTGGGGCTATATTAACAGGACGCTGCTAAAATAAACCCATCATTCTGTGATATTCTGAACCACTGGATAGGGGAGTAGGCACAGGCGAGGGTGAGAAGGTACACCTGTTAGGATAAAATCTCTCCAACTATATTCATGTCCTCTGAAGCTGTAACAAGTTTTCCTAAGAAAAAGTGGGGATCTTCCACAGGCAAACTACTCAGTGCATCCTGTATGAGCGGGTCACGTACGAGAGCAGCAGTGAAACTAGAGATGCATTTGTAAGAGTTTGGGCCTTACATGGAAATCATCCACACTACAAAGTCTTACATAATGAAAGCCACAGAGCTCACTGGTGACTAAGCAACAACAAGAAAATGAGGTGAATACTCTAAACTCCTCCTCTGATATCAAGCTACTGTTACATGGGGCGGGGGGAAGCAAATTCAGGAATGCTCCTCGTTCTCTTGCTGCTGTCAAGTCCCCATATGGGACACATTTGTTTCCTTGCAAGAAAATTAACTGCATTCACGATAAGCACTTCTACTCCTGTTAGATAACGTGAGGGACACTCATATGTGGACCTTTGAAAAACACAGCTGGGAGCTGCGTGAGTCCACTGACATGCAGATTTGTTTTTGATGTCTGTAGTACATACCACAACTGTGTTTTCATGGATTTATGATTTTTCTAATTACATTTTCTTTTCTTTAGATTACTTTATTACAGGGATGCAATATATAACAGGTGCATAAAATAGGAGTTAGTTGACTGTATATGTCATCAGTAAGGCTTCCAGTCAACAGGAGGCTATTAAGTAGTTACATCTTGGGGGGAGTCAAAAGTTATACCCAAAGGAGCCTGGGTGGCCCCATCAGTAAAGCAGCTGCCTTTGGCTCAGGTCATGATCTCGGGTCCCAGGACTGAGCCCTGCATCAGGCTCCCTGCTCAGTGGGGAGTCTGCTTCTCCCTCTGCCCCTTCCCACTGCTTGTGCGCTAAGAAGTAAATCTTAAAAAAACTTACACCCAAATCTTTTATTGTGGTAGGGGTCATCACCCTTAACCTCTGTGTTACTCTAATTGACTGCCACTTGTGTAATAAAACAAGGAATAGGAGAAAGTCAGACAAATTTTACTTTGGAAAGGAATTTGCTAGAAAATAAGATAACGATTCCATCCTGTAATGATCTCGATTTAACAGCCCCCCCTAGCAGAATCATCTATTTATGCTAAGTTCCTTGTTTGACAATGTCATAATTAAAATCAGAATGACACATTCCAGGAGGTAATTTAATAATTAGATAACCATTAAGATGGTTTTTTCTTGGAAGTTAATCAAATAACATAATTATACAGAAATTAGCGAGCCACTGTGGATAATAAAGGGATAATTAGAAAAGTCATCTTTACTTTTCTTTGAAAATTAAAAATCAAATCTGGTTAAAAATAGCTCAGCTTTCTAAGCTTTCCACACGTGGAACAGAAGATCTGGCATGCCATCTGGATGGTGGGCTGGCTTAACCAGCCACCCACCCCCTTTTCAACATGGTAGCATGAAAAAGCATCTTAGTGAGAATCACGAGAAAAATAACCTGATTGAGGTCTCAGTGGGGATTTGCTGACCGTGGGCCCAGGTCAAAGCACCAGTTCCCTAAGTACATGACTGTCATGACAAAACCCAAAAACCGTCCCAGGAAGAAGCAGTCAGGAGGAAATATGTGCTGGGATGGGGTAAGCAGCGATGTTCTGATAGGGTTTAAAGGAAGGGCTTCAGAGAGGGCCAGGGACAGCGGTCACAGCCCCAGTTAGTACGTTAGGCAAGTGAATACGTTTCTGAAGTTTTAGGTCTGACCAGGACATGAGAATGATCAGCAGAACCTGACGAAAACCCATCATCCCCCTGGGAGGCGTCCTCCGTGAGCCCGGCGAGGACCCCGGCGGCCAGTGGTACTTACTCTCCATCCACGCAGTGTTGGCCGGGTCTGCGACCCACCGGGCGAGCGCGCTGTCCTCCTTGTGCACGCGGTCCTCACTAAGAGGGAAGGAGCCACAAGACCACAACAGTGAGTCCTTCAAGAGACGGCCGGATGTCCGCAGAGGGTACATGTCTGTAAGTTCTGTTTCCCCAGATATTATTACAGCTGTTCTGTGCTGAGAATAATGTGCTCTGAGCTTTTACATTTTACAGTATGCATTGTACAGTATCTGCGCATTTTATTTACACTATGACAACCCTGCCCTCACCCACAGTTTGGACGTACATATGAGGACTCAAGCTTAGGACTTCCCCCCCCACCATACCTTCCCACTTTGCTCTTTTTACTTATAAAAAAAATGTTTCGAGTGAAGTCCTCACAAAGTCAGTGACCTCTGTTCCCATCATCAAGTAAGTCATGGGTGCTGGTGACCTTGCTGTGTATCTACTGGTGCGGGGACGCCCTTCCCCTTCTCTCTACACACACCCTGGGCCTGGGATGCAGAAGGAATAAGCCGGTGACCATGCTTCCTTCGTGTTTTGATGGAAGGCACAGACTCAGGCTGTGCCTTCCATCAAAACAACCCTGGGGTTTTCACTTCCCTGGACCCATCGCTGGGATGCGGAGGGAGCCCCGCACTCAGCAGGTCAGAGTCTGCCCGTTCATAATCCAATACACCAGCTGTGGCTTCTCAACATAGAGCCCAAGTTCAAACTTTCATTCCTAGCTATTTAGAAGTGCTCTTGAACGCCCACCACATGCACAGGATCTGGCACCATAGAAATAAGAGGAAGTGAAGTGTCTGCTCCAGAAGACCTGAATCATCCTCTGGTTTTTCACCAGAACTTCTTGAGAGTCTGTTACATGTCTCACACACTGTGCCAGTGGTAAAGACACACCAGAGTGACAGACAGGCCTTCATGGCCTCTAGGAACAGGTTAATGGGAAAGGGACATCGCACCACCAGAAATTTTTTAAAAAATGCTCATGACACAACTGCTGGTACGCTCACACAGAGGGATGGGGACGTTATTTTGCAGGCAATGGCAAGCCACTGGAATGCTTCATCTGGAAGAACAAGATCAGATTCCTTCAACACCTGGAGTGCCTCCTCAGGGAGAGGGACAACCCTGATTAGGATCTCAGGGGCATGAGGTCTACGGGAGCGCTCTGCAAGGAAGTGAGCGCGGTGCCAAGCACCTCGCTGGAAGGGAGAGAGACCGGGAGGACGTGAGCACCAGAGACCAACATGGGAAGCTCTGGAAACCATATGCATGGAAAAAAGAATCTTTAGTACAGAGTTAATGCCACACTTCACAGCAAGTGACAGATGGCACTGGTCGCTGCAAGATGGTCTCTTTTATCAACATTTTTGTTTGTTTGCCATAAGCTGTAATGCACAGTTAAATATTTGCAAGATTTAGAGGCCAGGGCAGGTGATCAAGGTCTTGAAAGCACCCAGATCACAGACACATCAGCTCCCTGAGGACATGCAACGTGCCGTGTCGTGGATGAGCGTGAGGAAATCAGCAGAATCAGCCCTGCACTTAGTTGAAGGACTCTCACATTAAAAAAATATTCTTACACTTAAGTCTAAAATTACATCACAAAAAAGTTAAGCAAAAAAGAGAAAATCTGAAGCAAGTATATAGATGATATTTTAAACTATTCCTGAGTGTTTCCATATGTTTAAACAAGGCCACACTTTGGGAAATGGTCGCAGGCTACCCTCTCATGTCATTTCACATTCTTTTTGTTCTAACAAATCATCCTTTCAGCAGATGTATTTCCCATCGTGAAGTGTAGGTTACCAGCGATAATGCGCCACCCACCATCTTCCACTCTACGCGGATCGTGATTGTAATGAAGGGTCTTAGGTGAATCTACCTGGCAACGTATGTAACGAAAACCAGGTAGAAAGGCCTCACGAGCGTGTACCTTTCTCCAGAGATCCCAGGCATTCCTGGAGGAGCGTACTTTTGTACTTTCAGAGGACCGACTACTGCCCGAAAGGAAAAGTCGAGTGAGTGTGAGCACAAGGACTCCGACGCTCGTTCACGGGTGCTCACGGCAGCACTATTCACAACAGGCCAGAGGTAGGAAACCACCCAAGGGTCCATCGAGAGGTCAACAGGTAAACAAAATGTGCTGCGTGCTCACAAAGGAATATTGTTCAGGCTCGAAAAGGAAGGCAGCCCCGATACATCGTACAACACACAGGAATCTCGCAAACATGATGCAAAGTGAACTACCGTGATTCCGACTGTAAGAGTTACCTAGAGTAGGCAAGGCCGTAGACACGGAACGCAGGACAGAGGTTCTCGAGGGCTGGGGTAGGGAAAGATAGATTACATGGAACGGGGAGAGTTTCTGTCTGAGATGATGAAAAATTCTGAAAGGAGATGGCAGTGATGGTTGCACAACACAGTAAATGCACGAGCTGCCACTACATCTTACACTTAAAGTGGTTAAAATGGCAGCATTTATGTTGTATAGATTCTAACACAATTTTTAAATGGATGGTGCATGTGCCGAAACCCGCAGGACAGTACGCTCTAAACAGGCAAGGTGTGTGCATGATGCATCAGCACGACTGCCTGGTAACAAAACACAGGCACACCCAGCATGCTCCCTGCACACTGCCATCCTGAGCCTTGGAAAAACCTGGTCTTTAGAGAATTCTTAGACCAGCAGCAGAAGGGGACACAGGAAGTAACAGCGAGGGCACAAAGCGCTCAGTTTTAAAGCAGGTGTGCCCACACAGCTCTGGAAGAATGAAAGAGGGAGTTTATAAAATGAGACATTTGCGCAGGGTTCTGAGGTGGAAGGAGTTTGCCCGGGGGATGGAATTCCCTGGGCTCTCAAACAGACGACACAGCATTTTTGAAGGCAAGTGGCACGAAAGAAAGATCTCCAGTCAACTCAGTTTGGAGGATTCTGGAGGAAAGGTGGGTGGAACACAATGAAAAATTTCCCTGGACCCCAACAGGTTTCTGAGACCCTGTATGGGGCTGGAGCACACAGAGCCTCATCTACACAGAAAGGGAGAAGGGCCGCGTGCTCCTGGTCTACCTGCCGTCTGTCCGCAGAGCAAGAACACCTTGCGGCCTCCCTGTGTTCTGCAGAACCCCCGTCAGAAGCCCTGGGTGAGAGCGTAGAGGGCACGGGACCCGGGAGGGGAGGGCCCGAGCACCGGGGGCCGCCAGGGCAGCACCTCGGATCACTGCACTCCACTTCTCAGGAGACGGTCCTGAACTCAGAGCACGTGTGCAAGATTAATAAAGATACCTGTTGGCTGGATCCTCAGAACTTAAAGAATTAAACTGGCTGTCTTGTGCTACTTCCTGTGTTTCTGTGAGGAAAGAAAAAAATACAGTTTTAGGTTTAGTAGAAAATGTTTAGGAGATGCATTTTTAGCTTTAAAATGATTTCAGTTTTTTAATGATAAGCTTATCTTAACATAAACATCGGTAAACTGATAGTGTCTTCGGGTTTTAAATAAAATGTTTTTGACATGGGATCACAGTAAAAAGCAATATCCAAAGGTCCTCTGAAATAGAATTAAAATGGTAGCCAAAGAAATCAATCTAGAGTAGCAAACCTGTTTTCTCTCATTTCTCAAAGTTTGTCATGGGAATTTACAATTGTGATTTATTTGAAAATGTGTCTTAACAGCAGCCTCCAAAGACTCTCAAAGGAGAAAGAGTCACGTTCATGGTATTTGACGAGACTTTCATTTGCTCATGCACGTGTGCACACAAACACGCTCACACATACACACACACACGTGCACACCCTCACACGCAGAGTCCATCGCACATGTCCCAGCTGACTGCTATTCCACCTCTGGGGTTTGCTTTACCAAGAGGCTGATGAGCTCAGGACAAAAGGCCACGTGCTCAACCAAGGACCGGCTGGTAACTGCTACACTGGCACACTGTCCACAAAACCCTTCCAGAAGGAACGGACTGTGTGCTACACAACCAGTCTGACACACTCACGCAGCTCAACAGTTGGTCCAGCTCAGCCGCGCCCAATGTCGTACCCCCAAACACGGCCCCGACCCCGCTAAACACCAACCACAGCCCCACGCAGTGGAGGGCACTCGCCAGCCGGGGACCGGAGCCGCAGTCGCTCACCGTGTGCTCAAGGCCACTGAACCGCAGGCCTTCCAGACTGCTCCTCCCGCCACACCACACGGTCCCAAAGGGCGACCCACACAACCTCTTACAAGGCAAAGCCATTCAGTAAAGTCAGTGAACAAAGACGCTGACTGACGGCAAACACGCTTCACACCGTGATGAGCCCCCTGCGTCTGTGTCAAGGGCAGCACGTCCCGTCCCTGAACGCACGCCTCACAGGCCTGGTCTCCACCACCCACCCGAAACGCCTTCTTTCTCTCCCCGTTTCAAGAAAAGAGGTGCCCCCGTGAGACCTTTGCTAAGGAGAGGTCAGGAGATGATGAGCATCTGCTCGTCTCTTACTGTTCTGGAAAGATCTGGAAGCTTGAGCCAGAAGCAGAGCACCAGGAGCTTCTGGCCCGTGGAGGACCACGAATGAACAGAAGGGGAACCTCAGAACTGGCTTTGGGCGGTGGGAGGGTGCGTGGGTCCCGGCTGTCCCTATTTCTAAGAGTCGTGTTCCAGGCGGGGCGGCCTCTGCGCCAGGAGCCCGTGCTGGGCCCACACCCTGACCGGGGGCCCCGCAGACCAGGAGGCCACCCCGCGACCCCGGGAGAACCAGACTCTGCAAACAGTTAAGCAGCCGGCACTCCCTGTGGGTCCAGGCCCCGGGGCCCAGCCTCACACCAAAATCCAGGCTTTCCTCGTGACCCCAGGAAACAGGGAGGTGCACCTGTTTGCCTTTAAACACTCAAGAGACAAACATCCACACGCGTTCCCGGATTTGGGGACTTACAATAGCGTTTATCATAGTGTTTTATTAATGGCTCTAGGGTGACAGACAAAAATCAGCCAATGCTGTGCAAGTATGCTACAGAACCTAAAAGTAAATGTTCAATTATTAAAGATCACCAAATTATCTGAAAATAAGCAAATTAATATAAGAATGTGTTCCTGAATCTTTTAACTGTATAATGTACTCCCTTATTTTTAGATAATTCTTACTCTTTAGGCGACACAGTATGAACGGCATTGTTGATTGTGGTGAATTTCCAAGATTATTGCCAATTCCAAGAAAACAAATGGGGAAACCCCAACCCTGAAAACCGTATATGGTTTCCAAACATAAATTCAAGATTTTCTTTAAGATCCTTTTTCTCACTTGTTAACTGGGAAGTGAAATAACTTGTTCACTGAAATCTCTAAATCACAAATCTGCATATAAAAGAGCATCGTCCTCAGGGGCCTCCGTCCCTCAGAACCTCTGCGCCTGGGGCCTGGGGCAGACCCCGGCGTGTCCTGGGTCCAGAATGCGACTTCCGGGGGAGAACTCAGCTGGACAGCCTTTACGGGGCCCACCCCGAAGAGAACACTGCTCTCGGGGCCCCTGCTGCTGGTCTGCAGTGGTGGGCGCGGGTGCCCGCGGGCCTCGGCCGGGGATGGTGACCGGGCGCCCGCGTCGCTGTCCTCTGGCCCTGACAGCAGCAAGGACCACAGAGCTGCTAAACGGCCCTTACCGCCCGGGGGTGCGGGGCGGGGAGGACCCCTACCTTCCTCGTCCAGGGACGGGGCACGGATGACCACGGGGTTGCTGTAGGCCGGCAGGAGCAGCGGCAGGTTGCAGGGCACGGCGTAGCCGCAGGGCACGGGCACCGAGTACCCGCTGGGCACGGGCGGGCTCGCGCTCTCGGCCTCGGCCTCGGCGTCTGAGGGCGGGGGCTGCTCCTCCTGGAAGGGCGTGATGTCAATGACCGAGTAGGGGTTGACTCTGGGGGGTGGTGGCGCAGGTTCCACCAGGGCATCCGGGGCTGTCCCCATCCCGACGTCACCCCCTGGAGGCAAACACACAGGGCATGGGTGGGGAGCCCGCGGACCTGCCCCCCTCCGGCTGCAGGCGAGAGGGAACCGGGTGCCCCCAGGGCCCGCGCGACGCCGGGCACCCGAGACACGCGCAACTCCCGGGCCGCCTCCCCCCATGGCGAGCAACAGAAGCTGCCCGAAGCGGGGGGTCGGTAGCTACGGGGAGAGGTGGTTGTTGGGGATGAAGAAACGGAGGGTTGGTCCCGACCAGTCCCCAGGGTCGGGGAACAGCAGATGACCCCCTTCAAGGTCCGACCCGGATTTAAGTCACCCACAGGCCAAGGCACCACGTGACACAGTGACGCGGGAGGCCGTGCTCCTGAGGCGCCGATGGCCACTCCCTCCAGGATACGGAGGGAAGGTCAAGTCAAGGAAACTCCGCCAAACACCAAGTCGCCACCTGGGTTCTCGTCACGGAGGTCGCCAGCGTCCTGCTCCTGGACGCCAACTCCTCCCACCCAGCAGAGCGAGCTGGCCGCGGGTGCCGGGCCCCTGGGGACCCACCTGCGCCGGGGGCGGCATCTGTGCCCGGCCAGCTGTCCCCGGAGGCGTCCACAGCAGCTCGATCCGCTTCCGGGATCTCATCTCCGCTGTCAAAGTCAAACTGTTCGCCCTCGTCCTCCTCGTTGTTGTTGGGGTCGCATTTCACCTCCGCATCTAGAGGTTAAGAGAACGCAAGTTACACCATGGGACCAACACCCAGAGGTGCTCAGGGTCAGGGCCTCAGACGTCCGGGTGGCCAGAGTCACAGGGCGGAGAGGAGAGGAAAGATCTGGAAACCAGAGAAGTTCAACCTCAGCACGAACGGATGTGGCTCAAGCCCCATGGATCCCCAGTCACCACTGGGCTCCACCCATGCCGTCACCTGCAGGGACATCACCACCAGGGTACAGGACCTCGCGGCCACTGCCCACGCCAGGCCCACCCTCCAGGCCCGTCCCGCCACACGTCCCTGGGCGAGGATGCGTGCAGGGCAGAGGGGGCCTGGACTCACGGATACCCCCGGGGAGGCCCTGGGTGACACCTGCAGGGCCGTCTAGGACTTGTCCACAGGGACGAGGCCTGACGCCACATGCTGGGGGGCAGAGAATAGATGCCATCGGTCATCCCGTGACAGGTCACAGCGCCCAGGTCACAAGACCCAGGCTACGGAGTGGGGCAGGGGACAGGGTAGGACGTGCAGCGACAGCCCGGAGGGAGGAGCTTCCTCTGCTCACTGCGCCCAACACTGGGGCTCAAGTCAGGACATGGAACTCTCCCCAGTAGGACACGTTTGTCCAGTGGCACCAGATCAGCCGGTGTCCAGGGCTCAGAAAAACGACAAAACCCAGCTACCTTCCAGGGAGCAGCTCTGGTCGGCGAACAGAATGTGCCCCACACTCCAGGGGACCCTCTGTCAGGACACAGGGGCCCCAGGCCCCAGGGTGGTTCGCTATGAAAAAATGTGCAGTAAGGAGAAGACAAGATGATCTCCTGAGAGGCATGAATGGAAGGTTTCCACGAGCCAAAATCACTCACTTTGCAAGCAAACAGTGTGCCCCCCTCCCTGCAGGGCAGCTCCTCCCGGGCTCGGGGCATCAGCTCTGGGGAGGCCTGGCACCACCGTCTAGGGAGGCCGGGAGGGATCTGCTGACACAGGCCGCGTGGCCCCAGGCTGTCTCCCTTCCCGGGGCCCCACCCGATGCGCCTGCCAAGTGGGAGGCCCGCCCTGGGGTGACCGAGCCAGCAGGGAACCCGCCCTCTCCACCCACTCTGCTGAGGCCGCGGGGGCTGGCGTCCAGGTGCGTTCCTGGGATGGCCCACAGTCACTCCTGGGTGGGGGCAGGCGCGAGGGGAGGCCAGGTGGGCACCTCTGCCCTTCCAGCCCTGCTCAGAGCCCTCCGCGCCTCTCAATCCAGGGTCAAGGGTTAGGTCAGCAACAGCCAAGCAGCACAAACCAGCTTCAGGGGCAGAGGGCAGCCGAAGGACGCGGGCACCTGGCAGCTCTTGAGCCGGGGTGGTGGCGGGCAGCGGGGGTGGGGGGGAAGGTGGGACAGTCAGAATTAGGGGTTTAGAGGTGAGGTCGCTTCTAGGGCGGGAAGTGGACAGACACGTGTCAGCCTGAGTTAGTCTGGAAACCGTCTGTCCAGCTGGGGCCTCGCTGTCCACACGAACCTCTGAAGGTCCAAAAACACAAATGGGTTCCAAAACACCAGGGGGTTTATTTTTTCCCTGAATCTTTGGAATTAGAATACGTAGCGGGTCCTCCAAAGCAAGCACGTTCTTGGCGGTGATGAGTGACAGGTCAGGCTGGAGCCTCCTGCCGGGGCAGCCAGGACACCCCTGCCTCCGGCACACCCGTGTGCACGGCACCCGCGGGACCCCAGCAGCACTCTGGGCAGCTCCGCCCCAGTTTACGTCTGCTCACAGTAGGAGACTACCAAATACCAAAACGGGATCAAGAAAAGGCTTCAGAAAGATCTGTTTCTAAAACCATTAGTTCTGATAAGAGCGTGCATTGGGGACCTTCTGGAGGGTGAGCTGCCGATAGTTATCAAGGCCTTATCATTTTGTATGTCCTCGGTCTCAGAGTCTGTATTACAAATTATCTATCTTATAGAAATAATCTGAGATTAGAATACTTAAATGTCTTAGAATATAGATTTTCCAAATTATAATAGTTTTATACAATGAGATACTAAAGAAACCATTAAAATTATTTTGTTGAAGTTTATTCAATAATTTGGAAAGAGGTTCCTGACATATTAATAGTGTTTTTAATTGGTCTTTTCACACTCATTAAATAAAAAACTAACACATACTGGCGAGGATGGGAGGGACTGGAACCCTGGCACGCTGCTGCTGCAACATTCCACGGAGCAGCCAGCGTGGAAGCTGTGGAGGCTCCCAGATGCCAGACAGCTCCCGGCCATCCAAGGCACTCCAGCAGACACCTGCACACCCGTGCACGTGTGCAACCGTAGAAGTGTGCAAGTGTACATATGCAACCCCACAAGTCTGCAACCGCACGTGTGCAACCCTACAAGTGTGCAGCCACATGTGTGCAACCCTACAAGGGTGCGAGTGGACATGTGTGCCATCCTACAAGCGTGCAAGTGGACACGTGCAACCCTAAAAGCGTTCAAGTGGACACGTGTGAAGTCCTACCAGTGTGCAATTGCACGTGTGCAACCCTACAAGCGTGTGAGGGGACATGTGTGCAACCCTACAAACAGCATTATTCACAACACAGCCCATGAGTCCACGGAGAGACGACGGACACATCAGACGTGTTCTGTACAGACAACGGGACGTATCCAGTCTGGAAAAGGACAAACCCTGGCACCTGCTACGCCAGGCCTGACCCTGAAGACACTGCACCCGGTGCAACGAGCCAGGCACCAAGGGGCTGGCCCACTGTGGCCCCATCACGTGGGGTGAGTGTTCAGGGAGGACAGAGCCTCACGGGGGGATATGGAAAGTTCTGGAGACGGGTGGTGTGGTGGGCGCACAGCAAGGTCGTGAACGAACGTCATGCTGCCGAACCAGACACTGAGAGACGGTCGTAGCAGTAACGTCGCACAGAGACGGACGTGCCGCGTGGCGCTCGGGGCTGCCCCGAGGGACGGCCCGTCCTCCGTCTGCAGACGCTCCTGTCGACTTCACGGCCGTTCTGCTGTAGGCACACGTTTGTGGGGCGTACGACTCCCAAGGTTTGTGTTAGATAAAGACGCACGTGCGACTCCTGTTTCCCACAAGTGAGCAGAATTCACGGGACAAGCCCCCAGACACGGGCCGGGCTTGGGGCGCACGGAACCCCAGCCCCGGGCGCCAGGCGGCCGCTCACTGCCGAGTGCCAGGAAGCCGGTGGAGGCAGCAGCTTCCTCACGGGAGCCACGCATTCATGTGGGCGAGGGCAGCAAGGTCTCTGGCAGGAAACCCAACCCGGGCGCACAGTTGTCCAGACGCAACTCTTCCCGGCGCTTCAGGTTCCTGATGGCCCGAGTCGGACAACGGAGAACCCCCTCCAAGGAGGCACACGACGGAGAACAAAGGGGGAGGCTCCCATCCGGACTCAGGCACAGAGGGGACCACGCCGGCACGCATCCCCTCGGCACAGCGGGCACCCGGGACCCCGGCCTCTCCCGGAGGTGATGCGTTATCGCTGCAGATTGCTGAAATTAGGGAAGATGCCCCTGGAAGTGACGGCACAGACACTGCTTTTAAAAAAGGCCTGATGACGCCCGGCCCCGCGGGACCCACACACAGGGGCCCCACGGGGAGGAGGTGCTCACGCTCGTCTCCGGACCCCTGACCGACCCGCGCCGAGAGGTACGTGCACTTTGTGGGCTTGCACGGACGTACGATGACGCACGTCCACCGTGACGGGGTCGCAGAGAAGCTTCACGGCCCTGGGAACCCTCGGAGCCCCACCTGCTTGCGCCCCTCCCCCAGCACCCCGGGAGTGCCAGGGCCTCCCCACCTGCCGGCCAAACGGCTTCACGGGATGCTGGGTGATGTCCCCAAAGCCAATGCCCGGGGGTCACTGCCGGCTGTCCCCCAGTGACCGGGCTGTCCTCCACTGCCCCATTTACCCCGTTCAGCGCAACCTTCCTTGGCATCAACGACACTGCGCGATCCTGGCTTCCTCCTACCTCGCTGGCTGCTGCTCCTAGTCCCTCTTGGGGACAGAACTGTGTGCCCCCCAAATCCTAGCTGAAGGCCGAAGCCCCAGACCCTCAGAATGCAGCCATGTTAGGTGGTCCCCAGGGCAGCTCCTAATGCAGCATGACCGGTGTCCTCGTGAGGAGAGGGCGTCAGGACACGCATGCAGAGGGACGACCCCAGGAGGGCTTGTCTGTGCAGGGACAGCCGGCGTCTACACGGCAAGGAGGGAGGCCTTGAGGAGCCCACACTGCCCACACCCGGACCCCCGCTCCCTGCCCCCCAGCTGCGACACATGCAGGCCTGGCCCCGTCCCTGGCACTGGGCTGGCTGCCCGAGCCGACTCCTCTTCCCCTGCCAGACCCCCTGCCTCGGCCCCCACACAGGAGGCCTGCCCGGGGCCTGGGCTTTCATCGGCACAAAACCCACCATCTACACCAGACGCCCTGCCAGAGCTTTGGACTCGCATCTGAGGAGCCCTGCGTGGATTCCCACGAGGCCCGTCCCGACTCAGCCCTGCCTCCATCCCTCCCCATCCCTGCACACTCGGTCTGCCCAGGTCCTCACAGCAGGAACCCGACAATTGCCCCGGGCCCCGACCTGCTGCAGAGCCACCAACCAACCCGCAGCGAAGTCCTTCTGCTTCAAGCACCCGGGACCTCTCTTCCCCGACTCCTGCAGCGTCCATGGACGGACAGCACACCAGGTACCCCTGCTCCCAGTCTTTGCAGGCGCCTCCAGACCTCGGGCCGCACCTCCGACTCCCCTGGGGAGCCCCGAGCCTGCCCTGGGTGACCCTGGGACCCCGAGCACCCTGCTCATGGTCTGTCTCCCACGAGGGAGGACACGACGTCCCTTGTGCATCGGCGCATCCCCCGGCACCACACAGGCTCCCCCCGGCGCTCCAGGCAGAGGGGCCAGGCTGGCCCTGTGGTCTACACCCCCGACAACCCAGGGATGCAGGCGGAGCTGCGGGCCATGCCTGCCAGGCTGCGTCACACCGCGTGGCCGGCACGCTTCCAAGGAAAGAGAATTCACACCACGGATCTCGGGAAAAAGATCTGAGTTTCCCCTGAACTGCAACAAACCCTAGGTCAGTACAGGCTACGGGGTCCCGGCTGGGAAAGCAGAGAGAGGGAAGGAGGGAGGGAGACACCCTGCCCCCACCCCCACCCCCACACACACATCGGTCTACACCGCTGCCGCACGGCCTGGGCTCAGGCTGGGGCCCCTCACCTCTCGGGGGATGGGGGATGGGGCTCTGGGGCTGAGGAGCATGGTCGGGGGTTGGCGAGGCTGCTGAACATCCACCGCCGGGTTGGCAGACACCCCGCGAACAAACGAAGTCATTGAGGAAAAGGAAATCAGGGAATACTCGTTTTTAAGCTCAGAGACGGAGGCTGCAATTCCGTCCGTGGGGCGGATACGACCACAAGTGTCAGAGCACAAGAGTACTCCCGCTGTAATCTGTGCCATTACTAGAGAAGAAGAACAAACGTGCTCTGCAAAGCAGCAGGCACCGAGGGGCCATCACGGCCACCAGCCTTCCCGGCCTGCTCCCGGCTCTGGACGTCGGGGTGGCGGCCACGTGGACAGCGTGGGACTGGGGGCTCCGTGCTCCGCCCCCCGGGAGCGTCAGCCCCTCGCCGGGTCCACCGAGTGCCCGCGATGGACACCACCTGCCGGGTCCAGGCCACGCACTAACTGCTCCGAGGACGGGGGCGCGCACCTGCTCACGACCCGCGGGTCAGCCCCTCGCCCCGCGGCACCGGCCTGCCTCTGCCCCGGCAGGGAACGTCCATCTGGGGTCTGTGGTCCCGCAGACAAGACAAGCCAAGAGGAGAGACGGGATCCGCGTCCCCGTGGCGCCGGGAAGGTCAGACCTGGTCCTTCTTGCCGCCCCTGTGCCCCAGGGCATCTGGGAGCAGACACTTCCGTCACAGTGGTTAGAGGTGACCCACCACAGACTCATCCGAAAGCGCTGCCGCCGCTGCGCCCAACCCGACCCGAGAGCGCACTGCCTAGACCCGGTGGCCCGTGTCAGCAAGAACCGCGCCGTTCTCCTCTCTATGCTGGCCTGAATCCACACCCGGTCACAGGCCACACCACACATCAGCCCACAGAAATGGGGACCCCCGTCCACGCTGCAGGCACAGGCCGCGCCCCCAGGGGAACCAGGAACCCACGGAGGGTCCGTCCAGCCCCTGCCCCTGAGCCAGCTCCCAGCTGCGAGGGCCCGGCCGTAGACGATGCCCCGGAGGGACAGCTGGGCCCCAACACCGCCAGGCCTGCCGGTCGGCCTGCTCACGGCTCTGAACGGGCGCGCGTGGGGTGCCAAGGGGGACAGGCGGGTGGAGGGGACGGCATGGGCATGCAGGGAAGGCGCGATGCTCGTGCCCACGGCTCTGCCTGGGGCCTCTCTGCTCCGGGCCTGGTCCTGTGTCCCCTTGAGGACTGCACCGGGGGACCTGAGATGTGGCCGCCCCCGGCGGGCCTGCTGCTGTGCAGCCCGCACCGAAGCACCATCCCCCTCCCCTTCTACTCCTGTTTTGGGGACACGTCCGGCCTCCCCTTGCAGCAGGCTCCATGGGGACAGCCACCCCTTTCCCGTCACATCCTGCTCGCCCCTTCTGGACGGCCTCCTGACTGGACGCTCGCAGGGCCGGCTGGCGGCCCCTGGTGCCCTGGGCTTCAGGCTGTGGCTCCCGGGCCCGAGGCCTTCCCCCGGGGTCACCAGCTCTCCTGCCCAACCCCCAGCCGCTTGCCCGGGCCCCTCCCCATCCCCGACCAAGTGCAGAGCTGCATCCGGCGGGCGTGCAGATCCACAGGGTGTCACTGTCGAGGCCGGGTCATGCCCAGACGGGCCTCAGCCAGCTCTGGACACCCGCTGCCCGCACGCCAGGACCCACGGAACAGGGGAAGAACAGGTTTGGGTTCCCTGGGCTGCAGAAAGCAGGTGTCGCCCGCAGGGTTTGAGTAGGTCATGCGTCACCCTTGTTCCTACAAACAGAGGTGCAGAAAGGGCCCTGGGGCCGTGTGCTTCCGACTTTTCTCTGACAGCTGCCAGGCGCCCACACCTGGAGCACCGCTGGGCCCTGCCCCCCACAGAGGCCATCGGCACAGCCGGACAGACAGCAGGGGCCGAGGCAGGAGCCGGGCCATCACCACGGTGGCAGCCCCACACCCCGCCGGCCTCCACCCACGGGAAGGCCACGGAGCCAGACCCGCCGGGCGCGCAGGCACAACAGGGACAGCAGTGCCTCCTCGATCAACACGATCAGAGTCAGGCCTGCCCTGGAAGAGCCCGAACGCCGGCTTACACGCGGACCAAGCCAGTGGCAGGGAGCCGCCGAGGCCCCCCGAGCAGCCCCCCGGCCATGGCCAAGCAGGGGAGCCGGCCTACACCAAGGTGCCCACAGAAGCCGGGCCGCCCTCCGGCACACCGCTCGGGCCACGTCTGGGAAGGCACGCGGGAGCCTGTGACCACAGAGCCAGCTCGCCGGCTTTTGGGAACAGCCCTGTCACCGGGCGGCTCTGCACTGGAGCTCATCCCTCCTGGCGACCAGCACAGGCGGGACATGCATCCCCTGGCCCGAGCCCAGATTCCTTTTGGGATCGGCCCTAGATCAGCCCTACCCGCAGGCTGCCCTCCTCCGTCCCGAGGTAAGGCTGCGGCCCGGAGCGCCACCACCAGTGCAGGGCCGAACGGGCAGGGTGAAGCCAGGGGCCACGTCTCCCGGGCGCACGCCTGCAGAGAGGAACGGGACGGTCTCTGGCCCACACAGGCTCCTTCCAGACTGTGGCTTCCCCACGCCTCGAGGTGTGCGGGGCACAGGCAGTCTGTCCAGGAAGCCTGGGCTGGGGCCGTGGGAAGGCCCTGCCCTGCGAGCGGGGGGTGACCCCACCAAGCCCCCCGATGCCCCGCCTCGGTCGCCCCAGCAGCAGCTTCGCTCTGGTGAGGGGACGGGGCAGGCAGACGCTGGGTCCACACTTGCCGCACACGAGCCCAGGGTGCCGGGAGGCAGACCTGAAAACTGCCTCCTGCCCCCGCAGGCGTCGGGAGCAGCCGAGGGCCCCGCACAGCCTGTCCCGAGAGAGTCAACCGCCCGTCACCAGGCGGGCCTCCGACGGTCGGGGGGCGGGGGCAGTGCTCACAGGGCGCCTGGGCCTGGCAGGCGGCCCAGCCAGGTCACCCCAGAGTGAGGGGGGCACCGCGCAGGCAAAGGGCCCAGACCCCACCCCTCGTGCGCTGCCCAGACCCTCCCGGCCCTCCCCGAGGACGCCCATTACCTGCGGGAGCGGGGCCGGGCAGCTCTGGCTGGTCCATGGCACGGCGGTGGGAGCCTCAGTCCTCGGGACCCCTGGAAGGAAAGACACCACGGTCACTGTGGGCAGGCCAGCGCCCTCACCTCCACGGGGCGCTCAGCAAGGCTGAGGTCCACCCCCAAGACCTCTACGTCTCCCCTGAAATCACACCCGCGAGCACAGGGAGCAGGGTCCCCGTGGGCCGACCCCTCCCGCCCGGCAGGACGGCCCTCGCCTCGTCCCTCAGCCACAGCTTCAGCCGGAGAACCCCCTGCCCGGGCCCAGACACCTCCTGTGCTGAACTGCGGGGTCCAGGCCAGGTCTCTGCACCCCTGGCTTTCTTTTCTTTTCGTCTCTGCTTTGCACTTTGTTTCCCTATGTGCTTTCAGAGGAAAGGTCTGAGAATGGGTGTGAAATCGGCCCAGTCGCGAGGACGTTGGTCCCCGGCTCCGAGGGGGAGGATCCCAGTCACCAGGCGAGCAGCACCACCCCCCTGCCGGGCTTCAAACGGCCAGGCTCCGAGGCAGCAAGGGCACCATGAGGGTCAGCGCGGCAGGGGTGACACCCCGGCCCCCACCCACCCACGGTGCACAGGACGGCGGGCAGGAGCCGGTGGGGTGCCACTCCGGGTCCCCCGGCAGCAGCCCATCATGCCAACCCGCCCTGCCAGCTCTCTCCACCTACGGAGACGGGCGCTGCCCTGCAGCCCTGCCCCGGCTGCCCCCCTGCCGGCTCCGTCACCTCACACCTAGCTTCACAGCATAGAGACCGAGGCGTGGAGGGCTTACGGGAGCCCACCCTGGAGGGTCGCAGGACAGACAGGGGCGCCCACACTGGGGCTGCGTCTCGGCTCCCCGCCCTCCGCAGGCCGCCAGGAGCCGCGGAGCACAAGTCCCTCACCGGGAGCACGGGGACGGCAGCGGCGCCACACCTGAAGGTGGGGGCACTGGTCCAGGCACACGCCCCGTCCTCCGTGCTACCAGGGCCACCCCTGCCCTCTCCAGACTCGACAGGATGGTACCCGGTGGGGTCAACAGCGGGCACGGCCAGACACCGCTGTTCCATTCCCAAGGCACACAGCTGGACACACACGGACAACGGCAGCTGTGGGAGGAAATGACGCAGCCGTGGCGTCTCCGGGCCACAAGGCAGGGTCCTCAGCACCCGACACCGTGCCCACCGCTCCACACGTTCAGCTAACGTCCAGCCACGTCCACCGTGTTGGAGGCACCGAGCGTGCAGTCTGCAGGCACACACTGCACTCCGCACGGACGCAGGACGGTCCGCCTCTTCTGGGACGGAGCCCGACACCAGGGCCAGGGCACCCGCCAGGCCCGCGGGCATCACCGGGGCCTCAGAGGCGAGCGGAGGGGGGCACCTCCTGCCGCCAAGTCATCTCCCAAGGCAGGAGTCCAAGAGGCTCCAACGTTAATGCGCCTAGGCCACGAGCTTGCAGACATGACATGGAGCCAGGCCGGCAACGGCATGTCGCACGCACACGGGCACATCGAGGATGCTGGGTTTGCTCTCAGATGCCGGTGTCACAGGGAAATGCCTGGCCGGTCCCCACGCCGGATCCGGCCCCTCCCGGTGCGCCTGTCAAGACCCCGCAGGCACCGCAGGGAACAGGAAAGACACGACACATCCGCAGGAAGACGGGACAATGGACACCACAGTCGCGAGAGGAAGTGAGGAAAGAAGGGAAACTGGTATTTTTAGCAATTGGACAGGTGAGGACCAGTGTTTGCAGCCACTTAACATTCCTGCCGCAGGCCAGGGGAACAGACACCCTGCATTTTCTCAGCTGCGTGCACGACACCCCCAAGAGCAGAGCCCAGGGCCAGCGGGGTCCCCAGCTCTCGAGCAGAGCAGAGCTTTCTACTCAGTACGGTCTCAGCACGGCTTCTGCTCGGGCGTGAGGCCCGCTGGGGGCACGGCCATGAAGCGCTGTCCCTCCTGTCGGGACCAGGCGGGGCGCTTCTGCCTGGGGCTCCTCCGGGACCAGCCGGGCGCGCACCAGCCTGACTCTGGCCGCCACACAGCTCTCCCTGCCTTGACGCGATTTTCTCTTCTCTCCTCACACTGTTCACTCGCCTTCAATGCTTTTTTCTAAAGACCACGGGGTACAAATTTCATTAATGCTGATTGTCTGGACTTAAAACACATAAGAACACAGCCCAGCAGAGCCTCCCTTTCCCACGGATGACTCCGGCCCAACACGGAAGGAGCCGTGTAGGGTTTTGCGACTCTGCTGGCCGACCCCGCGGGGCAGGTGCGTGTGCCAGGCCGGTTCCGAGCCAGCCAGGGCCTGCTTCGCCACGTGGCCGAGCGGGGAACCCAGCCCCGGCGTCACCATCTGTGCTCTGGATCCCTGAGGAGCGGCCAGCAGATGACCGCGTGCCCGGTGAACGTTTTTCTCCCCAAATCGGCATCTGCAGGAAGCTGTGCTCCTGAGAAGGGACCTGTCCGGGCAGCCGACACGCACACACGACTCCGCTCCTGGATTTCAGAGGCCGGCGTGACTCACCCCACCAACAGCCCGCTGGGCACCACAGATGTGTTCTGCACCCCTGGCCCCTTCAGGCCTCTCCAAAAACCCCGCTTTCCCGCAGCTAAGAACGCACTGCTCTGCACCATCTTCGGGTGGTGCCTGACGCCCTCCCCGCGTACCCTCTGCGTCAGCACACAGGGTTCCGGGAGCCGTGCGGCTGCAGCCCACTCTGCCCGAGAATGACCCAGGGACAAAGGACGAGACTCGCTTATACAACACTGTCCTCCGACCAAGGCTGCATGACATAATTCCAGTCTGCGCTGTGTCACTGCTGTCACTTTCCAATTTAGGCATCCTAATGAAAGATTGCGTTATGCACCCAGATTGTGGTTTTAAACAAAAAGATGACGCACACAGTCAGAGCAGCAGCCAAGAGGCTGAGGACTGCAGGACGCTTTCGTGGGACACGTCTGGAGGCTGTGAGGCTCCGGTTGTTATAAGACGGTTTCCGAGGCCAGGGCAGTCGCTGAACACCCCAGATCACGTTTTGTGCTTTTCACAACACCACAGAGAGAGACCTGACCTTTACTCTCATGGCCTTTTTTTCTTGCCTCTCGCACCACGCATGGAGATGTGCAAGGTGCACATCCAGAGCAGGCGTGCAGCCGGCTGCTGAGGCGTAGGAGGACTGGTGCTTCTCACAGCCCGTTCTCTGGGACCACACTGCACTCTGAGTTCTGGATTCTGAGGGAGGCAGGACACTCGCCACCAAGGTCCCTTCCACTGACAAGGGCCGGGGGCCTGGACGCTGGGGACACCCTGTTCTCCCAACCTCTGCCTGCAGTCCGTGTCTCTGTGTCCTCAGCTGGCAACCCTCCTGCAGGGCTGCTGGGCGGGAGAGGACCCCATGTCCCTGAGGCCAGGCCAGCACCCCAAGGGGACATGCTCACCGCACATCAGGCTCAGTTCTGCAGAGCACACAGCATGTCATGCACCGGATGGCTCCCTAACATCCACCCTCCAGACTCCCCACAATCTGGGTGGCAGGTGGCTGGGCCTGTGCGCGGCCCAGATCCACCCAAGCCCACCACCATGGATCGCACCAGAACCAGAGCACCTGCAAAGACATGTCAGAGGCACACGGCACCCTGTGGCCTAGACCAAGGGGCTGGCTTGGAGCATCAGCACAGACACTTGCTAGAGCAAGGAGCCTCAGGGCCCCAGTCGTCATGCCTAAGGGGGGATGATGCCAAGGACAGAGCCTGGGGTCGAGGGGGCAGGGAGCTGGATGCTGAGCAGTCAGTGTGAGCCAGGAGCTCCCGAGGACCCACAGCAGGTGCACGAGTCTGGGCCTACCTAAAAGCAAGAGCCTCTAGATCAACACCACATCAGCAAGGCTCGCCATCCAGAGACCATGAAAGGGAAAGCACACCAGGCCTCAGGGCTCACACCTTGCTGGGACGGCACCGTCTAAGTTTAATCCAGTTCCACGGCGGACCCCCTGCACTGAACATTTTCAGAGATTTAGGCAGTGCTCACAAAAGCAAGGAAGGAAGGAAAGAGAACCTTCCTGGATGCGTGCAGGGAACTTAGCCATCTGGGACTTCTACCCTGTGGTCACCGGATTTTACTGCCGGTGCCGTGGCGAGGCATCATGTCACTAGGGCTACATGGGGGCGTCTGGTGTCCACGTCTGACTATAAGCAATGTGCTCATGTCAGACCGACGCCGATGCCCAGATCTCATCCTCTCCTTCACCCAGGCCCGAGAAGAAAAAAAAAAATTAAAAGAGAAGCACATTCACTCTGTGTCAAGGGCCATTAGGAAACCTCTGGCCACCAGCTGTCAACCAGCTCTTTCCCAAACAGCCAGGGTCCAGGGAATCCGTGTGAGAACCCCCCACCCCCGCCCCCGCCGCCCCTCAACCCAGAGGGTGTGCTCCTCCAGCCAGAAGCTGGGACAGGGCATCCCATGGGCTGTCCCCAGCTCGTGGTCCTGCCATTGCCACGCTGGCTGCAGATCTGCATAAACCCACTCTCCCAAGTGCCCTGCTTCCTCCCAGCCACAGGGAAAGGACACATCTCTTCCCAGGAAGCAAGTGGCTGTGGAGCATGACGATATCCAGCCTCCAGGAAACAAAATACCACCCCGAACAGAGCCCTGGGGCGTCAGGCAATGACCTGGTGAGGCCCCTAGGCTGCCGGGGTAGAGCAGAGGCCATCCAGCAGGGACGGGCCTGCCTCAAAGCCTCAGAAATGGAGCCCAGCTCACAGGACAGGGAAGCCACGGGTACCACCTGGCCCAGGCGCTTCCCACACCTGCGCTCTCAGGCCCTGCCCATCCTCCAGGCCCTCCTGCCCCGCCCCGCTGCCTGGCCCCTGTAGCTCAGCACACATGTCCCCCTGCAGGGCCTCCACACCCCTGCCTCCTCCCCCTGACCCCCAGGGCCTCTGCACCCCTGCCTCCTCCCCCCACCCCCAGGGGCCTCCTCACCCCTGCCTCCTCTCCCCACCTCCAGGGGCCTCTGCACCCCTGCCTCCTCCCCCCCACCCCCAGGACCCTCTGCACCCCTGCCTCCTCCCCCCGCCCCCAGGGGCCTCCTCACCCCTGCCTCCTCCCCCCCACCCCCAGGACCTCCACACCCCTGCCTCCTCCCCCCGACCCCCAGGACCTCTGCACCCCTGCCTCCTCCCCCCGACCCCCAGGGCCTCTGCATCCCTGCCTCCTCCCCCCACCCCCAGGGGCCTCCGCACCCCTGCCTCCTCTCCCCGCCCCCAGGGGCCTCTGCACCCCTGCCTCCTCCCCCTGACCCCCAGGGCCTCTGCACCCCTGCCTCCTCCCCCCACCCCCAGGGACCTCCGCACCCCTGCCTCCTCCCCCCGCCCCCAGGGGCCTCCTCACCCCTGCCTCCTCCCCCCTACCCCCAGGACCTCCGCACCCCTGCCTCCTCCCCCCGACCCCCAGGACCTCTGCACCCCTGCCTCCTCCCCCCACCCCCAGGGGCCTCCTCACCCCTGCCTCCTCCCCCCACCCCCAGGGACCTCCGCACCCCTGCCTCCTCCCCCCCCACCCCCAGGACCTCTGCACCCCTGCCTCCTCCCCCCACCCCCAGGGGCCTCCTCACCCCTGCCTCCTCCCCCCACCCCCAGGGGCCTCCGCACCCCTGCCTCCTCCCCCCCCACCCCCAGGACCTCTGCACCCCTGCCTCCTCCCCCCCACCCCCGGGACCTCTGCACCCCTGCCTCCCACCTCCCCCTCCACACCTGCTGAGATGAATTCTTCTCTATGTCCACCTTCTTGTTTATTGTTCTAGTCTCTACACTCCTCCTAACCCAGAGTCAGGATAAGAGCACCATCACTTTTTTCTAGAGAGAGAAAGAAAGGCAAGTGAAGGAGCCCTCCCCCACTGAGCCCACCCAGGGGAGTATGGCTCAGGACAGACACCACCACGGAGCCTGTCCACAGGGGCTCACTATAAAAGCTGCCAGCCGCTACACGCCGGTTTCTAAAGAAGGAAAGCCCGTAACCTCTAGCTAATGCCCGAGCCATACCCTGCACACTTATGGAGTTGGAAAAACATACGCCTAGTTATTATTTAGGGCCTACTACCGGAACAAAATCCAGAATGTAGTTCACTGTCAACAAAACTATGAAGACGGAGGAGCCAGGAAGGAAGAAGCAGAGAAGGGGTGAGGGGAGGAAGGAGGGAAGGGGAGGAAGCGGCAGCGGTCAGCAGCTGGGTGCAGCAGGAGCTCCTGGCTGGTCAGTGTGGGCAGTGAGAGACGCAGGTGGGGAGGTCGCAGGACTGTGAACACTGAGGACCTGTACCTTGCTCTGCTGCCCCTCCTGCCCTCACCTCTCCAGGGTACACAATGCCTCCTCCCCCTGCCGCTCACTCCCACTGGCCTCTTCTTCTGTCTCTTAAATACCCAAACCACAGAACTGGATGGGCTGCTTGCTGACTGGCGGAGTCTGGGATACAGGATGGATGGGGGCCTGCCCTGCGTGGGGTCCACACGGCTCTGCCAGGAGCAGCAAGGCTGCGATCCTCCTACCCTCCGAGGATCAATTTACCAAGAGGAGACTGACAGAGGGCAAATGCTTCACCACCAGAGAGCACATCCCCCGGAAAGCTCCTAGAGGCCTGCCCACGGTGAATGCACAAACGTGGGTCATCCGAGTTGGAACAATCCAGTTTTCTCTAAACCTCAAAGTCACCCGGACAAATGCATGGAGGAATATTTTTGTCTTTAACAGACAATGTATTTGAGAAATGTTTTCATTAATATTACGTTCATAAAACAAAAGAACAGAAAGTTACTCCTGCAAGGAAAGAAACGCTACACTTGTCTCTGCTTCTACTGAAAACATTCTGTGCCCCCCAACCCCCACAGTCCGACAAGCGTCCCTTTCTCTAATTCTGGGGCTGATCCCCCTCCTCAGCTCGTCAGGCTCCCTGTGATCCCCCACATCACCCTGTGCCTGCTCCAAGCACAGCTACAGAGCATCCCAGGAAAGGGTCAGCTCAGGACGTGACCCAGACGGAAACCCCAAGTCCCTCCACTAAGACCCACATGCCTAGGGATCCCTGGGTGACGCAGCGGTTTGGCGCCTGCCTTTGGCCCAGGGCGAATCCCACATCGGGCTCCCGGTGCATGGAGCCTGCTTCTCCCTCTGCCTGTGTCTCTGCCTCTCTCTCTCTCTCTCTGTGACTATCCTAAGTAAATAAAAATTTAAAAAAAAAATCATCCTCTCTGACAGGGATGTCAGGCCTCCAATGGTAGTCCCCTGGGAAGCCCCCGGGGCCTAAGTCTGTGCCCGCTCTCCCCGCAGGGCAACCACTGAGCTCAGGGGGCAAGCCTAACACTGAGGGGCTGGCCCCAGACTCCCAGTCCTGCAGGGAGGGTGTTACCACAGGAAGCGTCATCCTGATGAGGCTCCCAAAGAGAAGAATGGGCACCGTGCAAATGTGTTATTACATCAGTCAGATCCAGAATAAGTACCGTCACCCCAGAGCACAGTGAGCCTCTCTCCTCACACACCAAGGGGCAGCAGGGGAGCCTGCTGGGGGGTGGCTCAGCCCCACCTGCTCCCTCCCTCCAAGACACGACCCCCCCCCATCCCGAGATGTCAGGGCTGCCCACCCGCCCAACACTGGCTGAAGCCACACTGTGGACCCCGGGAAGAGGAAGAAGAGGGTATCCAGATGGCACTGTCACTTTGCCCACACAGCAGTCCTGTAGCAGGGAGGCAGAAATAGAGCTGGCTAAGACTCTGCTAGGACAGAAGGAGCCCAGAGCTGGGGAGAAGAGAGTACTTCCCAGAGGAAGACTGAGAGCAGGGGAGCAGGAAGGGAGGAAGGCCCCATTACAGAAGGAGAGACAGCTCACCTGCCATTGGACCGGCAGCCCCCATTCAGGACAGGGCTTCATCCTTGGCTCAGAGGGGATCCACAGCGGGGTTCGGTCAGGGGACTGATGAGATCAGAGCTGCCTTTTGAAAAGGTTATTCTGGAATCAGGGTGATGGGGCACTGGGGCAGAGGGCCAAGGCGATGGAGGGCAAGACTCGGGAGGCCACAAGGCAAGAGCAGAGGCTCATGACCATGAAGATGATGATGATTAGAAGACTAAAGACTCCTTAACCTGCAGCCCTCCAAAGTGGTGGGCATCTTCTCCTTGAACCCCACCAAATCTTAAGGTAGAGTAGGTGTGACAGATGGTCCAGACAGAAAATCAACAAGGAAACATCAGCCTGAAGAGGCACATTAGACAAGATGGGCTCAACATACACAGGACATTCATTTCAAAAGCAGAATACACCTTCTTCGCAAGTACACATGGGACATTCTCCAGGAGAGTGCATGTTAGGTAACAAAACAAGTTTCAATAAATTTAAGAAGACTGAAATCCTGTCAAGCACCTCTTCCAACCCCAATGGTATGAAACTAGAAATCAATCCCCCAAAAAATGAGGAAAAACATAAATATGTGGAGATTAAACAATATCCTACTGATTAAACAATGAGTCAAAGAAGAAATCAAAAGAAAATTTTAAAGAATACTTTGAGACAAAGGAAAATGGAAACACAACACTCCAAATCCTATGGGATGCAGGCAAATCAGCTCTGAAAAGGAAATCTGTAGCAATAAATGCTAAAAATGTTAAGAAACAAGAAAAATATCAAATGAACAATCCAACTCTATACTTGAAGAACTAGAAAATAAAGAACAAACTAAGCCCAAAGTTAGCAGAAGCACAGAATTAACAAAGATGAGGTAGGAGAAATAAAGACAATAGAAAACATCAATAAAATGAAGAGCCAGTTTTTTGAAAAGATGAAACTGAAAAGCCTTTCACTAGACCTACTAGGAAAAAAGAGAGAGGACTCAAATAACCAGAAGTAAAAGATGAGCCATTACCAAGGACACCACAGAAATACCAAGGATCACAAGAAACTAACATGAACAATTATAAGCCAATAAATTGTACAAACTAGGAAAAATGGAGAATTCTTATAAACAACCTTCAAAGAGTGAATCATGAAGAAACAGAAAGTCTAAACAGACCAATTACTAGTAAGAAGACTGAATCGATAATCAAAAACCTCCCAACAAACAAATATCCAAGGTCAGATGGCTTCATTGATGAGGTCTACCAAACACTAAAATCAGAATACCAATTCTCCTCAAACTCTTCAAGAAAAACAGAAGAACAGGAAACACTTCCAAATGCATTTTAGGAGACCAGCATTACCCTGGTACTAAAACAAGACAAAGACAATACAATTAAGGAAAATCACAGGCCAACAGCCCTGATAATCAAAGATTTAAAAATCCTCAACCAAACAGTAGCAAACCAAAATGAGCACATTAAAAGGATCAAACACCATGAGCAAATGAAATTTATTCCAGGGATGCAAGGATGGCTCGACATCTGCAAACCAGCCAATGAGATGCACCACACTAAAAAAAAAAAAAAAAAAGGATAAAAATCATAGGATTATGATCAATGCAGGAAAACCATTTGACAAAATTCAATATCCATTTATGATTTAAAAAAGCTCTCAACAAGTGGATCTAGAGGAAACTTACTTCAACATAATAAAGGCCCTACATGATAAGCCCACAATGAAAGGCTGAAAGCTTCTCCCCTAAGATGAGGAACAAGACAAAAATGTCCTCTGGCCACTTCTATTCAACATAGTACTGGAAGCCCTAGCCTCAGCAATTAGGCAAGAAAAGATATAAAAGGCATCTAATTGGTAAGAAAGAAGCAAAACCGGGGATCCCTGGGTGGCGCAGCGGTTTGGCGCCTGCCTTTGGCCCAGGGTGCGATCCTGGAGACCCGGGATCGAATCCCACATCGGGCTCCCGGTGCATGGAGCCTGCTTCTCCCTCTGCCTGTGTCTCTGCCTCTCTCTCTCTCTCTGTGACTATCATAAATAAATAAATAAAAATTAAAAAAAAAGAAAGAAGCAAAACCGTCATTATATGCAGACAATATGACACTATATATATAGAAAACCCTAAAGAGGGCAGACCCAGTGGCGCAGCGGTTTAGCACCGCCTGCAGCCCAGGGTGTGATCCTGGAGACCCGGGATCGAGTCCCACGTCGGGCTCCCTGCATGGAGCCTGCTTCTCCCTCTGCCTGTGTCTCTGCCTCTCTCTAGCTGTGTCTCTATGAATAAATAAATAAAATCTTTAAACAAAAAAAAAAAAAAAAGAAAACCCTAAAGACTCCAGCAAAAAAAAAAAAAAAAGGTTAAAACTAATTCAGTAAAGTTATAGGACACAAAATCAATGTGCAAAAATCTGTTGCATTTCTATATAAATTATCAGAAAAATTAAGAAAATACTCTATTTATAACCACATCCAAAAAAAAAGTCTAGGAATCACTTAACCAATGTAACTAAAAACCTATACAATGAAATCTCTAAGATACAGATGAAAGAACTTGAAAAAGATATGAATAAAGAAAAAGATATTCTATGTTCATGGATTGAAAGAACATTGTTAAAATGTCCACTGACTTCAGAGCAATGTACAGATTCAACGCAATCCCCATCAAAATTCCAATGGCGTTTTCACAACAATAGAACAATCCTAAAATTTGTATAAATCCACAAAGACCCCAAATAGCTGAAGCAACCTTGAGAAAGAAGAACAAAGCTAGAGGCTCACACTTCCTGACATCAAACTACATTGCAAAGCTATGGAAATCAGTAAGATGGTTTGGTGGTAGCACAAAGACAGACACAGGACAGAACGAAGAGCTCAGAAA